GGGGTTCTAGCCCCATCCCCGTCGAGATAAGCTCTCGGGGCGCCGCTGCTGGCCAAAGTTTATTCATGTACATCAACGATATGTGTGCTGATGTACCCAGGGAAACTCCAGTAATAGTCATTTTCATCATAACGTCCACGAAGCATTCCGTTAAGGTATTATCTCGACATCTGGAATATTCGGCCAAAGGTAACCTATAGTATTTTTTCTTTTTTTATTTGAGGGTTGAATTATCGTCCGGGGATAGATACATGAAGAATCGACTATTAATTGGTGAAAAAATTCAATTTTCCGATAAAATTACTCTCTCCTCAAAAATCCTATATTTGCCCCCGGAGCAAAAAAAATTCCTTTTTTTTAATTGCCATATTTTGATTAACTTTTTGATGGCCCGCGTATAGATAATAATAAAACTCAGTGAAGCGAGAAAAATATGGCAATAAAAAAATACTCTCTCCCTGGTCCCGGGACCAGTCAACTTCCTTCCCAAAATATTCTAAATGATTCAGAGAAATTTCCCTGCAATAATGGAACCATAGTCTGTCCCATAGATCCTATCACGGAATATTGAATTTGAATCGCTGAATTTCATTGAATTTCATGTGGAACTGTCACGCGTTGAAAATTCCCCAAACAAACCCGGTGAATTCCATGCCAAAATGTCCACCAGAATTCCGCATGTAAATAAAAATAGAAGAATTTATGGACAATCCATCACTCCCTCGACCTAGCCTCGAGAACGCCTTTCATCGTACATAAAACGATAGTTGATTCGAAATTAACTGCTATAAAACGGGGGAGAGAAGTACAATCGTGAAGGTATGCAGCGAGACTGGAGAGAATAAGTGAGAGAATAAATAAGTGAATGAAAAAAAGAGAGAAGGTACGGCGGGTGGAGAAGAAAAAGAAGACGTTGGAAATGGTTTAGCTGGGATGGGGGAGAGGAGTTGGGAGCCTGGGGTGACGGCTATGAATTTAAATTTCTCTAATTAGGAGGCGCGCGCGAATGCCGGCGGCTGGTGAAATAGGCCCTGCACTCTCTTTCTCTCTCTCTTTCTTTCTCTCATTCTATCTTTCTCTCTCTCTTTTTCTGTCTCCATCGAGTCTTTACTCACTTCCCTTTACACCACGTATACACACCTATCCCCAACGGTTGCCAAGTACCCATCGTCCCTTGACGGCTGGGGACCCTCTCATTCAGTCCCCGATCTCTCTTTCTCTCTCTTTCTCTCTCTCTCTCTCTCTCTCTCTCTCTCCCTCTCTCTCTCTACAACCTCCTCGAAATCTGATGAGAAGAGGACGAGTGGGATAAAGAGTGGGAGTTCCACCCGCATATCGCGTTGGAGAAACGACGCAACTTGAGCATACCCTGCGACCAGACAAACCACCTGACTGAGATTTGTTGCTTCTCACGTTCTAACCGAAATTTATTTGACGCTACGGGACCCATGGGTTAATTAACGTCCAGCCAGAGTCCACCCTCTGCAACATGCAGTTTATATAACCGACTCTGGCCAGTATTTTCATTTGGAAATTTTTTCATTCAGATTTTTTATTATTCGTGTCTATTTTTATTTTTAAATTATTTTATTATTTCATCATTATTCATTTGATTATTCAATATTTTATTCGGATTTTTTTATTTAGAGATCAACTCCACTTTTTTTATGAACATTTTGAAAATTCAAGAAAATTGGTTTTCTGCTAACTGATGATTGATTTTTCAATGAATGCTTGAATTTTCATACTCATTGTCAAAATACGGTGGAATTACAACTACAAATTCCCCAAATACTAGACTATCTCACGGAATCATTGAGCGCATTCCCAGGAATCGGCGAAATATCAGCGAAGTTAATGAACCTGTTTATTATTTCGTCACAATAGAAGTTGCGAAACTAATTATTCCAATAATTAGTCCCAGTCTTGTAAGGTCTCACATTTTTCATTGAATTCCCAGGTATTGTCGTTCACTTTCACTCCATCAAATAAGAATACTTCGGCAATATGCATAAAATTACAATATCGAACACAAAAAACGAATTAAAAATCATCTTCACGAATTGAAATACTAATTATTACCAAACAGTCGTCCAAACTGTAAAAAGAAAAAAGAAACAAAAATGTCAGTCTCTCGACAGAAAATTGAGAACACAATCTCATTAAAGTAAACAATACAGTATCGAGAGATCAAACGTTAATTACCAACACAAACGAAAAGGGTGAAAGAAATCTCAGTCTGAATGGTATACATTTTCCTGGAGAAAATAATTTAACCCTCTCCCATTGGGTTACGAGCCGGTATATTCCAGTTCTGTAAATCTAGCCTCTCAACGAATGAGAAAATGGGGGAGAGGAGAAAATGCCCGAGTGTATAAAGGGTTCGCAAAGTGACTCGAATTGCGCTACGCTCGACTTTATGAGCCTCCGAGTATTGCTAATATCGCCAGAGGAGCGTTAAGGAGGTATACGCAACTCTCTCCTCATCCACACAGAACCCCCTTTCCTCCCTTCCTCCCGCCATTCACCCCCGTTCTCACCCCCTCCTCTTCTCTCTTTCTTCACCCCCGTTTCCCCTTTCTGTCGAAAAGTCGCGCCATATACCACTCTGCGAAAATCCCGAGACTGTCGAAACTCCTTAACCACTTCTGCTCGACCCTCTGTGACATTTTTAGTGACTATCAAAAACGCGTGAGTTTCCCGTCTTAATTATAAGCAGTGGGAAGATTTAAGACATAATTTCGTATAAAATATACTTAATAATATGAGTATAATAACATGAAGCGAATATATATTGGAAATTCGTAAAAAATTCAGAATAATTTCAAATCGGTGATGAAAACAATGCAGAGCCATTTGTTGAATGATCATTTTATAGTTCAATATAATTCTCGTATTGGGAATTAAATTTGGAGCATCGGGATTAAATAAATGAATAATATTTTCGACACTCGACCGAATTGCAAAAGACTTGAGCAGGAAAATGGAAATAATTTCTCAAAGCTAAAACAAGGCGAGTATCACAACAAATTACCTGTAGAAAAAAATCTAAAATCCTTGGAGATTCTTGAAGTGACATTGAACAAATCTGCGCGCGCATGCAGGACTTCCACAGGGACATAACACCAAAGTTTCATTTTGGTTCCAAGGCAAGATGTTCATGCACTCTGCCTTTATTTATCTCAACTTCTTTCTGTATCCAACTCTTCCCCTACCCCATCCAGCCAACTCTCTTGGATTCCGGATTCCGTTTTCCCTCGAGAGCTCCTTTCCTCATTCTCCTCGTAACGGCTATGCATATTTCACCGATTTTTATGTAGAATTCCTCTTGGAACCTCCCCAACATCCCCAACATCCCCCTTTTTACCCCGTCTTCTTACGTAGCCTTTTAGCTTCTTTCCATCTTTCGTTTTTCCTCCTTTCATTTTAAACCGATTGTTCCATTTCCTCAAAATTCCAACTTCTCAACAAAAATAGAAGACAATGAAAAATCAAATAAAATTGCACTGCTGTGCCCAATCTTCGAACTGGGGATTTAACATGGATTAATGCCATTTAGCCGCAGTCAGAAGATAAAGCCTCCGAGAATATTCAAACAAGACCTCCCCCAGAGTTAATGCGAATAAAATTTAAAACCCCGTGAATTCTCGTTTGTTGTAATAAAAGTTCATTCCCGTGTTCCTGAAGGTGTGAAAAAAAAATCTCGGCGCCCTAATGAATAAAAAAAAATCTAATAGCTGAAATAAGGAAAAATCATCCATACCATTTCCGATCTAACGTCCTCAGCCCGACGTGAAGAAGATAAAACAATAAAAACTGAAAGTTGAATCCAGTTGGCGGAAGGAGTGAACGATATCTCCGTGGGAATTCACCACTGCCTCCCCTATGTATGTATCGTTAACGAAATAACTGCCATTGCAAGTCCTCTCATTTATCCCTCCGTAGAATGAAAAAAAAAATCGTCTTTAACACAATGCAATTGTCACTCAGCATTTTTCATTTCATTATTTGAGTACCCATGGCGTTTACCCATCAAGCAACATTTCCCTCCAACACTCCAATTATTACCGTTTGTTTGGTCGATGTGTTGCTTTCGTTTGAAAAAAAAAAATAGAATATGCGTGAAGAAGAGGAATAGGATAAAAATTGTCAAGCTCGGATGTGGGCAAATTAACTGAAATGTGAGAGTCAGGGCCTGAGGGTCTACTCGGAGGGACAATATAAAATGGAGAAAAGCAAAGCCTAACGCCCGTATGATGGGATAGGCGGTTCATTTACATAAACGTAATCCTACTTAGAGGCAACGCAGCTAATTCCCCCTCGTACATTCTCCTCCACTATCTCCAGAGTATCTCCACTGCTGATATAATGCCTGGCTTCCGCACTGAAAGAAAAGCCCCAAATTAAAGGCACCTTTTTTTTTGTGCACCCACTCTAATCATCTCGCGGTTGTGAACCTCCCAGCATGCAGTGACCAAAAATATCTTGCATCCTGTAAATATGTGTTTTTTCATCACACACAATTTATTCCATTTTTTATAAACGAAATGGTAATGTCGACACATTTTTATTTAAATTGGCGTAGTATCGATAGTATAGCGAATAGTATTATATATAGTATACACTTTGAAAATAATTAATTATTGTCAGATTGAATGTGAATTCATGTAAATTGATGGTTTCGGAAACAAATTATTCGGTGAATCATTGTTTTATAAACATCACGTTGAGTGAATCTACTTTCTCAGAGAGTATAACCAAATTGGAATCCCGAATGAATGCTAGGATGAATATGCCGAAAAGTGCTGACCCGGATATGAGTCAATCCAATAAACTCGGAATGCAAAACAACGGGAATAGCGAAGACAACTGGATGCAAGAGGAAATTATTCATCCGTGGAGAACTCGTAAATCACCCAATCAGTCAATCAGAGCGTTCAATAAAAACGGAATTCAATGAATAAAGGTAAAATCACCACACATTTTACTCAATTCATCTTTTTATATATTTACAGAGTATTATGTCATATTTACACGTTTCACGCAAGTAGCCTCCATTCATAAAAAAGTATATCATACAAAGCATCATCATGCGTATAAACGTGAGTACCATGTTGTGTATCCGACCGATTAATTCGCGTAATTTCCTTAGCCAAGTGGTAAAACGTAATAATTCATATTTCTTAGTAGATTTTATGAGAAAACGTGTACGTGGTTAGAATGAAATTAAATTTTCATGGACAATTGATTCTTAATTCTCAATAATTACTATTAAATTCGATGTGAAAGTTCAGTTAGTCAAACAAATTGATGAAAATCCTTCAATCCACTTTAATTTTTAATTAAGCCCCATATATTCATACGTTTTCATTGCGAACGCAATATTCGAGGCTGTGCAACATTTTTCCTTCTCCGGTATTACACTGAATAATAAATATAAAACTTTGCAGTAGCTATTGATTTTACCGATTTTCTTTTTCATTTCGTGGCGAAATTTCTTTCAGCGATTTCTCCAAGAATTTGATATCTCAAGGTTATTATTTATAAATGCCGTATGGTCACCACTTGACTATGAAATAGCTTTATCGCCGGGCGGATACAAATCGGCAATGACCCTACCCTCCATGCCCGGCTGATAAGGTCTCCATAAAAAAAAAAATAAATAAGACTACGATAAAAGATACGATTAGTTTTTTCATCGTGTAGGGGTACAATTATGGCTTAATGTGTCAGGGTTTATGCAGTCGATTAGTGCTCATTCCGATTCTCGATGAGAACATTTTAGGCATCGAATATTCCATGTACTCGTTCAATTGAAATTCCTTCCCAGTGCATCATCGAGTATTGGCCAAAAAGTGCATGCACCAGAATGGCGGGACAGGTCGCGGAGTAATGGAGAGAGACTGGTTTTCACATGGGACTTCTTATTTTTTTTTTCTTCACGGAACACATCTTCTTCGAGTAGACAACACTGAACTTTCACCTTGTTTTGAGCTCATCCGTGCTCAGTGCACTTTACTGTGAAGAACTTCGCCGTTGAAACTGACCCGTTGACCCACATGCAGACCAAAATCTCATTGTCCTCATTGTCCGATTTCGTTATTTTATCATATTTTGAACGTATTGTTCTCTAGCTTAGTCCATAAAAGGTTCGATGCTCACGAGTTTCGTCGGATTTTAATCACCTTCGAGTAAGGAGACTGGAAAAATCAGGTGGAATTAACAAATTTTATTGGATTGCTTGTGCACATTGGTAATTTCAAAGTGCACATAATTAACTCGACGTTGAGTTATCTGGGAAAGATGATCTGATTCATACAGAGTTTAGTTGGTCGTGGATTACGCGGCACCGGTGAAAGTCCGATGATATCTCGCGCTTCCGCTGACGCAAGTTTGCGGTGTAGAAGATATGCCGCATTGACGAGTTTAGCAGCATCCTCCATGGAGTAGATTGCAAATATTCTGGTTTGATTACACGATTGCTATTTTTATTATTATCCAAATAAATATTAACGAAAGAGTGGTTTGAGCGTGCTTCAGGATTTCTCAGTTGGTTTCTCAGTTGTACCTTCCCCACTCGCTTTCTTCAAGTCCTCGACGTTTCCCTCGCTGTCGGCCGTTGACCTGATCTCCTTAACCGACTCGTCTGTGTAATTGTTTCTAAAGAAGAGGGCAACATCGTCGGGACTCACGACTCCCTCGGATTTCCCTTTGCTCGTTGCGGCGACGATTGAGGAAGTTGCTGCATCATTCAGGTCCTCGTCATTGCGATCGTACTGGTAGTCCTGATGGAATTCATTGAGTTGTTGGGCCTGGGGAAGGCCTTGTACTTGAAATAGCTGCATCCTGTTCTGGTCCTCCGGCTGTTCGATAGCCGCTAGGATGTCCTGCAGGAGTCCCTCCGAGAGGAGCTGATCGTGTCTTATCGAGCCGTCCGAATTCTGTTGAAGGCCGTTGGAGGACTGAATCTGAAGGGAGTAGGTACCCTTGGATCCTTGAATCTGGAAACCATCGGTTGCACCCTCGGCGGAGAGGGTCTGAGCGAGGGCCAACGCCGGTTCACTGTCCCCATTGTGCATCTGCGTCAGTTGGTCTACGTTGATAGTATTGGCTAGAACGTTCGCGTCATGATGTGCGTCGAGGTGGTGCTCATTGTTATTTGTCGAACTCTGGCTGTAACCCTGAGCTGTCAGAGCTGCCGTCAATGCCTCCGCCGATGCCCCATTGATCGTTTCGCTGTTATAATTGACACTTGGTGCTGACCGCTGGTCGTAACCAACGTCCGCTGGATTTCCGTAACTGTCTTTCAAGTTGATTTGGTGGTGCTCGTTGTTGGGTGGTGACTCCAGTGCTAATTCATTGATCGAGGGAAGTGGATAGTCCGTTAGGAGGGAAGAATCTGAGTTTCCTTGGGACTGTGAGAAACTTGATAATTGAATAGGTGTCTCTATTGGTTTCTGGTAACCAGTCGAGTCGTCCTGGCCATTGAATTGCTGGGGCAATGGCAGGGGACTACCGTATGATGTGGATAAGGAACTGTGTTGATTGTAGAGATTACCTCGACCCACGTTTGACGCGGAGATGAAGGTGCTCGCTGGGCCAAAGTTTGGTGCGCCATAAGTCAATACTGGGGATGGGGTATTAAAGGCGGTGAAGGATAGAGGGGTGCCGTAGTTGACGTTCGGGGCGGCGAGCGGGGAGCCAACGGAGGATGAACTGAATGTCCCGGTGTTGCTTGAGTGGAAGGAAACGGGATTCGACGGGATTGGCAGTTGTTGTTGGAGGTTGAAGCCAAATCTTGGAGGACCGTAACTACTTGCTGGTTTTATGGGACCATTCGAGGGCCTCGACGAGGAGTGATTGATTGTATTGAAGAGACCGGGAGGAACGGATTCACGGAATTTGAGAGGGGCACGACTTCGCGGAGGGATAAGGGAGTGTGCGACACCGTGGAATCGGGAAGGCCCGTGATTTCGGGAGTGGTGAGGTGGGAAGAAGGGGGGACGATGGGGTGGACGGAAACCGGGGAGATTGAAACCCGGGCCGAAGCCGGGACCGTGGGGCCCGGGGAAAGGCCGTCGCGGGGGTGGAGGTGCGCCGTAGGAGTTGCTGATGGGACCTCGTGGAGGTCCACCGTGAAAATCGCTTACTACTCCAGGTCCTGGTGGAGGTGGCCCTGGTGGAGGTGGCCCTGGTGGGGGTGCACCATAGGAGTCGCTGATGGGTCCGGGTCCTGGTGGTGGCGCTCCGAAAGAGTCGCTCACTGGTCCGGGTCCTGGTGGCGGCGCCCCGAAAGAGTCACTCCCTGGTCCGGGCCCTAGCGGAGGGGCCCCGTAGGAGTCAGCCACTTGGGCTGGCCCCGATGGTGATGAGTGATAGCAAGGAGCTTGCGGCGATGGAAAATTGAGGGCTGCGTCATGGTTGCTGCTGACAAGACTGTCCAAACCGGAACTCGTGGCAACGTTCAATGATGACACCAGAGCACTGGCTGTCGGGGATGACTCAGGGGTGTGAGTTGGGTGAGCTGGTAAGCTCTGTGCAGCTTCCTGAATGTTGTGAAGTGGCTCGGCATCCGGTAACAATGGAGGTGGCAAGCCTTGGTCACTCTGACCGATTGACTGTCTGAGGCTGTGGTCTTCTGGATTGTTTATCGGCTCACCGTACGAGTTACTTGGCAAATTGACATTGGCTGAACCATCAAGATTGACACTGGGTGCAGTGTGAATGTTTGCGTTTGGCGTCTCTATGTGACCGGCAATGGGTTGCCAGCCGTCGTATTTGATGTCGGGGGGAGTTGGGGGAGCTGGAACACCTGGAGGTGGCGGTTGAGGAATGGGGGGAAGGGGAAGAGGTGGACCGTAGTTGTTCGGAAGGGAGAATGAGGGAGTTGGAACATTAACTGGTGGTCCATAAGCCTCCACGGATATTGGGATTGAAGGTCCATGACCAGGTGTTTTCACAGGAAAACGGGGAGATGTGGGAGACAATTTCCAAGGAGGTAGATTCAGGGGTCGTGGAGGGTACTGCAATTGTGGTGGATTTCGAGGAAGCCCGTACAATGATAGTGGCCTTCCTGGGCCGTGAGATGGTTGGGGTGGTGGCGGTAATTCCGGTGGGGGCGGTGGAAATACTTGAACTGGCGCATGATTTCCAGTTAATTCTGGAGGTCCGTATACCGGGGCTGGTCCATTAAAACTCGGCCTTGGCACACCGTATTCAGAGCTTATTCTATCTTCCGCCGATTTATCACTCGTCTTCTCGCTCTCAGGATTTTCATTATTTACATTTTTGTTGCTACTTTTGTTCAATACTGCAGATGCGTGATCGCTTAAAAGCGCGATACAGAGCAGTATACCGACCAACTGAAAGCACAAAAAATTTTTTTAATCCATTAGATCAATTAAAAAGTTTCATCAATGGCAAGGAATTCAATACACGGGAAGGTAAAGGACAGATTCCGCAGTTTCACACTTTTTTTCAATTGGACCCGGCACGATTATTCTCATGCATAATAAATTTCCAGTACACAAAAATTCATCGGCTCGGAAAGAAAAAAAAAATGTAATGCCTACCTTAAAATTTTTCATGGCACTTGTCACACTTGACACTTGAAAAGTTCCTAACTAAACAGCACGCACTAAAAATCCAACGAAACAATTAATTTCTCCAGTTAAAACCACAGTGCACAGGATAATTAACAGAAATTCACGTGTAAACCGTCATGCCGATGACATGTGTGGTGTCGGAGGGACGAACCACTCGCGTTGTTGGCGATTGAAAAAATGTTGAGCTGAGCGAGAAACCACGAGCTTATATAGATTCACAACAGGTACGATCTACTGTTACTGTATTGGAGTCGTCATCGGCTACTGCCGTAGTCGGAGCAGTTGAGGAATGGTGAAGACCCGGGCAATGAGGGACTCCAGTGATACCACGAGAAAAATCGGTAGAAGGGGACCGAGGGACCACTTGGTAAAAGGTGAGAGGGAGAAGAGAACAGGCTTCAGGTAAAAAAAAAATATCTTTGTGGAGAAAGTAGGCTGGCCATCATCACTGCTCACAAGGGGGGTCCAGGGGGAATTGCCGTACATCACACGCGCTAAACGGAAAATACACGTTAGACCGTTGACTCTCGGTAGTAATTGCTCACAAGTTCGCCAGGTTTATTCAACTAAACTCCCATGGGATTGCATTAGTCGTAGGGTAATTCAACCACTGAATCAGAACGAAATGTCTTTCAATTTTTTGCCAATCCGTTTATTACCAATACGTTGACACCTCAAGGACAATTCATTATCAATTCTCAAGAGAGTAACATTTCACTTGATTTATACTCTAGAAAATTTCACTTAATTGTTGTAGTAGTTACTCAATTATATATTACTATTGTTAAAAGATTTTTTCCGTGAGTAAACAGTAAACAGATTTTTTTCCGCATGCAACTGCGGTAATCGAGTGTTAGAAAAATGGTGACGAGAAATGCCGTCATGGATATCAAGCGCTTGATAAAATTAATAAGAAAAAATAAAAGTAATTGGATGTCGTATCGATAATGAAGCGGCCGATCGTTAACAGCTATGACGAAGTACAAAATGATAAACCCAACTAAACAAACCGAACGAAAGAGAAAATGAGAAATAAGTGGTGCCACTGAATGATATGTCGGCTGATGGTCAAGGTGATGTATTTTTTAACTTTCCGGGTCAAGCGGGAAGGATTGGAATGCCGGAGACTGTACAGGTGCGCCGTTTTTACACAGAACTTTCTTTCCATCCCGAAGACGAGTGATCATGAATGGTGATTTTCACGCATACCACTAGGGTAGACAATAAAACCATTGGGAGAAATCATCGATGGAAACTATCCTCAAGGTAAACTACAAGCCTGTACCTACGATTCTTGGCATCAAACCAAGGACATCACGTGATTCCAACGATGAGAGTCACGAGTGCGATCTCTCCACTTTCGCTGCACTTCTTGCTTTTATTATCACCTGTATCTCTTCCGTGAACCGATGATGGCTTAGGTAAAAGTTTTTTTTTTCCCTATCTTAAACAACGTTACGAAAAGGAGGTAAAAAATTCAGTTGTCAGCCCACTCATTACTCCCCGTGTTACACACAACTCTTGCAGGATTCCTCAAACTCCTCTGAATAATTATTCAGTAACAACGGAACGGCGGAATAATAAAATACAGCATGTCCGGGGGAAAGGAAATGGGAGCAGTGAAAATGGTAAGTAACACTTCGTGCGGATTGCGTGAGCGCGGGTTTAGGATGGAAAAAGTGTCGTGTGTACATTTACTCAAATATTTTTTGGTGTCTGAGGGGAAATGAAGGGGGCGAGGGTTTTTTTTTTTGTAATACTCTTTATGGGTAACGACTAATGAGCAATCTCTTTCGCTCACTCATGTGCAACAATACACTGGCTCATGTGAATTATTTCATGCCTGTTACTATATTTCATGTGTCAGCCCGGACTTGCATATTTCGTAAGACTACCTCAACAGCTCTTCTACTTTTTAATAATTTAGATGCACTGCACAGGAAATATCGGATAGAAACATCAAATGTCTCAACATCGAGTGCTTTCGATTTTTCAATGTGTGGCTTTGACTTGATGCAACATCAAACAGCGTCTTTACAGTTTCGCTGGAATAACAAAAAATTCTTTTGAGGTGTGCGTCTTTACGTGCATAACGAAAATCTCTTATGGAAAAATCAAGTTTTTTTTGGTTGAAAATGGTTTAAGTTTAAAATTTCAGAACTATCGAATAAATCCATTTACCTAGAGTTACTTTCACATATGACTTCCTTATCATTTGAAAATTATTTACATGTTGGGGACAAGTGCAAAATTTTTTGCCGATATTTCTTCTTCTCAGTACCAGATGTTTTTTAATGTCAATTTTCGAGTCATGAACTGTTTTACTACTAATTACTGTTTCTTTTCCTGAGTAGAGGAGAAATGAAACCATTGGAGAGGACCGATGGGGGAATTGCGCGTCTGTGAGAGCCAGAAGTTATCTAAAATCGATGAGACATTGTTGAAGAGGTAATTTAGTTGAGTTGTAATTTCAGTGAGAATGAAACCAGTGTTTTATCGATCTCGGAGGATCATGATGGTTTTGAGGACTTCCGGGTGGGGTAGTGTCTGCGTGGGAATGACTTTCCGAGAAGTTACGTTTTTGAACGTTTTTTTTTATATACCAGAAGAGTCCGGTTTAGTGGAATTCATCAAGGTTGAATGTAACAGCACTGACGAGCGAAATACCAGTGAAAATTCAGGTAGGAACGTTATCCAAGTGAGAGTTTCCTCCCGGTTCCGATGTAATTGGGGGAATTTCGGTCGTGGAACATTCTCTATCGGTTCTGGGACGACTTTCCCATTTTTGTAGTTGTAATTTAACACGATACGACTGATTATCTTTGACGTACAGTTATGCTTTTACAAGCATTCTTTATGATCAACCATTATTCATAAACTATATCGCTCTATTTGTCGGATCATAAAATCGATCATACGGCGGATGTCGTAATGCCCAATTATCAATTTTAGTGATGAATTTCTCGTGCCAAATCGAGATCACCGCCCTTTAAATTCTTGCTGCCCTGTTATTGAGTTATTTCTTCGATTATTGATCGATAAACACACCGTTGATCATTTTTTATGCATATTTTAACGAGTTTCGCGATTGGAAATTTTATTTTACGGTAACATTTATGTATTCTTGATTTTTTTATTAACTCAAAAGGCTGTGGTATCTGGTACTGAATATATTTATATGTTTATTGAAAATTCCAGGCAGGTTGGAAATTTCAATTGGTCCTCTGCCTAAAAATTGAATTAGATGATAACGTAAAACTTCTTAATTATGTTCCCGAAATCATCAGAAAGCGGTGAAAAAATATAAACAATTATTCTATCGAAAACAATGTGCCAAGTAACATTCCCGATAAATTTCCCTCATAATAGGTTTAGGAGAGATTTTCTGGGCTATCCACTCTTAATAACACCAACTGAAATGCACAGCAAAAGTAATTGAGAATATTTGAAGAATTTAATCAATCTAGGAACGCCGTTGGGCTCATTTTGATGGTGGAGCATTCTTTATCGAGTTGCGTGCTGGTTTTCCCATTTTGTAGTTGTACGCGATGAAAAAAAACATTAAGAAAAATTACGTGACAAGTCGCGCATTCGCGTATCATTTCCACGGAAATCCCAGAAAAATTATCCAGCAAAAGATAAATACTTCTATTCAATATTATTTTACTCAACAAGAATTTTATCGAATATTTGAGAATTTTTGTGAAATAAAAATCTCTTAAATTTCTGTTTTTACCGATTAAAAAAAAAACTGAATCTTGAGGAATACTTGCTGAACATTCGTATGGAACGGAGGATTTTCTGTGAGAACTTTCACACAACTAGAAATTGTCGGACGTATTGACTGAGAACCTATTGACATTATACATTGATTGAGTCGATTACTTCAATTATAGGACGTACAACCTCCGTGATTTGTTCCTGTCATCGATCATTTGACATTCGGTTGAATGAAGAAAGAATAATGATAATATAATTTTCGAAAAGCCATTTCTTTCCAGTCAAGTGTCACTCGTCTGAATGCCAAGGCAATTCTCACGTGATTCCATTGATTTCATCATCGAAAATTTTCTATTGAATCATGGAACAGGTTTTTTCGGGACAGTATTTCTGGGAAAGGGACAACGCATGACGGGAACACTTATTAATTATCCAGCACCGATAGCGAAATAATCCGCGAATTTGTGCGGCGCAATCGGATAAGAACATCAGTTTGAATATAAAATTCGAGACAAAATTATTCGCAACCTTCGCAGTATCAATAACCGGAAATCGATCGTGACTTGATCGATCATATCTCGGCCTTTCACAAGCAATAGTTGACACCCATTCCCTAAAAAAAATTTTGTAAATCACTTATTCGACGGATCATTAATTTTCGTCAAGATTTGGCAACCAATGACAGGAAATAAATATTATTCTCTCTTAACTATATTTAAAAATTTATTCATATCTCAATAATAATAAGAATGAATATAATAAACATTTTTACCAGATAATGCCAATAAGAATGACATAAGGTTTCTTAAAAAAAAATCGAATTGGATAAATAAATACACGACTACTTCCTAATTCGGTCAGTTTACGAGTTGTCAACACATCCAAAACAAGAAAATTCTATTTTTTTTAGGAGGATGGAGAGTGATACAGCCAATTAGAGAGAGAAGAGGTGAATACTCTCAATGAAACACTAAACGAAATCTCATAATCAACCGTGGAATATTGGTATTAGTATCGTTAACATACATTCCAATCACCTGGATATCCTCCTCAAACACCGGAACGATGAATGACGTTTAAGTTTATCCACTTTCTCCGATGAACGCTTAAAAATCATCGGCACAGCGTGGAAGCCCTGTATCAATGACTAGATATAATCATCTACTACAGAATCGATACCACCGCAAGCTACAAATTGTTCGGTACAAAAAAAGACTCATCATGAAACTAATTAAATGCCGCATGCCTTATACTGTTTTTTTCTTCTAATTTCAGTAACTGTTGCGTCAGAGCTATCAATGGTATGAATTTAGAAGGCATTTCAAATGTAACTCACGACTTTCCAAGTCATCTTGAATTTTATTTCGCGTTAAGTAATCTACTATAATTACGCTCATTTTTTTGAGTCTCCAATTGGGAATTTTGTACCTCAGTGTTAGTCATTCAGAAAACTCTTGGGAGTCAATTTTCGATTCTGTAAAAGTCAAGTAACTAACAAAAATTCGGATGCAATTTTAAGCTGAGTCAGAAATTCAAATACCAAAAGTTTATAATTGAGACTTTCGAATCCTCAACGTTGAAGCCTCGAAAGTCTCAGTTTCGACTTTCAAATATTTCAGTTTGACATAATAAAAATGCTGCCCGCCCATATTTCATGGCTCATTTACACCTGAAATTCATAATGAGAAATTGAGCATTAATTGGATTTAATTTCCATTAAACAGCGAATCGATGAAACTACCAGTGAAAATTTGTAAAAAATCAAATATACAAAAAACATTAAGAAAACCTGTGTTTTAGATATTTTCTCATATAAACTGGGCCAATTGAAGATATTAAAGACATTTTTTCCGTGTTTCTCTGGAATCTTGTAACAGTATAGCGGTATTATATGATATGCGATTATATGACGTATTTTATGACATGAATCTTGAGTCTCTGAAGCATGACGAGTCAAAGGGTGTGTACTGGTGTGTGAAAGCGTCCTTGGCTGTTGAACTTGGTGAGATTGTCTCTATCTCACGCCTCTTTCACCCAAAATCCAACTGCTCACATTCCGATGCGGGAATTACGCATCGGCTCGATGCACTTTCCAATGTCTGGTACCGAGGGTATGCGCGGTAGTAACCAGTTGACAATGGCTAACGGAATAACTGCAGGCGTTATTTTTTATGGAGTCGACAATCATTAAATGGTAATTGAATATCCTCGGGTGCAGTGTTCAGGAAGAATTGTTCCCTCTCGCTTATTGGGGAGAGAATGATTCAGTGATTGAATGGTTAAACAAACTAATGGAATTCCACATCATCGTCTCTTTTGCGAGGGCAAGAAAACGTTTTCTGATTGCAGACAGGAGGGATCGTTCTCCACTTCATGACCATTTTTCCACGAAAATTTTACGACGGATTAAAGGTAAATGGTGTACTGTTAATGGTATCGTAAAAGGAATAAGAATGGGCAGTCCTAAATTGAAAAAAATATAACAGGAGCTTCCTGGGAATAGGAGAGAATCCCGTGGAAATATTCGAAATATTATTCCCGCAGTGGATTATTTATTATGTTGGAATAATTCGATGGCAATTCAGGGATAATTAATAATTCCATCCAATTGAAATTTTTTTATATTATCCGGTTTATATTAATTCTTTCGCGAAACGTGCGATTTTAATTTTTATCATGGAATCAGCGCTTGCAAAATTTTAATTAACAATTATTGAAACATTCTGTTGAAAACCCCCGGAATTTCAGGCTGACAAAAAATTGCTTTACCAAATAATTGTTTAGTCCCACTTTTTTTATATATATCCACAGCTGTAATGACAGGTCGAACATTTGGATAGCTCTCCGAACCGATACGTAAATCAAGAATGAAAATCAGGGAAATGCAGGATAAGAGAATTTCACCGGAGTTTACATCATGAAAAATTTTTCCCAGATGCAATTGGAGTGGTGACTACATTTGCTTTCCGCAATGCGACATGTGCTCGCATGACCAATAATGATACTCACCCAAATGAGGAAACTTACGCGAATCGCGTGAAGTCTGTGGAAAAATTCTCGTAGTATTCAGTAAAATAAATTCTCTGTAAATCGAAGAGTTCAAAAATTTTAGACTATTTCAGGTATTTACCATTGAAATTTCCGTATGACCCCCCAGCGTTCCAAAAAATCAAAATGGACTTTGATCTCCAGTAGAATAAAAATATCAATCATTATAAATTCACGCACAACAAATTATTATAATGGATTATTCAACTTATCCGGAAAAAATCGAATTCCTCTGCATAAATTTCGAATTTCTAACTTTTCTATTAAATTCTATTCCAAGATGATTAATAGTAGAGTTTAATCTTTTTCTTTCAATACTATAGATACCACTCGTTCGGTTTCGTCGATAGGGAGAGTGTGTCATCGCGCAGAAGGAACGTGAGATCATTAAATTTCACTGATGAATCTGTCCTTTTCTCCCATCAAAACAAGCATATTACCGAGAATTCTCCAATAGATATCTCCACCAGCCGAATTTAAAATTATAATTCCTATCCCTCGCTAATGTCCACCATTTGCCAGGTGGATGGACCACTTTCCCACTCATAACATACCTATCTATAGGCTTTGACACACTGCCGGAGGCTTTGGCACGATCACGGACTACCAGCCCAACTTGGCCCAAATAATCTCCACGAAATCGGCAGAAATCTGTGTCACCATTATCCGAATGATTTGAGTATTTCTGTCCAAATCTACCCAGGCAGATAATAATTGACGCGCCAGAAGTCAATTAATTCGGTAGAATAGAGAATACTCAATAAAAACTTGCCATTATTCGCCGGCACTAAAATACTTGCAACATTATATACTGCGGCATTATATATTGCGGAATTTTCAGTTATTTAAAAATTCCAGTTATCCTGTACGTGTGAAAAATTCCGCAACAAATTCTAGAAGAACCCCGGAAAAATCACGTGAATTTCGTATTTCTTTCCTCTTTTTGTAAAAAAAATTGTAATAAATACGGGAGAAATCACGATAAAAAATTTTCGGAAATAAAAGATAATAATGGGCATTATTCCATCTTTCGGTGAAGGATATTGCGTGCAGCGATTACCATGGCAATTTCAGCATCCTGTTAATTAACATCCTTATTCAGAATATATTTTTCGTAAGTCTCGTAAAACGAGCGGACCAATAATAAAAAATTACTCCGCAATTCGCTGTTATTGACGTTGCGATTCTCATACCGGATGCAGTGCGCTCATCCCGAGTACGCGAGAGCGAATTTCTCATGGCATATACCTGACGTTACTTATCTGTCAACGTAACCGCAGTTCATTAAAAACTAAATGGAATTACCCGCGGACTTTTAATGAAGATGTACTTCTCTGATTAGATTTATACCACCAATGTTGCGAAAAAAAAAATACTGGCCTCAAGTTCACCTTTAAATTCCCAACATTTTTATTTTTTACTCCCACCGTTTTTTGGTTCCACCTCGACCTGAAAATTGATAATTTTATTTAAATACTATAGATATAATAAATTGTTAATGAAGAATTATCGAGGAATTTCGTGTGACTTGGTGGGTATTTAAAATTTCAAGTGTGGTTTCTTGACAATTTATTTGTTGAGTGGCGAATTCAAGTGACAATAACTGAAACATAGAAATTTCCTGGAAACACGGGATTACGTGGTAAATTGCAATGATTGCTCAGTCCAGAGGCTGGACGGAGATTCCAACGTCGTGTTCGTCTCCGCGTGCGCTCACCGGTGAAAGTTTATTTCCGCCTTCCTAAATTTCTGTTTAATATAATTCAATGTTATTCCACTGGCCCTTCTCGCACTCGTCCGGAAAAGTAAACGGTAATTCAATTAGAATAATGCCCTTTGGAAGGTTGAGGAAAATATGAGGAATGTGATTATATGAAAATAATATGGTCGACGCAGACACCGGAAAGGAAAACGTCGAATGTTAACAGATTTGAGTGGCTGAAGAATTTCTGAGGCGGTGAGAGTAGCCGGTGGAGGTCACGGGAATAATTTTTTCGGGGAAAAGTGCGTGACTATCACCTGGAAATGTGTGTCAGACACTTGTACCCAGGTTCATTGCAAATCCAGGATGACAGACAAAGGGGAATCGAGATTAGGAAAGAAAGTACGGCGAATGGATAGGAATTAATAGCGGTGATAGTTGCCCCGATAAGATAATCAAGGGGAACTCTATCTCTGTGTCTCGTAATGAAAATCGAATTCTGAGTGATTCGAAATTACATTCACGTGGACTTTTTCAACTTTTCACTCGAGTTTTCGGTTACATTTTCCATTGTAATGCTCAATAGTGGGAATTTATTAGCCGAAAATTCGTGTTAATTAGGAAAAATAACCAAACATGATTGCCAAAATAATGATCATTAAACCCATTAAACCGAAATGAATTATTCATAAAAATATAGAGTCTTATTAAAAAAATTTCGCATTACCTGAATCTTTGAATAAAAGTTAATAGCAAGGACGAATATCACCCAAGAAATCAGCAACGAAGAGGTAAAAGGTTCCCTAGTAAAATTTTCGAGAAATATCTCAGAATCTAAGGAAGATGACGAAATTTGTGTTAAAATCTCTTTTATCAGACGAACTGCGAGCTATAAAAAAGATCTTAACGAAAATTTACTTACCTCCCTCAGCTGCCGAGATATACCTGGAAAACTTAGCGATTATCTAAATCAACTTGATATCCCGTACATTTTCAGTGGAGAAATGTATTTTCCTCTGAGTGCATCTGTCCAAAGAGAAAAATCTTATAACAGTTGAAAAAATAAGGGAGTAGCTGATGGAAAATCGCCAGAACCGTAAAATTCTATCATGTTTTTCCTAAAGCAAATGCAGAGTATGTACTGCTGGTGCACAGGCAGTCGGTAGTGCCATGACCTTTTATGGATAATAAAGACAAATACCTGGCAGTACGGGAAGAGCCGTACGGCTGCTTATGCGAAATACATAAAATATTGACGCATTAACTGGAGAAACGATACGATACGTCAGGATATAAACGCATGTCAGTCGTTTTAAAGGGAAACAACGACGAGGGTAGACTGAGCAAGTGACGAAGAGAGATAACTGAGACGAGACACTGAGGATACACCAGCATCATCCGAGTGCCCTCTCCAGCAATTCCCACTATACGCTGGAATAACGACTTTAATGGCAGAACGAGTCCAAGGGTTCCTCGGTAAAAGGGTGCAAGCGTTTCTACGCTATCCCGTCGCAGCCTGGGATTTAACGAGCCACCTCTAGCCCTCTCCCCGCCTGACGGTTACGATCACCTCTACCATCTCATTTTATATAGCCCCGGCCTATGTACAGATATACACGATAATACAAAGCCTGAGGCACTAACTTGTGATGCGTCATGAACAGGTACACGTCTAATTAATTAGCACCCGAAAAATATACAGCTGTTGAGCGTTCGAGTACCTGATCGTAAACACCGAGAGATTGACCGAATTTCGAACATCTGTCATTACACTGTTGAAAATTTATTGACATTTCAGTCACTATTTCATCTGTATTTTCTATTGAAAATGTTATCGCTGAATGATTCGGGCGTTTCGTTGATCGTCATTCTACCCTACGATTCATTATTTTTACCTCTCGTATGATTTTGCAACCCCTCACACTGCCAAACTGGGAGAAGAGGGCACACAGCAAATCCTCGCTGACAGATACATCGAGATTACCTATGTACCTGCATCGCGTTTATTACTTTTGTTGGATTCTCATTCACCAGTTTCATGGTTAATTGTGCAAGTTCTTTATTTATCATACTCACAGTGTTTTCGGAGGAATTGGCTCGGCCATGATGCTGGCGACACTGCAATCACACGAGGCACTAGTGCTTGCATGCATTTACCAGGTGCATCTCGTCAGCATACGTATTGGCTATTACATAAATAGTTATTTTATTTAAAAACACCTTTCCTACAGCGCTAGCCAAAAGGCGTGAGTGATGTGGGAGAGGAATGCGTCGTAACGCCTCAATGGAAATTTCTTCAGTGTTTCTTCAGCATTGAGGACAACATGAGTGCTCCATGAATCTTAGAAAATAATACTTTTTTTTTTAGTCCTTCAATGTGCCACACGTTATTTCTGTCACAACCTCCACCCACTAGTTCTCATTAAATAGCAAGAAAAATTAATGAAGGAAACCTAGTGGGACTTTCCCACAGGATGATATTGCATTATTTCCAAGTGACTTTTACAATTTTCTATACACAACGTAGAAACGAAATGAAATTAACTCAGACCATTTAGTCTCCGCGTGATTTTTATCAAGAAGGAACGAAGTAAAAACCATTAAAAAATATTCTGAAAACCTCTTCATTTCTCATTTGCATTCTTCAGATTATTCTCAAAGAGACTGTGAGTCAGCAAACACGTGAATGAACAACAATATAATTGTATAAAAAAATCATTTGGCAGCTTAATTGCAGCTGCTCTTCACCCCTTCATAACTGATTTGATCCTTCGATTTCCTCTTACATTGAAGCCGATTAATGGACGGCAAAAGTGGAATAAGTCAAGCATAATGCGGCAATAGTATACAATACCCTCGGATGGGGCGGGGCATCGTGACGGTCCCGCAGTTCAAAAAGTATTGAGGAAAGGGATGTGAAACAGGTGAAGCAAAAAAGTTATACTTTTCAGAAGGCCATAAATCATCTTGGAAATTCACCGTGGCTGACAGGCTCGGTAGTTTTACGAGGCACTGCACGCAAAATGCAAATGCCCCCACGAGGCACCAGTGGGTGGTGGGCTTGCACTGCAATTAATTAGCGTTTCGTGATATAACCCTGGGGCTCATGGTGCATGGGTACATTTTTTTCCTCCTTTCTGTCCTACCCTCTTTGCCCACCACCCCTGGCTAACTAAACAATCCCTTCCACCCCCCTGTCCACCCCACCGATAAGCCAATGCCGTTCGACACGAGCCCAGGGGACACGTAATGTCCCACTACAAGTGATGCTAAAATAAATGATACCTTTTTCATATTTCTTTCGCTTATAATAATCCGATTATACTTTACATAATATACTGTCATTTCACTTCGTCTGAGACCTCTTTAGTCTCGGAAATTCTCTACTTTAGCCAATGTTAACTTGAATCAACTATTCCAGAAGAATTACCAATCGGATTGATTTTTTTGTTTCATCAATTTTGAATTCAATAATGGAATGGTAGAATGTGAAAAACGATTTTCCCCTGTTCACCAGATTGTGGCAGGTATTTGTGGCAGGTGTATTGAAATAAAGACTGTGTATTTATTGGCGAGATGTTTACATCTGGTGAAGAAATTAGACTTGTTGTGTATGAATGTCACGGATTAAACTGATCGGATCTCATCTGATCCATTTGGTGGGGAGCGTGCGGCTTTATATGACTTTATTAATCGAAGGTGCTAGAATTGTCCCGAAATTTCGTGAGGGACAAGGACGAAGCGATATTTATCTCGGTTTCTCTCTCGGAGAGCATTCGATCCGTTACGCGCTAAATGCAGAGGAAATTGATATTGTGGCTTGCGCCACATTTTTATTGAAAAATTTAATTAACTACAAAAAAGATCTCTCGATATTTCCCACGATTGCACAAAAATATAATTTCTTATCGATACATTCCACCACTTGACTTCAGAACGATATGATCGTTCGCATTAGCTTCACAATTTGATTCGTTGTCTTGAGAAATAATATTAATATCACATTAGGATTTCCGTACGAATCCAGAAGTGGGAGGTGGTCCGACAGGTCTGTGACTCATGGGTGCAGTGGGATCGACCCCCATTGGGGCTCCCATGGTTGTACTCGGTAACCCGAAGGCATCCGGAGTTGATACTCCTCCCGAAGGTCCAGGACTGAAGAAACTCGGGGAATCAGCAGCAGGACGTTCAATGGTCATCGTTTGTTGGGGTAATTGTGCGTCTGTCTGTATCCCATTGGCCCCATACATCTCCTTCAATATCAGTAGCATCGTATCCTCCGATTCCCTGAAGACAAATAAAACTCTCTATTATTCCACGTTTCATAAATTCATACTACCCATTGTTTGAAAAACCACAAATTCTCTCACCAGTAGCACACATGGGCGGTCAAGGCGAAAATGTACTCGTTTATGTACTCGAAAGGTGCTTCCTGGAGGACGTAATCGATACGTCTGCCACCATTGAGCTGTCCAACTTTCAAATTCACCCCTCTCTCATTCTCCCTATCGTCATCCTGCTCATGATCAATATTATGGTTACTATTACTCGACTTTTGCAGCTGCTCCTCGACCACTTTATCGATCTCTTGCTCAAGTGCGTGATTGTCCTGGCGATGGAACATTGCCAATTGGTAAACTGAATTCCAGGTGCTTTTCACTGAGTCCAGAAGCTTCTGCTTCAAATCAGCCCCCACTCTCGCCATAGTTTCCTTCAATTCTGAAATTAAAATTCCAAACTGTTAGCAATATTACTCACAATTTACTATCAAACTAACAGAGGCCTATTATTATTCTAATTTTTATTGAAACATAAGAAAAAATTTCACCGACCTAAATGCATTCGTTTTCTCCCTTTGTGATGAGGAATCAGCATCGGTCTGAATTTGTACGCCTCAGGATTGATGAGTGCCTCCATCCTGTAGGCAACTGGGTCGAACGGATGAAAAATATTGAAGAAAGCAGGACAAGTGGGGAGCTTGAAGTTCTCCCCGAGCTTATCGATGCCACGAACAGTGACAAACATTCCAATTGGACTGCCGAGGGCGAAGAATGCCTTGGGTGAGAAATTCAGGTGTGGATAAACGATGAATGGCTGGCCAGTGCCTGCTGCCCCCATAACGTAACTTATTTTCCTGCTCAGGCGACGTTTGAGCATTGGCTTGGGCATGGGTTTCAGGGATGAGTTGATGGAGCTGTCTCTCTCCTCGTCTGTGTTTTCATCCTCTTCCTTGATGACGTCATCAGCGTCAGGTTTAGTCTCGTCCACTGGTGCCTTCTGATGGCATAGGAGGTCGAAAAGAATCAAACTGCCCAGTGAGTGACCCCCGAGATAAATATCCCCAGTAAAATTCGGATTTCTCTCCCTGAAAAGTGCGTTCACTCTATTCATCTCGTTACCAACAGTCTGCATTATTGTTTGACAGAAAACTGGACTCGTGTAGAACAGGATGTCTAGCAGAGTGTCATTAGTGAAGTGTCGTAATTTCGGTATACTCTCCAGTGTTATAGCCTTCAATTTCTTATCGATCCCAGTGTCCTCCGAGTGCAATGTTGCGTGCCACGATATTGGTAGTACTTCAATCCTATTTACAATCCCATGAGTACTCGTTGTACGGTAGTGCGATTGGATGAGCTGAAGGGAAATGCTTCGAAACTCGTCAACTGGCGAATAAAAACCGATTAATAATATGAGAATTTATTGTTTTTTTCCTTGTTCATTTAATATTTCGAAGTAATATTTTTTGTTGTGATTTTTGTAGGTAATATTTTGAGTTGGGTTATTGTGATAGACAACCCTCGGGAAAAAATGTTTTTGTGACAAAAAATGTTTTTTTTTTTGAGATCTCACCTACTTCCTCGACACTTCGGAATTTTAGATCGCAGACACTACCGATTCCGTGGACGAGGAACAGAAGGTGGTCGATTTTCTCAGGTTCGCCCTCCTCGATGTGAAATTCATCTACCCCACGTTTAACTACCTTAGGCCGAGTCGATGTGCCCTGCAAATACGTAGTACTCTCTGAATCCTGATTGAACAAGATTCATGGAACACACGTTAATTAGAAATTTCATAGGCAAAAAAAATAAAAAGAATAAATTGTTTGGAGTTCCAAGGATTAATTCTTGCAATGACGTCGGATTAAATTAATAAATTATTCACAAACTCCGTGATATTAAATATTGACCAGAAGGCCCATTCTCATTAATTTTTTTTCATGGCTGACCTGATAACAGCTATAAAAGAATAGGTGAAACAACAAAAATACTTGGACATTGGCAATCATAAAATGCGTGCAATAGCCAAAAAAAAAGCGTTTTCCAAAAGGTTTTCAATCCAATTCCACGGCAAGACCCCAGTCCTCCCGAGCAAATGAACGATAAAAAATATGATTGACTTACAGCACTGTTGCCCCAAGAGGCGACAAGCTCAGGTGAGCTGGTCGGAAGGTAATGAATCTGTATGGTAGCACTGTGAAAAACAACGTACTCTCCATTATTGAGCTCGACCTTCCTGTTCCAGTGGTCATTGGTGCACGCCTGTTTGTACTCCTCCTCGAGCCTGGCGGCAGTCCCCTCCTCATAGGGAATATACCTTGACTCACCAGGGCCCTTGTAAAACCACGAGGCCCTTCTGACCTCAACGGGTTCTCCAGTCCAGTAAACAGGCACCCTCTGTCGCTTGAGTATCTCAACGTCATAACGACCCCCATCAGTGGCAACCATTGTCTCCGGTGTGATATCACTGGAATTATGCACCCCCTCCAGACTCAAACTATCCTGCATCGAAAACGGATTCCATAACACTTTATTCTCAACATTTTTCCGATAAAACCAGTGATGATAAACTGGCCTGTACACCATTTTTTTATCACTCCCAGCTGCCAAACTGTGAAGACTCGGTGGAATAGTATCAGTCTGCTGACTACGTACGATCGATGGATTTATCGATGTTTGTATCGGATTAAGTGTTGCTGTGCCCGTTGGTTCGGGCATTTCACTTGTGATTGAAGTTGCCCGAGGCGACGACCAGTTGCCACTATTAGTCGTTGCTGAAATGAATCCACCGCTAATTGCGCTTTGCGTGGTAGTTTCACATTGACGAGGTAAATTATCAACACTAGAATTCAATTCAAATTCAACGGGATTGTAAAACGATAACTGTGAAAGAGGTTGAGCTGATTGGCTCGGTTTTACATGCCTCGCACCACCGTTATTCGCATCAAAAAATTTACTGAGACTTGGCTCACTGTTCACATGAGGGAAATTACTCGTGAACAGGTGATTTGCCGACTCCACCGGTGGAAAATCCCCGATCAATGGTTTGATTGGTGATTGGCCCTCGAGGCGGCTGACCCTTGTGGCCTCTCGTGGCTGAAAAGCACCTGGTGGTGAGGTTCTCTGGAGATCTATATCTGCTAGATCTTCAGGGACTGATTCTGGCCTCGGTGCATCATTCGGTGCACTCGGTGTCGGATCATTACGAGCTTCTCTCGATGTACCAGTTATCGGGGGAAACTCAGACAAATCGTTTATTGATTGCTGCTGATGGGGATGATAATTCGGCTCAAATACAGCCGCTGCGAAGTAGTTGGCTGGGGTGTTGTGGGGGGTGACAGGATCCCTCAATGCACCACCCGTCGGGATTTCTTGGGGTCCAGATATCGCTGATATCGATGGATTATTAGGTAGTAATGGAACTAGTGGAAATCCGTGATTATCATCAGCCCGTGGAGCAGCGAAGCTCGGATTGAAGAAGTCTGATTGTTGTGCTTGAGTTGGAGTACTTTGAACAGCGAGGGGGGGTGGTGTAAAAGTTTTTACTGTGCTTGATGTCAAATCCGGTGGGGGGGCGTATTTCAGGCGTCGCTGGTTGCCAAGACGATACGATACTGTGCCTGCAAGCCAAGTGTTATGGGAAATTACTCCGCGGTTGGGTAAATTAAGTGGGGTATGAACGCGAAAATTTAATTGACTTACCCAAAGCGGTGGGTGGACACGAGGGGGTTGGGGGATGGGGTGGCTGCTGGAGTGACGGTGGACGAGATTGATCGTTGGGATTCTCCGGTTGATGATACTCCTGCGGTTGGAAGTATGATGGGTTATTTGCAGACAGCCTGTCCTCTATTGAATCGTTGGAGGGTGCACTGGGTGTTGTGCCCTGTTGTCCCGTCAACGAGGTGAGAGAGAGGCTTGGCAGCGATGAGAGGATCGACGTGAAGTAAGATCTCTGGGAATCGACTGACGGTTCTTTCGATTCACGGGGGGTTAATGGAATTTCGGTTATGGGGGGGTGGATATTGTGCTCGACTATCGAGGGCTGGAGAATTGCTGGGGTTGAACTTACCAGCTCAACTTCGTGGTGAGTATCTACGGCAAAAAAAAACGGGTTTGATTTTTTTTTTGCGTATAAATTTAAGTTGATCTACTGAAAATTATGGGTCTGATTTTTTGCGCCAGCATATGGGGATGTGATTATAATAATTGTTTTCTCATAAAAAATCTATCCAATTTTATGATTTTTATTATGAATGGGAACTTCAATAGACCCTATTCATTTAACCATAAAATAATAACCACTTAAAACTCCATTTTTTTATAAGCTAAAAAGAGGAAAAAATCCGTGGAATAATAATTAAAGATAGAAAATTTCCCCGAAAGCAAATTGCTGATTTGTTAGCAACAATACCAAATTTGTCTACTGATAGTAAATCGCAATGAATCATTATGTTATGATTAAATTAAAAAGCGAGAACAGAATTATCTGCTATCGTCATCTGAATTATTACAGATTATTATACATAATAAAATCATTCAGTAATTGCAAAATCATTTACATGCAATAGTTGAAATTTTCAATTTACACCGACCACTGGCTTAGTGATTCTTTCCTCTTCTAATGTTTAAGAATTTTTGGAATTTTAGTCATGCCCGACGCTTTTATGATCTAAAGAAAAGGCGATGAGTCTGCGGACTGATGGGTAAATGTTTGACAGGATATGCGTGAGGTGAGAGAGATAATGAGAATGGGTATTTTGAAATGACTGATACTCGTTTTACCGAGATTTACTTTCCACGTGCGATGAGGATATACACACCCATTACACTATCATGTCAAAGTGTCAATAATATGATGTTACAATTGTGCAATACGTCACTGTATTCGTAGCACTCTTTTTCTTTTCTTAGTGAACCGGAAGCAGGCTGTTATAAATACTAGTGCCCTGCCCAGGGTATTACTCAGTATTGGTTAAAATTCAAGAGGAATCGGTTATTTGACAGTCTGTGGAATTATGGAGAGAATTTTTTTGATGGCTGCTGTGTGCGTTATTAGCACCAGGGGTGATGGAACGTATGGGAGTGTTAAAGTGGTTGATAATGCATTGCAGTTCAAAGTGCCTAATGAGGCGGGAATCGATGATACCCAGTGGATTGTTATTAATCGAACGAGTCAGGCGATAAATAAAATTTTCACTAAGAAGGATGAGTGCTCCAGGTCGTATTTTTTGGACATGAAAATTATTCGATTTTTTAACAGTATTTATCGGGAGCCTGGGGCTCATTTGTGGCTCATTAATAATGGCTCGACGGTTTGATACAGGTATTGCATTGAGGGAGAAGATAGCAATGACAAAGTGCCACCGAATTTGCACAGGAAGAGGATCAATTTCATCTGGCATATCAGCGACAATCTTCCGGAATTCAATAGTGAGTGAAGTGTACTAATTATCATGATCGGTATTTGCAGTTGAGTAAATTAGTCATTACGAATATAATTGTCAATCGAATTGATCGATTGAACGTGCTCTAAGTTAAATAAATTAGTCATTATCATTTTACTATCGCTTTACTGATAATTTTTATGATTTCATTCATATTTCGGTGTAATTGAAAAACCACATTGTTTATTTTTACCTATTAAATCGACCATGTGCGTGAATTTTCCGCCGAATGACTTTTTCTATTTCCAAAATATTCGTTACATTGCAAAGAACAAAGCTGGGAATCCGTTTTACGATCCGTTGGCTAGATGACGAAAAAATTGAACTATTTTTTTTCGTTTTATTGCTTTTGCATTGCTTTATGAATTTTTCTTTTTTTTGTTTTGTTTTTATGATTCATTAAATAGATCATAAAACGGGCGGTTAAACGAATAAAACCTTTGTTTGTTGGAGTCCGAGGAATATTTTAAAGAAACAAAAATTTTTATCGGACGAAAAAGGATACAATTGGATGGTGATTGTCATTTAATGGTGAAAATGATAAACACCATAAATTCTTGGCGCAGGAAGTTGCCGTTCAATAAATATGTTGAGAGCCCAGTTCTCAATGGAATCTCTATAAAATGTCTTGAAACTATTTCAGAAAACGCATTATCCCTGGATAATCAAGAACTGAAGAATTCGAATGGACCAGAGATATCGAGAGAAAAGTGTGAAATTCAACTATCTATTGGCTGTAAAAATTCCATAAACGGAGTAGACCGAGAAAATGCCGATAAATTGGTGCACATTTTTAATCAACACTAATTAATAATACTGCTCTAAATAATTAATTAAGTAGACGAGATTCTAAGATATGTCTTTTCGACACAGGAAATCCTGAGGAAGACCCACCTAACGGGATTCACCTCTAACAAATTCAATGTGCATCTCGATGCAGATCATTTGCAATTGAGAATCGAGGGAAACGTCACGTGGATATTCCTGGAGATACCTGCGGGTAAGAATATTTAACATCAGATAGAAAAATGAAGGCCACCTGCAATGACGACCACGTGGTTATTTAAAACTGTGCGCACAATCAGTGCAGCATCGACCGCTCAAAAATAAACCTTCCACGAACGCAACAACACATGCAATAATCATATCTCAGTAACACAATAATTTCCCTGAGCAATTGATACAAACACTCACCTCGCAAGCCTCAGCTTCTAAAAACACAATAATTTATCATTTAAAAATCGAGTACATGCACGTCACGACCGATTCACTAACGAAGTGGTAGACGAGATTGAGTTAATTTTGACAATTCGCCAGTTTTTATCTCGGAATCCAAGACAGATAGTAAAATATTTATCATAACCTTTTTTTCGAAGCTCATTGAGATCTACAAAAAAGATTATTTAAAAAATTTTGATATCTCCGTGAGTTTCGGAGATATCCCCGACAAACTCAGCGAATATGTACGTCAATTGGCATCGGTTTATCACTAGACTGCAGAATTGATCGTGACAAAAAACGAATGAGTATCATAATGAAAGGTTACGTGTCATGCATATAAACATGCAATAGCATCTCCATCTGGCACATCCTGGAAGAATAGCTCCCTCAATTATTCTCCCATTGACCCAACAAAGGGCAATTGTTTCTTAGATGATTGATAACCGTAAGAAACTGGTCGTACGCACTTTTGTACATGAATTTTGACTCGCCAGGATAAATAATGACAAATAAATGAAAAACAGGGAGGAGAAACGGGATGGAGCCCCTTGGACTGTCACTGGTGCGTGCTGATGGAAATGGGGTGAATCTCATTGCGAACAACCCTCCACCAGGTGGCTGGCTTTTGAAGCTCAGAGGGAGGGAAAATTCAACGTACAGTCTCACTGCTTGGCAAGTTGTTCCACTGGATACTCCAGAGCCACTTGCTGCCCTTCAAGACGATGATAAACTCAACAGAGGTAGGTGGTCCCCCGAAACTCTCTCTTTTTTTCGATTCGGAGCACTCCCACACGTGACTCACGTGAAAGTCTTCCTCAGCGGGTTTTTCCTTCATATCTTTAGTGGAAATTCCGAGAAATGAACACGGATGTCATGGTTTCGAGTATCTAGGGTAAACTGACAGAAACTCGCGATTAGATGTGCGTTAGAAGTTCACCAGGCAGCCGACAACATTCCACTGACAATGAGGAGAAACATTGGCTCACAGCCTGCTTCATTTTGCGAATGATTATGCAACTATGTTCGTGTTTCTCTATTTTTCATCCTCAGATTGCTCTTTGACCGTAGTGTGTAAATCTAACGTCAATGATGACTGATACCGGTCTCGGTTCACTCTCTTTATGTCACTGAAAATTATTCTCAAGGATCTCTACGTTTCTAGTAAACAAAGATTCAGGAAGGTTCTATTAATGGGGATAATCTCCTTGACACAGAAATTGTTTTATTGAGTTTTAGACGGTTATTTCGTTCTGAATTTGAAAGACTTGTCTTTTTTACGTGACCATGAGCGTCATCTGGAAAAGAGTCAACAGACAATTGTCGTCATTAGAATTATATCTCGCTATGACGAATGCTCGTATCGCTTTGTGTTGATCTGATTCTTGTTTATTCAATTTTGCTTTGGTTAATTGAAATTGATTTATCGGGAGAAATCATGAGGAATAACGGTTTTAGCGAAAAAACTGGTTTTTCTCTGAAGGTTTCACGAATATTGAAAGAATAGATACTTTCAAGTGATTTCAATTGGATTTTATGAACAGGACGAGTCGTTCTCTGTGAAAGCGATGAGAATATTATTTAGAGATTTGATGACCAGAATTTTTTTCTTTAAGATTGAGAAGAATATTCGGGGTATTGTTCTGAATACAGTTGATAAGTATTTCTCCGTAGATATCGAGAACGACGGAATCGTGATTTTTCTCGAGGACATGGAGACACCAGAGTCTCGTCAAGCATCATTGAGATTTCCGAGTGAATCCTCGGACCTAGAAGGGAACAGAAATTACCCTAAGGCTGTTGTTTTTCAAGAGCCACTCGACGAGTTGTCCAAGTTTCAAATTGAGGAGAATGCAGACGCTGAGCTTCGAGACTTATCACGATCAAGTGGATTAATAACAAGAGGAAAGAGTGTTCCAGTGGATCTGTCCCCGGAGACGAAGCTCCTTGTCAAACCAGGAACTATTCATACGATCATTTTCACTGTTACTAATAATCAGGCTTTTGCACTTATACATGAATTCCATCCGAGCAGCACTCAGTTTCAGATCAGGGGCATCGAACCCAGAAGGTGAGCAAATGGTGTCACCATTGATATCCAAATCTAACTTGGAAGGAAAAACAATTATAACGAAAGTTCTTAGAATTCAAGAATTTTCCCTGCAAATAATGAATCGTTGTGTCAGTCGTGAGAAAAAGAAAGAGAAAGATTGTCTGAAGACATTTGTCTTGATTTAAAAATTAAATCTTCCCCTTTCAATAGATGGTGGATTCAACCAGACCAAACCATTAAAGTAGGCGTACACGTGGAAGTGCCATTGGTGGACGAAAATATCGTAAATACTGTAACTCTGCATGTAAAGCGAAGCGAAAACCTTGATCCTGTTCAGAAATCCGCCTACATGTATCTCCAGAGGTCATCGAATTCGGTGAGTAATAATTCTTATCACCTATCGATACACAAAATTACTGATAAGCATTTTACGATCTGTCCCCTCTAGATATCTGACAGCACAAAACCAACGATTGATTACGAATTTAGCAATAATTGCGCCGGAAGATTGCGCCTAGAGCGATGCGAAAATAACTTTTGGAGTGTTGACATTACCGTGACCGATGATAATTCAGGTAAACCGGGGTTTTATCTCTGTATTTTTTTTTCGGATTTTTCTGATACAATAGTACAAAATTTCAGGGTTGAAGAGAGTGGCGTCTCAACCGAATGGAGTTCATTCAAAGCGAGAGTTCATAGCTGGCACTAAAAATGCTGTACATTTCCTCTACACGTCCACGTGTTGCTACACAAAGGTGGAGGTGACAGCAACAGATGTTGTGGGAAACACTCACTCTCGGACCATTGACGTCACTGGTAATGATTTTCATTTCTCTTAAAGAAACTTTACGCCTCGGCCCGGAGAGAATTACATAAGGAAATTTTCTTTGAGGAATAAATCCGAATTTTTAACAACCATCCATTTCGCCCATTCCCCTTCAAAAAATGAGACCGATAATTCAATGGCGAATAAATTGCAATTTCAAATACAATCAAGTGCTTTAACGTTTTTTGAAGTTACGTATTCTTTCAGCTTCAATTTCTTTGAGAATTCACATAAAGTTCCGATTTTTTGGAGTACCAAAGAATATTTACTGCCAAATTCTCGTGAATTTGTTATCTCATCAGGAATTCTTTAAATCCTTTGGAAATTGAAAATTACACAATTTTCACTATTTCAGCCTGGGATAATTTGTCAACCGGCGAAATAGTAGCTATCGTCCTCGGCAGTCTGTTCCTACTCCTTATCATCATACTCCTCATCTTACTATGTATTCATTGTATACGTAAACGCAGAAGTGCGGACATTTCTTACTCCCAACGATATGGATCCAGAGGGGGCCCGAGCAGCAGGGCGGAAGGAACCAATTTCTGAACGAATTCAACATTCACATTTACTCTAGCAGCATGATAAATAAATGAACTCAACTATACCGTATATTAATTTATTTTCTATGCATTAATTTTCGAAACCGAAAAAAATAAAATGAAAAATATATTCGAAAGAAATTGTGAGTGTTATCACTGCCGCCCCGCCCAACCTAAAAAATTTCCCCAAGAAAGCTAATCGTACCATGAATCTCTTGACGAGGCGGCTCGTTGACAACAGCTGGAGTGACAGGCATCAGCAAATTGCTCCCTCCAAAATCATCGAAGGAGAATCCTTGACCAGCGGCAGTCAGGAGAGGATTTTTCATTTTACGCGATTGATCACCCATATTGTTTGCGAAAATGAGTCCAACACCAACAGCATAACGCAGCACAGTCACCGGATTGATCAATCTCTCACTAATAATGCGTTATACCGAATCGATTTGAATGCACAATTTGACTTGTCAAAACCAGAGTGAATTCTTGAACCTGTCTTATCCTCCACGTAGGCACCATAAACACGTGAACTCAACACAGAGATATTTTCACCATATCGTCAGCTGGAGGTGTCGGACTGGCGCATGCGTGGCGCTCTGGCGCATGCGTGGGCCGCTGACGCTGCACCGCCATCAGTTAAATTTATCGGCCATGCATAAATTTTCCGGCACTTGTATATCGTTGGATTGACAGCAAGAGTACGTCATGGGGGTTCAAAACCTGTGGAACATCATCGGGTCCTCCTGTGAAACAGTTTCCCTCGACAAACTGAGGGACAAGACTATTGCTATTGACTTGGCTGGATGGGCAGTCGACAGCCAGTGCTTGGGCTCTGCTAATGACGTACAAGTAAACATGCATCTAAGGTCAGTCAACAATTCTTAAGGTTATGTTTTTGTTTTGATCGCTCACTTGGGGTTCTGTTTATTGCTCTAGCACTTTAAAATTATTTCTAGGATGCAATAATATACCCCGAGATAATATAAAAAATGTTGAGTTTGATAAAAGGATCTTTACCTCTCGTTGGGGACTCTTAATATTGGTCTAGAATAATTCATCTAAAATTTCGTCATATAAGCAATTTTTCTAACTAGGATCTCTGAAATGATTTTTTCACTCGATTTTTATATTTTTAGGAATTTATTCTTCCGGACAAAAGCCCTCCTCATGCAGGGAACAATTCCAGTGTTTGTACTAGAAGGAAAACCCCCAGAATTGAAGATGAAAGTCATTGCAGAGAGACTGAATATCAGAGATGGGAAGAACAGAGATGTTGAGGGAAAAAAATTGAAGTGCAATCGGCAAGGACTGACCAAAGTACTTAAGAGCTGTGAGAAAATGTTGGAATTGATGGGATTGAAGTGTGTGAAGGCGCATGGAGAGGCGGAGGCTATGTGTGCTTATCTGAATCAGGATGGGCTCGTAGACGGCTGCATCACGCAGGACGGCGATTGTTTCTTATATGGGGCCAAAACGATATACAGGAAATATTCTCTGGCTGGACAGGCTAGCGTTGGAGGTACTGCTGAGGAATACACAATTGATAAAATAGAAAAAATATACAAACTAGGACGAAACAAGCTGATTGCACTCGCACTGCTCTGTGGGTGTGACTACACGCCTGGAGTCAATGGCATTGGCAAGACGACTGCATTAAAGTTCTTCAGCCAATTCGAGGACTCACAGATTTTGAGACGAATGAAGAGCTGGAGATATGACACGAGTGCAGCACCGACAAAACAGGAACAAGCGGTGAAATCTAAGTGTCTTCTAGTAGATGAATTCCCAGATCAACAAGTGATCGATGAGTTCCTGATACGAAAAGGTTCGATACCAACCAAAATTGATAATTGGCAGCGCCCCAACGGAGCCGGACTGGTAGAATATTTGGCAGAGCATTTGCGTTGGGAAACGCCCGCAACCTTCGAGAAGGTCCTCCCACTAGTCACAAGATGGCAAGTCATCAACTTCCAGAGTATTCCTCAAGAACTACGACCAAACGATCCGGAAGTCCTTATCCCCAAGGAAATCAAAAAGAAGAGAACTCCACAGACAGTCCTCTGTTTCGAAATTGAGTGGACAGTCCCAGGGGACAGTCTCTACTCCTATATACTTTCTGAGATCGACCAACCCCTCGAGGATACCAAGCCATTCCTCACAATAGAACGCCAGGATCACGTTATGCAATCGTATCCTCAGCTGGTCCAGGCGTTTGAAGATCTCCAGGCCGCTAAGAAGAAGCCAAAGAAGGCAAAAAAATTGGCGAAGGAACCGGACAAAATTGAAGAGCCTCCCAAACAGAAGAAAACCAGAGCTAAGAAGCCAGATTCGTCCTGCAAGAGAATCGATGCTTACTTCCAACAGAGAAAGTCTGTGGTTTCAAAAAAATTAAAAAGTCTTGAATCCCAGGACATCGGTAAATCACAGTCATCTCGTTATCAAGATCAACGAGAGGATGTAGTACATAACACCGTCTCAAAGCTCGCTGGGACTCTCCCACGAATTTTTGATCAATTGAATTCAGAAGATTTTGCCAGTGATGTGGATGCTGACTGTGCTGAGATGTCCATGATTATACAAAGAACTTGCAGTCAAACCAGCACAAATCTTCCTACATTAATGCCCGTACCACCACATCGATCAGCACTGGATTGTGTTCCAGAGGAAAAGCCTCGAGTCCCTAGTCCCATTATCAGACAACCAGAAGTACTCGATATTTCGTCTGACGATGATTTCGTTTATATCCCTCTCGGCGAGCGACTGAAGGCCAGGGTGTAACTCTGGTGAGAACTAACAAATTATTTATTGCGTACCTGATGATGTTTTCACAAAAGTTTACGTACATTTCATCGTAAAATCAGAACACAAATATAGTTTCTCAAGTTTCTTTTTAAATTCTCAAAAGCCTAACCAATTGGGCAAACGATTTTTTTAAAAGCTCGTATTAATAATTCACAACTAAACTCGCAATACATCTGTATAAATCCTGATACTAACTTTCCAGATTCTATTCGTTTATGTCTCTTTATGTTCATGTCTCTGTCACAGTTACGTGTCGCTCTGACTTTTTAAATTATTATGGTTTTAATAAAATCATATAAACATATAATTATTAGGCGGGACAAAGTGCGAGTGAACTCGTAATTTTTCTATGACAAATATCTTCCTCATCGATTTCCCTCGACTTAAAAAATGTACCTGGGTCCACTCTATCTGAAATGTGCGGAAATAGTCAACATTTCGTCAGTCGACGATCTTATTTAGGTCTCTCGACGAGCGCCTGAAGGTCAAGGGTAGATGCATCTGTTGAAAAATAGGAAATTACTGGATCCGTATCTCGTTACGCTCCTAAAAGCACACATAATCTCGAAATCGCTGAATGAATGCATTCAGTATTTTGAGAACACAAATATAGTTTATTGAATATAAAACAAAAAGATCAATATTTAATACAGTGCTGCAACGAGGTTGAATAAGGCCTACGGTTTAGTGCCTCTGGAATAACAATTTTGAGTGTTCAACATTTTATTCATCTAACTTAATTTGTTTGTTCTTTTTTCTTGTGCGACTCGCTGAAGACCTCGAGATGATCATTGCGATAACGTAGGCCCTATGTGTAGTAAACTCGTTCAAATATCACCAACTAATATCAACATAGTGTACATTTCCATATACATGTAAACAAATTAATATCCCCTCTTCAAAAATTATCGACGTTCTCCATTTGATTTCGTGTTCTTCCCCTTGTCCTTCGAATATTAAATGAAATTTTGAAATTATTCATCAACGTATATACATAAACCATCATTTATACTTAATGTAACTAGTTGTCAATTCTCAAAGGCCAAGTCAACTGGGCAATAATGATCTTTTAAAAACTCTTTTAATATTACGTCAATTAATCGCTTAACAACTACATTGCTAATTCATCTGTATAAACCCTGCTAATGGTGCCACTTGAGTATTCAAATCGTTTGTTCAGAATTCTTCTATTACAATTACGTGTGCAGTAGAATCCCGTTATAGTCCCATCTCTCCTTAATTTCTGGTTTCGCGTATCTTTCGATTCACCCATTCTACTACTTCCGGACTACAAGATGTAAACAATCCATTGTTTCATCCGATGAGGAATTGAATTCTGGGCAAAATAGAGCCGAAAAATAAATTTCTCTCGTATGCAAATTTGTTATTAAAAAAATTGAGTTTACGATCGCAGCGAGCGCATTGTAGGGGTAATTGCATACAGTCGAATTTTCCGAATTCGCTTCCCCTACAGCCCCATGTACGCGACTATAACGGGAATCTAGTGTATTTCCAGATGGCTATGATTTCAATAAAATCATACAAACATTGAACTTTAATTCACGCAATGTGCAAGATCACCACTTTTCACTCATTATTTCTCCTCGATCAATTTATATTGTTTTTACAAATATAACATCCATTTTTTAATGTGACATATGAAAAGATTTAGTCGAAAAACATTGCGAATTTGCTGGTTAAGTATATCGAATTTTCATTGAACTCTGAATTTCATAAAAAATTATTGTAATGAACGTAAATTATCGTTCGATAATTACTCTTCGTCCAGTAAAATTTTTCAAGATGTTTTTTTATCAACCTCTCTCTGCATGAGGAGAATCCTGCAAAACCAAAAGAAAATTCAATGGAAATCCAATAGAATGCCCTAGAAAATTCGCTGGGATTTTCCTATTAAATTTTTTCGTGATTCCTTGGGTTGACTCCCTTATTATTGGGAGTGTCGAGTTCTCATATAATAAGATAGTTTCAATAGCAGCTGTGTCCTACATACATATTGCAAAGTGAGATCTAAAAAAGTCACGGTCGTATTCTCTATTCTCGATTGGACAGATCGATAGGCGATGTAAATCAATCCTGAAAAGTCCAGAGTCGCCTGAAGGCGCCCGCGTGAATAGCATTAATATCATTATACCCCTTTCATTCGTTCAGTGAATTTATAAAACAGCTTTTTATTGACTATTCCGACGACATCAGTTGGACATTATCGTCGGCGGATCTGTGCAATCGCCGGACTTCCGAAAGAGTTCGAATCGGCGTCGGATTCAAGAGGGAAAACGAATGCGTGTGGCGATCTGAAATTTTACAAACATGTCAATTACCAACCGATCAATACTTATTTCAACGAGGGAAAATTATACAAGTCGATGTTCGTTGGTAGTTTTTCATTAGTTAAGTGACCAAAATGCAGCTGAACTTGTTCTATAATTGATTTTTCAATATAATATGCAAACCATTACTTTTTCAGTTTTATCTTTTCTCATTTACTCGTGCTTTCCTGTCGAGTACATCACGCGATATCCCCACTATAAAATTCATCAATAATATAGAAATTCATTCAACAACTCGTGACTTTGAAAATTGATCCTAATCTGCCCTTACGGATAGTTCCTAATTATTTCGTTTCTCAAAAAATTCCGGAAAAATCGACTTGTATTTTATCACCTTGAATTCTCCCCCAGATACATTCACCCCCGTTCACTCCCTGGTGATAAAATAATCAATAGATAATAGTCACCTCTGGAATCGGTGGATGGCTCACTCTTGGAGAGTTCACTGGTATCCGTGGCTCGATCCCTGCAGCAGCCGCTGTTCGAGGGAATGCTGTTGTACTTGTAGCGTGCAATGAGATCCGTGTTATTCCCGGAAGCGATGGGGGTAGTATTATTGAATGGAAAGGCTGGCGTGTGAGGCCATGAGGCGGGTGGTGGGCTGCGCACAAGGTGCTCGTGCACTTGGGCCAGGGTCAGTGGATCGGTATCCCCCAGTTCCTTAATCATCCCAATTAAATAAAATTCAAATTCAAATTTCAATAGCAATCGATCAAATCAATTAAACTCACCTGAGACATTAAAATAGCATCGTCCGACTCTGACTCCTCAATTGACTCCACCAAACTCTCACGACTAGCTAAAACCTGCACCACCAATCAAACATAATCCAATAAATCAGTCAATTAATCAACCCATTAGAATAATAAATGACTCTTTCGTGCCTGCAAGAATGGATTGTCCTGGCGACTCAAACGCAACGCCTCCATATCCTGATCTATGTTACGTGTTCTGCCTGGTGTTAGGGTGAGAATTGAATGGGAAGGTGAGGGCTGACATACCGCTGGTGCTACCACTACATCGACAGCTGCCACACTCAGACTAGATGGAATTCTACTTGATACTGAATTCTCATTATCCCCTTGAACACCGACATTGCGACGACAATTTGTTGAGACAATAGCTGCAATAATGAAATTCCCTCGATAAATTCTCAACACGCACGATACCTCAGACTATTTATTATTTCTCCCAATTAATTTAACTAGTGCAAAATCAATTTGTTGAAGATAATTATTCACTCATTAACTATTATGTTATGATTTTTCCATTTTCATGTCGCGATTTTCGAGGCGAAATAAACTTGTCACGAGTGTATTTACGTGGGAGAAATAATGCTTTTCCTCGGTGTAGATTTCATTCACTTGTGCGAATCCGTATAAATGGATCCAACAATTTCATATTTACCAGGAGCCTCCACCCTTGGTCTATCCATCTCGTCCTCCTCGTCGATCTTCATCCCAAAAACAAATTTCTTACTCCTAAATATACCCGACAAAAATGCAACGCCCTTGCGCTTGACACGATCGTACCTCTGGGCGTTTTCAGTCGACACGTGTATCATAATTAGACATTCACCGCCCAAAATAAATAAAACCTCAGGTTTTAAATTATCGATAATTATGTCGCTTGTTCCCCAGTGTCACAGTGATGAGACTGCTCTGGTTATCGAGAGTCCTGGTGCACCCATCGGGGTTGATCCTCGCACTCGCGAGGCTTTTCGCGAGATTTAAATCAACTTCATCCAGTGTTTTTCACCCGTCCACCCCCAGTGGTCTGTCATCCCCCGAGTTGTGGAGGTTACTGCACACACATTCGACGTTCTACCCTCGTACCGGAAAGGGGGTGCAACTTGAGGGGTGGAATTGTCTCCTCGTCGTCAGACCCACACATTCGACTGCGCAACTGCCAGAGATATGCTGTTAGTTACATTATTCCATCGATTTCAAGGCATTTCGTTATTTGCCAACTTTGATTATTGTTTTTTGCTAGTGGATTGAGTTGTCACTGGTCATTGCGGGCCCAATTAATCCGGGAATTGGGAGGTGGGGTGGGTAATTGCATGCGTATGTACATGTGTCGGGGGTACTTCGTGTTGATAATGCTGCAGGAGTCTCATCGATCCTTCGGGGTATGCTTGTTTTGCTCGCACTATTTTCTCCGTCGACGGGACTGCGCTGGGGCATTCGAGGATATCGATTCATGGAAAAACATGGTTTAGATAGTGAAACAAAGTATATCTTTTTTTATTCATTTACATGTAAAAATCGCCGCAAGGCCTTGTTACTCCAGTCTGTTTTCTTTTGGGTTTCATGGGTGCAGTATTTTACATTCTTTTCGGTTTATGGTTTCTATCTCGATGGGTCGATTAGCTTCGGGCAGGGTTGACTCTTTCCTACTAGAAATTCATCAGCCAAATTTTCAAGGACTTCGCACTGTCAGGAATTCCTTCAAATCTTGCACAAGTTTTTTACGGGTTTTTTAATCATCTTTAAAACTCAAATGAATCAATAATTTTTTAGGAGCACTCACTGAATTTCGAAATTTATTGGGCAGAGAGAATGTCTGCCTGAATTTTTACCATTTTTTAATCATTTTCAAGGCATTCATAACTCTTCAATAAACAGATATCGAAATTCAATGTAGATTAGTGATGAGCTTCAATTTTCACTGGAAATTTAGAGAGAATATCCCTAACAGTGTGGGATTCAAGTTGCACTTGGGAATTTTTTTATTTTGAAGAGGAATTATTGATCAAACGTGCAATAATTCTTAGTGAGAGGAGATTATGAGATGATTTAGGGCTTTCTATCACCCCTTCTTCCTAAGTCAATCCATTTCCATGTAAATCGTTTCATTTCATGGCCATACGTTATTGCACAGTCATTTTGGATTATTAATGGACATCGGAAAAATTTGGACGATGAATGTCACGAGATATTGGGTCTGGTGATAAGAAAATCTACGATTTTTTTGAATGAATCAAAGAATCTATACACCACAACAAATGATCTTCCATTTTCGTATAATTTATTTAAAAACGTGAAAATTCGTGAATATTCAATACCTGAGACCTTCTATCGAAAATTTCAGCTGAAAATTTCTGGAAGTTACATTGTAGGCATAATCGACTGATCAATCCAATTGTTATATTTATTTGATGAAAAGAGTTAATTGAGGGAAATGTAACTTTTTCCCCTCCAACACACAAGCTAATCACCTGAAGGTGAACAATCCACCCTACCTCAAAATAAAAACACTAAATTCATCATGTTTTCTTTTTTTATTGGAAGACGGTTCACGGATCTGCGTCAGCCTCTTTTGTCACGCTTTCCTTCATTTCAAAAGGCCGCTAATTAATTTTTGAAAAATAAAAAAACGCGCATTACCGTCTGAGATTACTTTTGCGTAAATCTGCGTCTCACTGAGAGACATTTGTTTCAGCGGAATGAATGGTATTGTTTTATTTTTTTTTCTTCCTTCTCTGTAAAACTTATCACTTAGAATTCAATTAACAGGCATAATAAAAAATAATATTTATCGCACTATGAATTACAGTTCCGCAGTAAAATAATGCAAATTCACGATATGTTTAATCCTAATAATAAATCCACTTACGGTTCGTGGATTTTCTTCGTATAAACACAGCGACATTAAAACGTGATCTATGCGCAGAATAATTAGTTTATAGTACAAAATAGTTGAAAAAATCATCACAGTTACACTAAAAAACATGAATTCTCCTCTTCTAGCTCATCTCTCTGCATTCCCCAATTTCGATACACAGAGGAAAAAATGTTAATATTTTTCTAACATTTCTCAATTCCAGGAAATTTCGATACGAAATTTTTTTAACTTTTCTTTTCCTAATTATCAGAGGATTAATCACTGAAAATAAAAACTTCTTTTTCTCTATGTAGATTCGTCTCACTGACGACGAAAGATGATTGGCAACAAACTGTCATTCTAAATCATTCAACTACATTTCAAAAATCATCGTGTCAAGTGTATTCATTAAAAAATGGGTAATTTGAACTTTCTGTCTGGTCGCACGATTGTCTCTTACTGAGTATTTACAGCCGTTATTCGATTATTTCTTACGGTTGAAATAACGAAAATAAAACTGTGCGCGTTATCTGGACGCTCTGCTTCATCAATTGTAATCATGTCGGCAGTATAAGTATAAAGCGTTTGGAAAGATAATACAAATTTTATCTGTCTGATGGAATTAACACTAATGAAGAAGAACACTGATTTTTTAAATTGCTAAACCAATCTAGCAAATAAACAATATTAACAGTAACAAAGGACAATAAAATTATTACTTCATTCAGAAGAACAGGAAAACGGAAAAATTCCAATAATCGTACTCGTCATTAAGCGATCAACAAACACATCAAAACCGAGAAGAAGCGTCGAAACCTACAGGATACGTTATCCTTTAACTTTTCCCCAAAATGGACACTTCACTCTATTTAAGACTCATTTTCCATCGTTTGTCGGTTATCAGTAGATGTTTTAAAATTTCCTTCATCTCACTTTCTGTTCCTCCTAACGAACCCAAATTGAATTCAATTAATAAATCAATTCTTGAATTATGATTATTAAAAAAACGAATAACGTGTCCATTTTGCCCGACCTTCCCCTGTCCTTTTTTCCTTGTAATGAGCCCAGACTGAGGCCCATTGATCAACTCATTCCTGAGGTATAATGATTTTTAAAAAATTCTGCTCAATTTACCCTCAATTTAGCCCCGATTTTTCCACCAAACGGAGCAGAGATGGACGCGTTCTAATCGTCCTCGTATGAATGACACTCGAAAGTAATCGGAAAATGCCTCAGACTCGGCTCTTAACGATAACGAATACTCTGAGAACATTGGCCATCACAATTCCAATTAACTTATGTACAAAAACATTATATTACAGTGATAAATTCGACCTGTCAAGTTTACCTCTTGCGAGGCAGTCGACGGCAGTGACGAATTGTACGAACATTAAATATTTTTTTATCTCAGGATAGTACATTGACCTCGCGTGGTGATCCACAGACTTTCAAAACGTCATTCGTTGAGTTTGGTGTTATTTGACTGCGTGCCTCACTCTGCGCCTGCCTTATGGCTTCCTTGTAAGGGCCTCTCTTCTTTTTGTTGTAACGAGCCTGCAAGAAATACCTCACAAGTTCAGAAAAACAATTTCACTTATCAACGGACTTAATGTGGTCATTTAAGTAATGAAATTTAATGAACCTTGAAGGTCTCGAGGAATGGACTGAGTCGATCACAAGACATCAAAGAACACGTGGACGATCCATACCACGCAACGTGAGCTTGAGCTTCTGGTGACGCACCGTCTTCCTTGCAAGTCATCGATATGCTCAGAACCTGGAAAATTTTTTCTTAATTAATCCTCAATTAATAATAACCTTCATAATCTTATCATATTTAATCAAAGTCATTTTCCGAAAAATTGCAGTGTAAGAGAGAAAAATATAAAGAGAAAGAATAGTAGAATAATGGGTAGTTCATAGTAGTCCATACCTTCCCCGGCCACCAAGGAAACCCATGAATCTTTCCCCAGACCACATCTCCAACATCCATCCTGCGCCCACTGGCAGTTAAACAATGAGCCACAGATGTAGCAGCCAGTCTCAAAGCAAGTGGATGAGCAGGAGGTGGGAAATCCGGTGTATTTTCACTGGCCTCACCCTCTCGCTCCAACTGATGTTCTTGCTCAGGTTCGCTCAACTCTTCACTACTAGCCCCCGGGCTCTTGCACCCAGACGAACCATTGCTCACAGGATAATCACATCTGGCATAAGCATTCGTATTCAACCTCTTCAACGATATTGACAGCTTCTGCTTCAAGCACTGCTCCTTAATCGCAGTATAAGATTCCCCACTGGGTAGGCCATTAAGTACCTCCGAATCTTTGGTATCCCCCTGCAACGGCTGCTGATTCTTATGTTTGCGCTCCTCCTTGTGCTTCTTTTTGTGCTTGACCTTGTGCTTGCGCCGATGATAAGCGAGTGGATCAAAGGACGGATTGTATCTCGGAGAGGTGCTTAAAGGTGACCTCCCAGGTGATACCCCACCCCCGCCCATCATCTTCCTCCTGGCCTCCTTCTTAGCCCTCTTGAGTGCCCTCTTGGCAGCTTTCGCACACGCCGAGTCCTTCCCCGAGTTCTGCTTCTGCGGATCCAACTGCTCCTGCAGGCCGTCTTCATCAGCCCTCGTCCCCTCGAATTTTCCCTCCCCCATCGGCTCCTCATACTCAGTCTCCGACTCCCCCACCAGGTTCTTTATCTTGGACGGTATCTTGAGAACAGTCCCCTCACCCTGAGCCCCAAACGATATTTTGATAACAGGAGTGGCTCTCGTATTCCGTCCATTGTCTTCGAATATCGTTTCATCCCACAGGTCCTCCATCGAGCCCACCGATCTTTTCTTCCTGGATGTGCGCCCTGAATTCTTGGATTTCACTGTGGAGTCTGCTGCTGCCATCATCGTACCCTCGTTGTCCCTCTCATCGTCATCCTCTGGTATTTTGGCACTTTCCACTGAGGAACTGCTGAGGCGACGAGGTGTTGCTCGACAAGCAACATTAGCACCTCCCTCAGGCATCGTTGACTCAGATGGCTCCACATCAGACGTGCCACAACGATTTCTCTGCCCCTCTCTTGCCTCTCCTCCAGAATTCCAATCCTCCGGCCTCAACCAACAAGCCCCAGCATCCAGGCTTTCCTCATTCTTACTATCCTCTTGCTTACTAGACTCTAATCTTGAGATTTTCGGTAACAATGATGGCACACTGTCCAATAACTCATCGCCACTTCTATTTTTATCAGTCTGCTGAACACAACGTCTTTCACTGCGCCTCAGCACAATGTCTGTATCGATAACTCTATCATTGAGTTTACGTTTCTTACCGATATCCATATTCTCACTTTTCTCATTGCAAATTGATCGGCAATTGTTACAGAGCACTTGCCGTGGACGTAATCTAACGGTTGGCCTTGCATTTTTGTACCTAGCCGGGGGATTTATATTTCTCCTCAAGTCAATCTTGTTGACGACGCTTTTGACCTTTTTATCTTGGAAGTAACTGAAACGCGCTGCTATTGTTGCTAGTTTGTCACCATCAGGTCCTGACAAGGGCTCTGGCGGTTGGACCCCACAGGGTAATCCTCTACAATGGAAATTGAGGATTATTGGAACAACTCAATCTAACCCAATCTTAAACTATTCAATTGATCTTTACTTGCGCAAATATTTCAGAGATCTGAATTTTGGTAAAAATATATGACTCATTATGAATACAAATGAACCTTAATGATTTTGTAAAACCTTTGCTTCGACAAGGTCGATTCAAAGTTAGTGAGATATTTGAATATTTAAACATAACTGAAACGATAGATCATAAATAGTCGTAGTCATTTTGAAAATAAGCGACTCCAAAATAACAAGTTGAAAAATAGTTCTTTATTGCCGCACACATTCTAAAATTTAAATTATCTATTCCCTATTAAAGAATTTAATACCCGGCAATTGAAATTTTTCCTCTAATCTTCCTGACAATATTTCTCCTTATTCTCAGTGACAAAAACATCCAGCTATCGTCACCAACTCAAACAACACGATCGTCGTTATTTAATTCAGCGTTTTTTTTTATCTTTTGCATTCCGCTTGAAATCGTACAGATAATTGAATATTTAAAAAGCTGTGGAATGATGAGCTACGAATAGTCGCCCAGTTATTTCGAAAACAAACGCTTTTAGAAAAATAATATTGACAATGGTTTTCCTGTAACTGAAAATATATTCCCATCAAATAATTTAAATTTCTCCCAACCCAGCATAAAGCTGATTAACATGACCGCAATCTAACTATTGACTAATTGATTAATTTATTCCGAAAACAAAAACCTTCAGAAAAAAATATTGACGTATGTTTTTCAGTAGCCACAAAACGTTCTCATAATATTATTCCCGATAAATTGTACTACGACTGATTAACACTGGGGCAATTTACGTTTTGGTCTATGTACTGCGTAGACAGTAGATTGTTATTCCATATTGAACCAAAGTAACTAAAACGTGCAACTGCTCTCCCCCGATTTTTCCATCTGCGGTATTGCCTACTAAAGATCCTAATGGAGCCCTCCCAGGATCGTCCTCCACAAAAAAAACCCACGACAATTATCGAGACACCTCGATCGCTGTTATCTCCGTGCAACAATTTATGTGATATCAATTGAATTTTCAATCGCAATATAATTTTCTTGCCTACGCGTACATCTACGACGAAAGCATCGCGCAACCGACCTATCGATCGGCCTGAATTTACGACCGCACTTGTCTCCACATCTATATACGTCCCTAAATCATAAACCCCGTAGCTCACCCCTCGCCTAATGCTCGTCCAAATACTGGACTTCGTGACTAGAAAACTCCAAATATCCAAACGAAATCTCCAGTTCCTAACAAAATCCATCCGCGAGCTCTCGGTACATTTCCCATCGTGGATTCATCATCGTCATCATCGTAATCATCATCGCCATCATATTCTAAGCCCTGATCACCCAAGAAAACACATGGACCATCAAGGAACACAAATTTACACTCTCCTTTCGGCACAATCTCCGCAAATGATAAATAAATAAAAAAAAAGGTCATTTAAACAAACAATATGACTAACAGAAAAGGCAAGGGCTAAAGTTTAATTCGCAGTGCTGAAATCACGTTGAAATAAGCACCCACTCCCTTTGTGTGATCATGCACACGAGCCAAAGAATTACTCGGCATAAAAACCCAGTGGTCCTGGGTGAAGGAGAACGACAAGATTTTTCACAATGAGAATAAAATAAAAATTGTCTCGCACACATGGACACTGACTGTCTGATGATTCAATTAACATGATTAAACAATTCTGTAAACCTCCAGAGGACTGAAGAATCACTGTATCCCTCGAGGACGATACACTGGTGTTGGCTTACCTCTTGGTGGCATCGAGTAGTGCTCCCTGGAATGACTTGACCCCGTGGTCAAAGCTGACGACTATAATGTCTGGTAGTGCGGACTCGACGGTAACGAGGATCTTGTCGCCCATCGATATGTCCTTGGACATTACCACCGTCTCCGCCATGTTGAGGGTGTCCTTCCAGGATTGAGGATAAATATTGGGGAGGAGAAAAAAAAAAAATGTTATGTGAGCCACAGGGAGCTGACGGTAATAACGCCCGTTTGGCTCGTCGTCTGGGACGGATGACGTGAGAGCTGACGTGAGGGGGATATCTAGTGGAGGTAGATCTCTCGCCTTGGGCCACTCTCCTCTTGGTGTTTGCCTTTGGTTTCCATTCGGCAGCTATCGGAGAGACTCGGGGAGTCTCGAATCCTGGGATTCGGCGTATTCCACTCTATTCCGACGAAACGTGATGCACAGATGTCCACAGCTGGTCTCTGGTAGGTTGTCGTATGCGCATGCCTCGAGGGCAGGGCTGTATTTTTGAATGATCGCACCCACCAGTACGCAACCTCACCTCACTTTTTCCTCAACTTGTTTTATTAATAATGATAAAGCCCACTGCCCCGGCCAATGTTTCACACATGTGTGATTATTTTTACGGGGATTTGTGAAATTATTATGTAAGTGGAGACTTCAGGGTCTGGGAAATTGGGGGACTGGTGCACCGGTGAGTACAGTCTGCTGACGACAATCACAGGTGTTGAATTCGTGAGGCCCATGTGTAGGTAGTTGGACGGATTTTCGTGTGAATTGGGGGATTTTCATATCGTAATGACAGCTGAGAAATTTGATATTGAGAAACCACTGTGGGATCTCAGCACGTTTGCGGGACGATGGAGGCATTTTGCATGGGTGACAGACCCCAGATCCTGTTTCGTTACGGAGAGTCAGTTGCAGGAGGCCAGGACGCTGTACTGTGATTACAGGTAGAAATCGTTCGTGGGTTCATGGGAATTCTGGGACTAGGAGGAATTGTTTAAATTTTGCCGAATTTATTCTAGAGATGGACGTGTCACCTCTGGGATCAACCGGGAGCAACTCGTCTACGCTAAAAAATTGTACGAGTCGGCTTTTCATCCTGACACTGGAGAGCTGCAGAATGTCTTTGGCAGAATGTCTTTTCAAGTTCCTGGGGGAATGGCGGTCACTGGAGCTATGCTTCAATTCTACAGGTACTGCGAGATTTAAGATTCGGGGATAATGATTACAATATCCCATGAATTCCATTAATTTGTATTGATTTTCATTTGATAATTGAATTGGAATTTATTTTTTACTTTAATTGCCAACTACATAAGGAATTTTCAATGACGAAATTCTCTCCCACGCTGCAATGATTTGAACGAATTTCCAATCAGTCGCGTAATGATCGTTTTCGAATTATAATATTCCACACGTCATCACTGGTTTTCTTTTCATAGAACTACAACAGCAGTGGTATTCTGGCAATGGGTAAATCAATCGTTCAATGCCCTTGTTAATTACACTAATAGAAATGCAAACAGTCCAATCACGGAGAAACAATTAGCCAGTGCCTACGTCAGTGCTACTGCAGCTGCGATGCTCACTGCCATGGGCTGCAAATCCTTTTGGGCGAAGCGGGCGAATCCCCTGATGGCTGTGAGACTCCTATCATTCATTATTTAATAAACTATTTTAATAAACTAATTGAGGAGGTTCTGATCTTCTTCTTATTGTTCAGAGATATGTACCATTTGCCGCAGTCGCCGCTGCCAATTGCGTTAATATTCCCCTCATGAGGCAGAACGAGATCCTTCAAGGGGTGGACCTTGCTGATGAGAATGGCAATAAGCTCACTCAATCTAAAGTAATTAAATTATATTGATTATTCACGACCCCGGATTACTCTTCCACCTGCATTTTTATTTTTTTCTACTCTTGTAATTCCAAATATTAACGGAAAATGTCGTTTCAATAATTCGATTTTTTTAACAATTATCTTCTAATTGTCTTCAAAGCGAGTTTTTATTAGATTGCAGCTGTGAAAGGTATCAGTCAAGTAACGATATCCAGGATTATCATGTGTGCACCAGGAATGCTTATTCTTCCACCGATAATGGAAAGACTAGAAAAGTTCGGCTGGATGCAGAGGATCAGAGCTCTGCACGGACCCATTCAAGTACTCGGCTGTGGTATCTTGTAGGTGGACACTTGATGGATCTACATTTAGCCAATGAAATTAATCATTCAATATATTTTCGTTGTTTCTTTTCAGCCTGTCGTTCATGGTGCCTACCGCCTGTGCAATTTTCCCTCAAAACTGGTAAATATCAACTGCAAAAATAATTCCAGAACGCGAACATTAGAAATCAACTGCTCCTAATCATCAGTTTGCTCAATGCACATTTTTTTCAATTTTTTACCGAATTTCTCACATTTGATCTGAATAAAATAATTCTCTGTGAAGTTGAATTAAGAGTTGAGCAGTCTTGTAAGACTTCTAACGTTCTACCACTTAACGATTTTGCTTTAGCCGCTTCATTATCGATTTAAAATGTATTTGTAGCTCAATATCCACGAGTACCCTGAAGCGTTGGGAGCCTGAGAATTACGAGACTCTCGTGAAGAACTGCAAAAACAAGGAGATCCCCGAGCACCTCTACTTCAACAAAGGACTTTGATTCAGTAACTGGCATTTCATCAGTCAATTATAGATCTTCGCCTAAGACTGGTTAGCGATAATTTATACGCGGCAATCTCATGGGATCTATCAGTGCAGAGAGTACAACAATACGTTCATTTCGACAAGCATTCGTTTAATATCCATTTGAAGGAAACACTTTGTTACAATCATCAGTATCAGTTTTATAATATTATTAAAGAAGATGGGGATATTCTGGAGGTCAGTGTCATCATTCATTAAATATTTGATCGAGATTGCGCCGAGTGGGTTGTTGATTGTTGCGGGACGTAACCAATTCTCTCCTGGATTTCACTCTGAGAAGCTTTTCCTCCCCAGGATGGGGGATTGAAGGCAGATTTGTCGCTCGTCTTTTTCGCCTCTCGCTCCTTCCTGATCACCTCGTACTCCTGCAGATCGTCGAGACGGAGCTCGATGCGACTGGGACTGCGTCGAATCATTTTCCCAGGATTGAAGAAGAAAAATCTTCTCTCAATTATCCACTCACAGCTAAAATAATCATTTATTTTCCAGATAATTAATTATTGAATTATTTTTCGCCAGTATTCCTATTGAATCGTTAAATATTATTTCTCCATGTGTCTGTGTACTCAGTTCGTCATTCATCTGTGAACTTCTACTGGAGAATTACAACGAAATCAATACATTGTCATTATTCTACACTAATATTTCCAAAAAATAATGAGCAACAATTGGAAGGGACCAGTGAAGGGTACGGCCCTGGGGATTGCGCGCAGGTTGTAATATGGCCGCAAATTGTACCTTTTGCTTGAAGTAAAATCCAGTCAATAATTTATTTTCCGCAGAAAACAAGACTCAATGCTCATTAATTACGAGCCGCAACTGATGCACATCATTCTAGAAATTCAATAACAATTGTCGAGAATCAAATGATTTGAAGTAGAAGACAAAAATTCTGCCTCCGCGTGGACGCAAATTTATTGCCATAAACATAACGCGTCCGACCGTCCGACTAACAGCATCGTCGTCATCGGTTTCATTTATTTGCACAAACTTGCAGCTAAAGTTGTCTATTAGATCTTGCCGAGTGCATTAACAGCATCGAAAGAATGCTCTATTTGGAGGACTACGTTGAAAGTATGTAAATAGTATTATATAATTGGGGAAAAAAGTAATAAACGGGAATGCAGGGCGTCGGGACGCCGTATTCGGGCGGAATTACTAACCTTTCGGCTTGGCTTCTGTTTTGTGGTTTATTTTCCAAGTTTGTAGTAATTGTTCAAGCCGTCGATTGTTCCTCAGTAGTTTGAATTTATTTTTTGATGGATTAGTTTTTTATGGAGGTGCCGTTAACACTTTAGGAGAATTATTTATTTTTCAACAGTGTTGGGGGTAATGTGAGGTGATTGAGGTTAAGTTCGTGTTCTCGAACCAAGTGTACGGCGTTGAGTCAGATTTACCTGGGGAAAATTCAAAATCGGAGATTCTTGTTAATCGATTTTAGTAACCAATTTTCTGATCTTTCCAGTGATCGAGCATCTGCCTCAGGAGCTCAGGGATCGATTCACAGAAATGAGGGAAATGGATTTAGGTGTGCAGAGTAAGTGAAAATTATGATAAATAATGCGTCTTTTTAAAGCCATCAATTTCATTAATCGGCAATTTCATTAAAAGGATACAATTGCCGAAATTAGCTAAATTAAAATGAAAAATTTCATTCCAGACTCAATGGATAGTTTAGAAAAGAAAGTAAAGACATTTTTTTCGAACGCAAAGAAGATGAAGCCAGTGGAGAAAGAAAGTGAATACGAAACAATCCGCAAGGACTACTACAAAACCCTGGAAGACGCAGACGAAAAAGTTCACCTGGCAAACCAAATGTACGATCTAGTCGATAGATACCTTCGTCGTCTCGACCAAGAGCTGCACAAATTTAAGATGGAACTGGAGGCTGACAACAAAGGAATAACAGAGGTACTGGAGAAACGCTCACTGGAGTTGGACCAACCGCCCACAAATAGTAGTCAGAAGGAGAATCGTTACAGTTTTACATCGAGTAGATCTCGAGATCACCACAGTCACTGTAAGCAACCAAGCAGTCGACGAGACCGAAAAAAAGCCCCTAGTCCCCACGAAAGAACCTCGTCTCATGCTAAAAAACTTTCAGCTCGTTCAGAGAAACGGCGTGATTCAAATGCATCATCTGCATCAGTGGAGAAACGTCTGGCAGTGGAGAAAGTGACAACAAATCTCCCTGACTCTAGACCAGCGTCAGCCAACTCAGGTCCTCTAATTTCCAACAATTCCACTAGTTTACCAGCAACACCAACATCCATTGGTAATTCAGTTGGGCCAGTTAGCTATAATCTAGGCCACATTGGGGCTGGTGGCAATGCAATAGCAGCTGCTGCATCTCAAGCCATTGCTGCTACTCAACAAATGCAACAGGGTCGTCGTACTGCCAGTCTCAAGGCCAGCTACGAGGCTATCAACACTGGTGGTGGTGTCCATGCAGCTGAATTCAGCCGAGAACTGGCTGGTGCTGCACAAACAGCGATTGCAGCTATACACGAATCAACCAAAAAACACAAAAAGTAATGACACTTCAAAGTGCAATGCCACTTTTTTGACGATGGATGGATCTTTTATCTGAATTATTATTCTCTACCCTGAATTTGCATTTTAGAAAAGTCACAACAGCAGTACCAAGCACGAGTGTCGTCACTCCTACCATTCAACCACCGGTTTCACCACCGGTTATCGCAACCACAACAGCTGTTACTGATCCTGATAATCCGGACTGGACATATGATCCTAATGAGCCACGTTACTGTGTTTGCAATCAGGTCTCCTATGGGGATATGGTTGCCTGTGATAATTCTGATGTAGGTTTCACTTTTTTACCTTTTTTTTGTGCTTTAAGATATTTCTATCGGTATTCATGGCTTTTATTAATTTTTTAGTGTCCCTTCGAGTGGTTCCATTATCCCTGCGTTGGTATCGCAGCTCCACCAAAGGGCAAGTGGTACTGTCCGCAGTGCACGTCTTCCATGAAAAGACGAGGTGGCCGGAAAAATTGATATCTCGAATTGGATTGTGTTTTTTTCAATGCTTCAATGGATTTCCAATGAAGTTTTGCTTGTAAATATAAAAGAAAATTATGGAAGTCATGATTTGTAGATTTTTTTTCGATTCGTACATTTTTTTGTCATTACCATTAGCGAGGATGTGAAGGCGAGTCAAAATTGAATAGATTTTTTATATTTAATTTACTTAAAATAAGAAATTTCTGAGTAGAGCTAGCTGAACTGGGTACTCATGAAAGAAGTTCAAATTACGCGTATCTTTCTATTCTCCCCCTCTACTATGTCCGGTGAGGGATTGAATTCCGAAAAAAATAACCCCAAAAAATTCTCCGAATTCGCTTCCCCTACAGTGGCACGTACGCAATTTAATTTCTCTAACGAATTCAATATCATTTAAGGCACGGATATATGCGAAATCAACCAGCCGTTATGATAAAATATGACTTTGGAGAAAAATTATGTTCTCCTATAAAGTCATGGATGAGCCCCCGGGTCGAAGGTGAAAAATTTTTCTACAGAATGTAAGAGTATAAAATCCAAATTAATTCCTCGTTATCTCTCGGGTTCAATGTTAGTCTGGCAGATCCTTAATCAGGCTTTCAATGTTACCGTTAATTACATTAACAGACCCCTAAGAGCTTGCATACCGCGAGACTCTGAAACAAGCCTTCATTGGTGCAATATTTGCCAGCTGCATGGTGGCCGTTGGTTTCAACAATTTGTTCGCCTCCCCAGGAGCCCTCATCGCCGTTAGTTGACGTCATGCCAGATTGTAACGCTCTCCCACACCGCAGCTAAACCGTTTTTCCCTTCTATTTATAAATAGAAGTGGTCACCATTCTTTGCCGTTACTGCTGGAAATGCAGTTAACTTGGCGATAATGAGAAAGAGAGAAATTGAAACTGACATTCCCCCCTTTCAGAACGATCCAACGAACCTCGGAGTCATGAACTCGAGAATAACAGCGGTCAAAGCTATCTCAGAGAGCAGTGATATAGAATTATTATAGCAGCACCTGGCATCTTCATACCAGTAATAATGAAAAAAATTAAACATAGTTTTTATCAGCGTATGGACTGGCTTCACCGGTCTTCAGAAGCTCCCCTGGTTAAATTCTTGTTACTACAACTCCTTCAATCTCTCACGCCCTTTTCAACCATTATTTTCTCGTCTTCCAGAGATCCCATTTTCTCGCGCCTATGATTCAATAGCGAAGAATTGTAATCAACGCTGAATCAAATCTTTTTTTTTAATGGGTAATAAATTAAAAAATTTTTTGGGAATTATTTGGAAAAGATATTTTGATAAACACGAAAACTAAAAATGTGTAACAAATTTATCAATTATTCAAAAATAAATAACGAATTTCAGTAATGAATTATACCATATAAAATATCAAAGGAATGAGTCATGGGATATGTTAATCGAGCATAGGAAAGAATTATTTGGTGAGTAATTTCATTCCTGATGGAGTGATAAAACAAAACGCGTCGATTTCTCTCATGTTCATAACGTCAAACCACAAGATTACGTCTTATTCTTTTAATGAAACCTTCACAAGAGAATATATATTTTCATAGAGACGAGAACTAGAAATGTGTAACAAATTTTTGAATTATCTGAGAATAAATAACAAATTCGAGTGATGAATAATACAAAATAGAATACAAAATGAGTAATGGTATATGTTAATTGAGCATAATAGAGGGTTATTTGATGAATAATTTCATTCAGATGTGGAGTGACGAATGAAAATGCATTAATTTTCCGTTTTCACTGAGACATGATGAAAAGGTATTCTCGGAAAATGTACTCAGAGAAAAATGTTGGAGTCTGGCTTGACAAATGATTCAGTGCTTGAATGAGTCAAGTTAGTGGAAGAGGATGGAATTTCGATGATTGCTCATCGAGAAGAACAGAGGCCTCACACATGCTCTTCGCTGTCGTTTGGACCAAGAAGATGAGCTGATACTCATCAACAACGATGAGAGGTGGTCGTGTTCGCACTAGAGCGTGAAGAATCGTCGCTCTCTCAAGGTCTAGCCACCTTTGCAAAACAATTTCCCTCTCTTTCCAAATGTCCAGTGTCACATCTCCTGGGCCCCACAGCGAATACTCGAGTACAGCTTTCACCTGGATTAACGAATGAATGAGTAAATCGAGATTGAAGGTAAGCTAAATTGCTAAATGGCATTTTCGATGAGTTTACCTGGGAGAGGCTCACTGCACGTTCACGCACGAGTAATTCCTTTATTACCGGAAGTCTGTTCGTTAGATTGAGCTCCCGGAAGGCAACTAGAGCACTCTGACACAGTGAAACTTGCTCCTCCTCGTCGTTTATGTGATCCACGTGTAGACTGCAGATTTTTAATTGGAAAACGTTAAGTGAAGGGAGGAGGCGGAACGAGTTGTTCACGGGCTTTTAGTTCAGGTTTCGAGGAGTATCTTCGTAAAAGTATCGGAAATTTTGTATTCGTGTTGGACATTAGAAAATTAGAACAAAATGAGAAGACTTGAAATTAGGAACGACCACTCATTTACTGGTGTAAATTTCTCTCTGGAATATTCAATAGAATTTGTGCTCAATTGATGAGGGTCTCAATTTGTTGAAAGTACCAATAAAGCCGCTATTTGGAAATTGTATAATTGTTTTCAAACTTTTGAAATTATAAATTTGATTTTTAGAAGATAATGAGTAAAACGGGGTGGAATAGAGATCATCTTCGTGGACTTTCCCCTCAAAGTCAATTACCTCTGAAGATGATAGAGACGATATGAGGGATCCTTCTCTTCCTTGCATAGCACAAAATTACCTAGACTCTTAGGCAATTCCTCTATCCCTCGTGCCTGGAGATTTTTCAATGCTGTTACAAATTGAAGAAGTACTAAGCAACATTCTCTCATTATGGTTTCATTGCTGGCGCTGTTACGAAGTTGTCGTTGCAGATTTGAGAGGAATGACTTCATCGAGCATACTTGGTATGGCGGCAGAACCGATACCGTGACTGAAATCGTTAATGAAAAACCAATTTATTATTCATGATGGGAATCAATCGATGAATTATTCCGTCGGAAGTACGACTAAATAATTTCAAATATTTAGTCCTATTCAATATTTCAAATAAACGAGCTATGATTTTTGCTTGGAATTTCTCCAATGGAAAATATGTAAAACGGATTGATTCCGTCAGCGTCCCATACCGTCTTCATTTTTGGCGAGTGTCGGAATGCGATTGAACGGTGTTTCATCGGGAATTCTATCTGCAAATTCAAGGATAGGGATGAGGCAGAAATCTTTGTGGGAGACTGGTGAGGTGAGACTGTCTGGAGACAAGCAAATCGTTACTGGATGGTCATTCCACGAGGCAGAGCAGAATCCTCGTCTGCCGATTGTTCGGAGTGTTTCAAGTTCAATGTGAAAATCTTTGAGTCGTGGGTTGGAGGCGCCCAGTGGCCGCAGATGAAGGGAGAGAGATGAGTGGTCCACTTGAGATAACTGAAATATTTTTCCGCATGAGTTTTCAAGATTCTGAGAACTTCCGGGGGTCTGAATCATTTCAACTCACTCGTTCCAACAGTTGCGCGAGGGACTCGTGATTGGCTATGACAACTGCACCGTAATTATCCTCCAGACTCCGGTGGACAACTGTCCGAGTTCTCCTCTGTCGCACTCTTGTCATGACGAAATCCTCATTCTTAGTCTTCCAGTCCTGATCCTCCTCCGCACCCTTTTATTTAAATCAATTATTACAGTCCATCTTACTCATATTTTTACGTTCTATCAATAGCCCGCAGTCTGTGCCTAATATCTATTTATTTTCGTGGGAAAAATACCAATTGTAAATTTACTCAGTTGTTCTCGGAAAATTTGCCCGTATCTCGGTAGATTCCTGGGTGTAGTGTTTCGGAATTTTGGTATTGACATTGGGATCATGTAGACATAAGGGGAGATAAGGGAAAATTACACGTCGGCTCTGAATTTTTGGAGAGAATAGAAATGAATTTCTGTACAAAAAGCTCCTGAAAATTCGTGCGGAAAACAGTCGTTATTATAATAACTGATCCATACTCTAAAATTCCCTACAATTTTCGTCTTCTTTCTCAAGCGGAGAAATTCTTGTGACCCGTCATAAATTTGTCGTGAGTATCGAACTCATGAATCATTTTTATCAATTCGAATAAATATCCCGTACCACTCATTGATCGCAATAAATAAGTTATCAGGAAATTTTCAAGAGAAAGAATCCTTGACATTTCCGAACGAGTATTACCGTTTTCGATACATTAAACAATTCAAAGAAAGCATTGACTTTAAAAAATTGTCATTTTTCATGATTACATCAGAAAAAAATGGAGAAATCTTGCAACACTTAAATAAACGATCCGTCAATTTGTAAACAAGTTGCATTATTTATTTACAAGAACGGCGTATTCCAAAGAACATTAATATTTTGAGGAATTTAATTTCGACAATACTGATTCGGCACTTTTTTTCCTCTCAGTTGGGAAATTGAAATTGAAAAACTGAAAGTATTCAAATGCGTGGCGACTTGAGAGTAGAAGTACTTTAACGATGAAGCATGTAATTTTGAATAAATGATAAAATGATTGTGGATATCCTGAATGGCCGGAACATCCTGCCCCCCCAGAATTCTCACCGATACTTGCCTCATTCCCCGTATAAACCCCATCACTCTCAGTCTCACTGGCACAGTAAGGCAGCGAATTAGACCTGGCAAATGTTGACTTGGTATACTTGAACAGTGGATAATGATCAGTTCCAACACCACCCTCGGAGTTTCTTTTACCAGCATTTGTTCTGGTTGCCTCATTGGCATGCCTACGAAGCTCCAGATTGGAATCACACTCCGGTGAGCTCGAGAGAAACTCGTAGACATCGTGACTGTCACTCGAAGTCTACACATCAAAATCCCCATAGCATAAAAAAAAAATAGAGAAAACAGAAAAAAAATAAAAACAGCTCATGAGTAGAAAGTCAATAGATCCTTGGAGCCTATGTACTTCGATAATTTATGATTATTTATGTACCGAGTCGAGGGAATCCGAATTCGTTGGTACATTGAGACAAGATTTTTCGTAACGTCGGGAGGCAGCCATTTCCCTTGGACTCGAGTGATTACTCTTGATGATTTCACTCTCGCGTTTTATGCTGGCTGTACGTTGTGGCTTGGACGGTGCAATTGTGCTTCTCACCTCACCTGCAACATTCTCCGGTGCTGCAGGCCCACACGCCATTCATCAAGCGCCAGGGGTTAGTAACAACCACATTTATTGGGCCTTTTTATATGTCCTTAATAGCCATTCGTTTATTAATCAATTTTATCAATGATAACACACATGCCAGATCAGTTGCCACATGCCTTTAGTCGCACTTACCATGTATTTTAATCCAGTTTGCATTTGAAATAATTGACATTTTGATATTTCTTTTATTTTGGGAATCGAGTAGTTACTGCATTGCGTTCGAATAATCACGTTTATTTCAATTAATGAGAATTTACAGTATTTTTAACCAGTTTTTTTTTTTGTTTTATCTTCCTTCGAAATACAGAAAGTGATATATCACAGTATTTATCGTCATTAATTTTTCCTCCACTTAAATTACGCATAACGATTATTGCTTACAACGAAAATGTAAAAAAAAGCTTAACATTCTCATAACAAATCAGTAATATGGCCTTTTAATATAAAAATGAACGAAAGAAAAACGATGAGGCTATTAGTTATTAACTATTGGCATTGTGAGAATGATACAATAATTAATTCATTGTTGACCTTACTGAGAGGCTATTTATCTCTCTTTAAAACGAACAAAATATTAAGCACCTACATCACGTCCTAAGAATAATTCAATAACGAATTACTAAATGTTAAAATTAATTGCACTGAATGGGCCGGAACTTACCCAAATTCGCGTAAATTGAGTCACCAGCCACTGTTCCGGGTGGAGCTGTGTGCCAGGCTCTCACTGGTGATGAGGATTTTGTGGGATTGTCTGGCGTCGGTGGTGGTGGCCTTGTCTGCTTGCTGGGTAAATTTGTCGACGATTGACCGCTTCTCGGTGGTGGCGGAGGCTTTCCCAGTCTCGCTGAACAAAAAATTTCCCCTTCAAATTTCTATCTATTTTCAAACCCATACCAGAGAATCCCAAAAAATTCACTCTAATTCTCTATTTTTATCATAAAATCGGATCGCTTTGAATAAAAAATTCATTTGTAGATTTTGAGTAAAATAACGAAAAAAAAAAATAATTCCAAAAATGAAAGCTTCAATTAAAATTCGATCCAAAAATAAATAAAATATCAAGTCAAACGAAATAATGCATAAATATCGTTTCAACTAACCATTGACATGTCCAGATTCCTGTCTCGACTCATTGCCCACGTGTTCCTCCTGACTCTTTCCCATTTTATCATGTCGTAATACCTCGACAGCAGCTCCATCGAGTTCCAACGGATGAATAATCTCAAGCCTTGGTTTCAGTTGACTGGTCCCCGGTATGTCCTCCCCCTTGGCCCCCACGGAGGCCCCAGTCTGCATTAAATTCATGTCCTTCCTGGAGCCCCCCATTCTCAACAATTTCTTCAGGGAAAACCGTGACTTGCTCTTCTTCTTCTCCTCAAGCTTATCAGAAGCAACACTCGAGGAGGGAATATCCTGCTGCGATAGGGAGAAACTTCTCCTGGGTTCCGGAGATTGATCAGGACTCACAGGAGAGAAACTGGAGTCCTCGACCGTTGGACCCAGTGATTTTCTCAATTTCGGGCTGGACGACGACGTCGCCCTTTCGCGTTTCTCCTTTTCCCTGACAACGGGACAATCAGACTTTAAATTCCCCTTGATATTGGGTTTACGCGTGAATAGAGGCCCTGAAGAGTCTTCGACAGAGACATCGGGTGGTTTTGGTGCCATTCTGCGTTTGCCGTTGCCACTCGGCTGATTATCCAAGCCGCATTCCTCCTCTCTCCCTTCCGCCACGTTTTCCGCATTCCCTGATGTTCTGCTATCGCCTTTCATCGTAAGTGCGTCATCCACAGGGACTTCCCTGGCCTCTACTGATATGGTCGTGGTCAGGGCAGTGGGTTTTTTCGTGGCAAGTGTCTCCGAGTGGAGAAACGATCGTCTGGGCTCGTTGGGAATGATCCCACTGCATTCCACCGATATCTCGTCCTCGTCTGCCTTGCCATCAGGCGCCCCAGCCTCCTCCCGACTATTATCATCGAGAAACGGTGAACCCTCTGTACTCTCCATGGGCTCTGATTCACCCTCAACCGTTCGCTCACCCAAATCATCGTAATTCGCGTCAGCTCTCTGCTCGCCAACAACTGAAATCCCTTCATCATTGCTGACCACTTCCTCAGCCTCATCTTCCACTTTCTGGAGATGCTCTCGACACCCTGATATTATATCCTTAACAGTCTCACCCTGCCTTGATTCATAAGTACCTTTAAGTGGACAAGAATTCGACGTAATTGGCAATGATTTGGTTCCAACAATCTCGAGGTCAGGGACACGCTGAGGACTTGCCTCCGTCCTCTTGATAGCCATTAGATTATTCGACGCAATTAACGGCATGTCGACGATTTTTTCGAGTGCAACCGGTCGCTCATCGGCTCGTTTTCTCTCGATTGGCCTTCGGGCAGTTGGCACACTAACGTCATCACCGCCAAATGGCGTTACAGATATAAGCAGAGTGGTTTTATTGCCATCGGCGTCCTTCTGAATTCTACCCAGCATCAGGCCAACTGTTTTTGGTTTAGCTTCGCTCGGTGCTATCGTAAGATTGGCCGTTACCATATTGAAATTAGTATTGACTCGTGTGAGATTGTTAAGGGCCCGATCCTCCTCCGTGTCTTGAATCGAATCTACCTCTTCCTCGACAGTATTTTCACAGTTTATTATCTCCACATCGCTTGACGATGGATCCAGCTCAGTATCACTGTCTGAGTAATCGTCACCACCATATCCGATTACTCTAGTCAACTCTTCCGGAAATGCCACGCGATTTTTTTTACGCCTAGATCCTGTCACCGCGGTTGTTCTAAGTCCACGAAGAATACCCTGTGAACAAGTCGTTGGGAACACGATAAAAATACAATTTCTCACTTCCGCATTTCCAAGACCGGCTAACCCACTTCTTCAGTGCAAAACCGAGCGGTGACTTGGGTAACGATAAATACGCCGATGGCGGGATGAGTGTTAGGGATTATGGTCGACGGCCATTAACCCCGACCCATCAACGGTTCACCATCGGCGATTTTGTACTTTGTGTTTTTTCGTTTTTCATTAATTCCAATTGCGCGCTTGCATTGACCTAGAGTTTAATTATATCGGGAGGGGCGGAAGGGAGGGCTGGGAGGAAATGTACCTGAATATTTTTCACTTCTCGGGCTATAAATGGCTTTGTACATGGCGCTGAACGCTGGTGATCCTGCCTGGACTCGAAACAGTTGGCGCACAGGTCTTTCTTCCAGGCATGCTGCACGAAGTATCTGCATTCCTTCGACATATTTACGTGATTTTACACTCGAATAATTTTCATTACCCTCAGCATTACTTCCTGGAAGCAATTAAAAAACAAAGGAGTGATTACTTTTTGACAGAGTTGGCAGGAGCTAGACATTGGTTGGTGACCAGAATGTTCGTGCTTCCTTCTTTTAAATGGCATCTCGCGGGTTCGATGTTTAATGTTTTTCTTTTGGCATTGGTGTTGTCGAAAAACATTTCACCTTGAAACAATTTGCTAACTGTAGCCAACCTATCAGTACAATCGCTGATTTTGCGATGATTTCCTTATGTGTAAACGGGTAATAAGATTGTTCAGAGACCTGAAAAACCAGGGGTGCAACAAAGATAACTGTTGCTCGCAAATACTGTAATCATTATTACACCAAATATACGAGGTGAAATAGTCTTTTTGTATGAGAGAATGTAGTTGATGATGCGATATTTATGACTACACTTTTTATTGTGTCCTGCAAGTGTCCAACTTTACCGTAAACAATTTATTTAGCGTTATATTTTCCGTTTTTACAACCAACCTGTAATAAAATCTGCAGAAAAATTGTGCTGTCGCTATTAAATTCAATGGTATTCCCATTATCGGTTCGCTACTGATTAATTTTATTGAGTTCCATAGAATCTCTAGAATTATAAAGAAAATATTAAAAATCATAGTGCCTGTGCAAAGCAGAATGTAAGTTAATAGTTCAATGCACGATGGGCAATAATCATCCGGATATTTCCGTTTTGATCAATACGATGTAATTGATGGGGCTCTACAACCCACTTCATAATGCTCCCAGTGTTTTTCTCGAGGAACAACGCAGAATAGCCTTTGAGTCACTGGTGGTTCATTGACAGTTGAATAAAGAAAAATTGCTCCCCTCGTACTTTGCGCTACCCACATTTTTCTCCATTCCCAGAACAAAAGAGTGATTATTTGCAGAGAGAAAAGGCTCACTTAGTCTTGGAGTCGTTGCATTCTCCACTTCATCATATCGTCCACTTAAATCAAATAAAAATCCCCCACTGGGTGAAAAAAAATGGATTCCTACCATCAAGTACATTCTAGCCAGAATCATCTCCTCGATTTTATCTCAAAAAGACTCTAAACATTGTCTCCATCTAACATTTATTTATTTGATTTCCATTCTGAAAATTTGATTTTCCCTTACAATCGTAATAGGCGAATTTTCAAAATTGTCCCTTGGGAATAAAAAAAAAATTCTAAAACACCCTGTCCTACCAAGAAGACCCAAAGTTTTCCTTTCACTGGAAAACTACGTTGAATCATCATCTTTAATTGATCCACCAATTACGTTGAAATTTTGCACACTCATTACACTCTAACAATCAGAAACCCCTGTATGAAGGACGTGTGCGCGGGTGATGCGCTTGAACTTTCTCTCGTTAAACTCATTGCAAGCTATCCACTGTCATCATAATTGTAAGGCATACCCGTACACGTGTGTTCCCTGATCCAGGGAAATATAGATGACTTCCGTAAAGGACTTTCCCACTTATCTCAATGCTAATAGACTTATCGGAGCCATACGAATGAGAATTTAAATTCATTGGAGCACAAGTGAGTTATTAAGATGGCATCACATGATAGCCGTCGTTGTTCATACTCATTCCATCGCCAGAATTATTCCGTTTCTCACCGAGATAAGAAAATCCCTAATCGTTATGATGAAACACCGATACAGCTCTCAGGGACAGACCCATTTATATTCCATGATCCATTTAATCGAGTCTTTCCTCATCTCCAATTTTGGCTATCAGAAAGTCATCCAGTCGTCCTCATTCTTCCATATATATATATTGTTTCTCGCTTCTTTTTATTTCCTAGACTAGATAGTCGCCTAATTGTGTCGAGCACTCGTTTTATTCACCATTTCAGTCGACACGTGAGAGATATCAAGAAAACCGGTGTTCCCCACGGCCCACACCTCACACTGTTAGAAAATTACTCTCACAATTTCCAATTTTATTAAATTCACATAAAAATTACCTCTACTTTGTACTAAAAAGTCAAATTATTTCTTTGAATATTCAAAGAAATGCAGATTTCATGGGCCCAATAGTGAAAATTCAAATAATTATTTTCCTAAATTCCCAAATGATTAGAAATGTAAGCTGAAAATTCTAAATTCAATTGAATTTTCACCACGACTGGAAACCGTAATGAACGGTGTAATATCAAAATTGGTAGTCATGGAAAATTGATAATTTGCAAATAAAAAATAAATGGGCCCGGCTCATATTATATAATATTGTCGAATGCCCATATTTCCATGTTTCTCCTTCCTGAAAGCCAAACAAATTTCTACTAGTGCATTGCACCTCGGAGTAAGATCCCTCTTATGACATTTCCCCGGTATATTTGCCACATCGCTAAATATTTATCAACCGGAACAAACATGAGATTGAATTTGGCCACAAGTACATGTACGCAATACGTGACTAAATGCGGAAAACCCGGGTATTCCGCTTGTACATTGCACGCTAAGAACTCTGAAATAAATACCTCACGTCCGCATTATACTGCTATAACTGTTAACTTTTCCACGCACCTCTTTAAAATCCATCCATTAAAAAAAAAAAAAACCGCTCCACATGTGCTCTACCATTTGATGCATTAGTTATCCACATTTAATTATTTACCTTTTTCCTCTCGGCATTTAATCCAGCATACAAATGTACTTTCACCCCAACAAAATCCGACTTTCACACCATCAGTTCACATAGTGAGTTCACATATCACATTGTGAATTTTCGAGAGCACCAGGAAGGTGTCCACCACTTCCATGGCGAATTCCCGAATTATTCAAAAAATAGTATTAATTCTGGGGATGATCGAATGGACCGTCTCATCCTGCGTTCTCTGTACCTGCGACTACCTAACGGGCCGAAAACCCAAGCCGCTATGTGATTCTCGCCACATATGTGTATGAGTATATATATATCGGTAAATATGTCTTTCCCCGTCTTTCTCATGTGTTTTTTCCCCCCATTCTTGCTCGATCCCTCTTCTACCCATGGGTCATTGAACGTTCCCTCTTCCAGGGGCCTCCTACGAGATCAGTCTTGTCTTCTGATGTCTCTCCATACTTATATGAGAATGGGATGAATGTTTTTGGAAATTTAAATATAGCACACCCCATGAGTTTTCGGGAAACTCGTCATTTCGGGGGAATAGATGATCGGTGGAACAGCATTGAGTTAATTCTGGGGGTTTATGGGACTATTTCATCGAAGAGAATCGAAAAATTTTAGTGTTACCTAATTAAATCTTCAGCTCTAGGATTTTTATAACTATTTTCTCTCCGGATTCAATTATGCCGTAGGTATGCAAATTTAAAAGAGTCAGTCGTGGAAAATCCAAGATTTCTTACTTGAATTTCCAAGGAGAAATTGATGCAGACGATGAGTGAAACCTAGGAATTGTTTATTCAAGATACCCTACATGTCTCCAGCTGAATATTTTCCTCTCTCGTCGATATCTCCTGTTTCTGCCTAATTAATCTCTTAGCACTATTAATAGACTCAGGGAGTTCATCCACGTTTAGCAAAATTGATCCTTTAAATTATCTATCACTATAAAAACGAGGCATTGTGGGAAAAATCTCAACTCTCCCAGTCAACAATAGAAATATCTGAAACCTTCAACCCCATTTCCTCCACTTTACTTTCAAATAATCGATTCCGACATCGATTATTCGAAAAAAAAAACCAGAAATATTTCCTTTCACCCGAACATAATAATCATTATGACAAAACAACAATTTCCTAATCGAATCCTCACAAAAAAATTATGAATTCAATAATAAAAAGGTAAAGAATAATAAATATTCCTAAATCTAATACAGATACCAGAATTTTCATGAAGACTTTTTTGTGTCTCCCATTGCGATCGACAAAAGAGGTCCTGAGTAAAATTCACCTATATTTTTAAATTGAGATATATTTTTCTTCAGTCATAAATAATTCCACTGGTATTACAATTATGCATTTGACATGGGAAAATGTAATAAACCAAGGACCAGAGGAAAATACCTGGTGTTTACAAAATTTTCCTCTCACTGTCTCAAATACATTAACTTGAGGTTTCATCGGTATTTCAAATACATCCAGTTACTTTACCCCCCTCTCACCAATTGACTTCCCATTCATTCGTTGGAGATAAACACACGGGTGCGCCGAGTGTTTTCATCATTTGCCATGTACCACGCTCATTCGCAATTACCAGATCTCAAATGTATTGGTGTATGCAATTACCAGAAGGACTCCACGATATAAACCATTAAAAAAATCCACACATTGAAATAAAAACTCGTTCAACACGTGATATTGCACTGGTGTACTTTCTTTGTTGTCACGCTCTCGCGAATATCGCCTTGACGAAATTTTGGTGTTTACCATTGAGCTCTTGATTCAATGCAACACAAAAGAAATAAATAAAAAAAAAAAAAACTACTGACTGAGCGAATTCTCCATGCATCACTCGTTCATACTCGTGAATCATTTGAAAAGGCGTGACAGTATTCCCATACTCGGAAGATGCGAAATATAATTTGTAAAGAGTGAAAAACGAGAGAAAAAAAAAGTGAAAAAAAGTACGAATGTGTCATGTGGGTATCTCGGCGCGCCTTTATTTACGGTGAAAAATTTATGACGACTGGCGAATAATAAACCAACAAGTTGAAAACATTTTAATCGTTTTCTCATACCGCGCCCGCCAGTTGATTCGAGCGTGGAGTACGATTGCAACATGAGAAAAAATCGTGAAAGAATGCTGAAAGAAAAATTCAGTGGCTTGTATTCCTAAAGGGGAATAACTCAGGTGTTATAAACTGGCTATTTTGAAAATGGCTTACCTTCTGGAGAATAGCTGGACGTGATTTGCTCCAGCGAAGAGCTCGTGACCCGGAGTAAAGTCCTTTCTATTGTATACTTGAGGCCTCAATCGCCTCCTCACAAGTAACAAGTTACTTACAAACGCTTACAAACCCTATCAATTCAACTCTATCGGTTTAAACAGCATCAACAATGTGCCTCCTATTGTTACAACACAAGACCACTAGGATGGGACTTGATACGACTGATGAATGGTTTTCACATGTAAACTGAGGATGAGAGAATGAAAGTTAATGGAGTGTCGTTGACGGACCGGCAGCCGATGATCGTGCATCGGGGCCGGCTGAGAACCGACTGACTCAGCGTCGTACCCAACACTCCGGTGCCAGGGGTATCCTTTTTTTTTTCATCCAGTCACTCAAGGAGAGGCACTTGTGCGCACTTTTCCACATTTTTACACATTTTTCCACATTTTTCCACATTCATTTCCACCCCAGGGAGATGTACCTCCCTTTACCTCCCTTTTCATTTCATTTTGTTGAACAAAAAAAATTATAGGACTAGTTGGAGAAATATTACTACTCCTTTTTCAAAAATTCGTGTATCTGTTTCCCACGTATTCAGAAAGTTGAAAGGTAGCACAAAGTATTCTATATACTCTATATACTCCTTCCATATAAATTTACATGCAAATACCTCATATAAACCGCAAAAACCTCTAAAGTCCGTTTAGTAGACGGTTAATGAAAATTATTTTAGTCTTATTACGTTTTTTTTCGGGTTTTCCTCTTTTTTAACTACCATATTTTTGTTTGACACGCGAGTGTTGCATTTTTTCTGAACACGCCTTTCTGAGGAAATGTGCCTGACAGTCTGACCTGCATCAACGCCGACCTCGTGGTTGTTATCAGGGAATTGTGACATTACATTGTATTAATAGTCCGGGTTCTTGTCATTAGCATTCTTCTTTATTAACAGTTTTTGGATTAGTGGCACAATTCTTTAATTAACGACTATTATTCCAACAATGGCATAGGAATTCTCATTGGGACGTTCTCTTTGTTTCGTAATGGTTTTGCTCCGATTTTTTTTTTGTTGCTTCGGGTGGAATTTGGAGAATTGAATTTAATGAATTCATTGCTCGGGATCAGTCCGGACGCAAGTTTATATACGAATAATCGAGTTGATTGGCCTTGAACGGCTACTTTTCCACCAGTGACTTTAGCGCTCTTTGTCTGGCTGGCCTTCGGGATTGGCGGTGAATTTTTGTTGAAACCTTTCATTTACCGGGAATTTAGCAATCGGTTACAAGTGGGGTTTTGAGGATATTCGAGTACTTTGGCATTTCATTTTTCCAGTGGAATCGTTTATTGCGATTGCAGGGGAATTGCTGAGCTTCTATTAGCGAGACGTTGCATCCCAGGTTTCCAGACATTTTGTAATTATATTGCTATTTGAACTTCTGAAGCTCTCAGTTTAATTATCCGCTCTAAATCTCTTCAAAATACTCTAAATATTTAAGAAGAATTATAATAAGAGGAGTCTGGTTAAAAATTCTTTATAAAGTCTTAATTTTAAACACTAGAAATCACCATTTGCATGATTTTGCATGATATGATTTTGACTTTCGAATTTACTGAGTTCGAGTTTCGGAAAAAAATCATTTTCCGAACGTTAAGAAAAACGTAGCCCTGTTGAGCCTCACGTGACTGACTAATTCGTATAATTAGGAAAATCACCTGAAAAGAATCAATTGCCATTTTCTTCGAAGACAATTGACGTGTGATGAAGGCAGTATTGAGTACGGTTTACCTTGTTTATAAACTTTCCCTGGATACAAGTGCAATAACGACAAATGTGATTCTTATCAGGTTCAACGAACTCTGCAAGTCTCCTATCGATGGCATAATTACAACGTATCTATCTCTAGCTTTATCAACGTTTTATATACTTTTATATTAAAAACCTTAGGCTAGGCTCAACTAGCCCAGGCACCCAGTGTTTACAAAGTAATAAATGGCCATAAGGTGGGATTGTATTAGACGTTTTTTCTCAATTAGTCATTATTTCAGTTACGTGTTAAATATTATTATGCAAATTTCTCTTTTTCTCGTTTCCGCTACAGACATTGAAATCAGTTTCACTGTGTGAACGGATGACGGGAATTTCGTTATTTGTATCGTTATCGATTTCATTGATGTTCAGATTACTGATTTCACCGTCGATCCTGTCGATCAGGAAATCTGCCATGAACATCTTCCACTCGTCTAGGAGTTCAGCCTGATTTTGGCCCCTGTCTGTGATGCTGTTTTGACTGCATGACAGAGTTGACATTTTCGACGCGAGCTCGTGGTCGGTGACAGGATCGGAATTTATACTGAGTTCGTTTAGTTTTTTACACGGGTCGTCTTGAACATGTACCTCGGTTGAAAATGTCTTACAGGGATTTATCACAATTTCTGTTCTCTGCAATTGTCTGCCAATCGCTACATTCTCTTTTTTACTGGAAATGCAACGGCAAACTCTGCGGAGTTTTCGCTTCTTCTCGATGAAACCCTCTTTTGGCAACAGCAGCCACATCTCATTCCACGTATTTACCACTGCCATGTTCAGTCGCAATTTTCGGATGTCAACTGTAATCTCGGGAAGTTTATTTGAGTGCATTATGTGGATGAGCCCCTCATGCTGAAATTCAGGGGAATTGTCGCAATGTGAAAATTCATGGAAAAACGATCATTAAATTTCTCGTTTATTCTTCAAACTAAAAAAATGGGTTTTACGCGTAAAGTGATATTTGATTTCCAATGAAAACTTAAATTTCTCTGGATTTTTTTTTAATTACGAAATTTCGCAGTTTGAAACTAATAATTTTGAAGATCAGGAAAATTGTCCCCAGGGAATTGTTTGTGCTCTAAAATACGATAAACCTCTTGAAGGACTGAACTTACTTCCAAAGCCCTCAGGTTGATATTCACGAAATCGTTGGGTGTAAATCGAGAAAATTTTGAATTCAATTCCTCATAACCGGTAACAGTCGATGTTGAAACCCCCAACAGCGCAACACTCATTTGCGAAGCAGAGGATTCTGCAATCTCCGCTGGTTGTCTATCATGCAACAAATTCCAGTTAACGGATGGACATAGTGACTTCCTACGTTTGGTTTTGCAGATGATCTTTTCATCATCGCTGTAACATTCTCGAGACTCTCTCCAGCTACGGAACTTCATGCCGGAGGCCTTAGCGATTGGCTAAAAATAAATTAGTCGGACTAAAAATACTGGACAAGTGTCTATTGTAATGGGAAATACATCAATTACGGTCGTGTAAAATTTTTCAAGTCATTGCTTACCGTTTGGGATCTGTGTCAGACGGTCTTTCAACACATGAAGTTATTTATTTACACGCAATAGCCATCGGTATCAGCTGACAGTTCCATTCAAAGAAGATTGACTAAAGTTGAGGCTCAGTTCTGGGGGTTTGAGTGATCCCAGTGGCATCATAGTACTCCACCCCAAGAGAGGGAGGGCGCCAGCCGACTTGGTAACTGCCTTGGTCACTCAAACCCCCAGAACTAAGCCTCTATTTTAGTCAATCCTTTTTGGTTCCATTGATAAGAGAGGATTGAGAAATTTGATAAAATTTATTTCCTCGATACCGATCGCCGACAATTGTGCAATGCCGATGGGAATGAAATTACCGTCTGGATATCAGAGATATTTTATTCATTGGAGTTTAAATGAACTCTAGAGTCACCACGAGATGTCGACGTTCGTTCAATCAGGCCCGGAACTTTAAAATACTCATTGGATAATCAAAAAAAAAAATACTAATATTTTAAACAAATGATTATTTAAAAAAAATATTGGAATATCATTTCATATTCTTGGAAATTACAAAAAACGAGACCATTTTCAAAATTTTATTAATAATTCTATATGTGTCAATGATAATAAATTAAATAAAATTGAAGATTACTGAGTTCAGAAGTTCAGAGAAATATTCCGGAATGAAAAAAAATCACCATTGACTTGATTATTTAAACATTCGAAAACTCCTCCATGGACTTGTTTTTTTTTTATTTAATCAGTCAGCTTTCAGCTTAGTCACTTTGTAAATTATTGTGTGAAATAAGAGTTGATTAAAAATTTGAAATAATTCCCGAGTGATTTATGATAAATAGAAATATGAGAAAAACTGTGGAATACTTTCATAGTGGATTTATTCAGTATTATCACCATGACGAGACAGAATGAGAATTGCCGCCTGTCCGGGAAAAGCCATTTCCCTCATCGATTTTACTTCCCAAGCGAATAGAAATAAGTGAGCACTCTCCATAATTCTCGTCGTTACCATAATTTACATGTAAAAATGGTCCTCCAAGGCTGACCAGCGTTTCAAAAAACAGCACGTCCCTCATTTTCTCTCCTAATCATCATCAAAAACATTTTCAGCTTATGAATTACAAAATGAAAGTTGCATTAATGAAGACATGAACAACATCGCGCTTTAATGAGAACTTCTTTAGAAAAATTTAACGCCCGATCGTAGAAAGATTGCAGTTGAATTTTTATAATTTTTGGAAACAAGATAAAATGATCATATCACCACGAGAAATTCATGAGAAATTCATGGGCTATTGCAATTTTTTACTAACTGACACTACAATTTTTCCAAACAACTTCTGGTCGTTGGTGATTCTTCATATCTTCGGTTGAACAACGTGAAAGCTTAGCGGTTGATATGTATTGCACACATACTTGTCCCTTCTTTCGCAAGTAGTTCTGCAGTTATATGAGATCCAGTGAAAGCTATCATCCTTATTTCATAAAACTCTCCTGTCTTTCTGTTAGTAACAGTCAATGCGACTAACACCGAAAATCAACATCAACAATGACTTTCATGAGTTGAAGAAAGAATAAATTTGCACATGCAGTGAATTGGTCTTCTACTTCATTTCACTTCTCGCACGTATGTTTGCACTCATATGTACATTCGGATCATTCTATTTCCTGCGAGTCGTCTGATCCAGTAGAAATTGGTAAATCGCGAAAGTTAAATTCAAAATCGGCAGTAATTCGAATTTCACGTGGAATTCTTTTATAATGATCGTCAGAATTGCATCATTGGATATTTATCGAAATTTCTTTTTTTTAATTATTCTTGCAAAATAACCAGCAATCAGTATAATCAGAGGAAATTACTAACCGTCAAAATAAGTTTCACTCTAAATTTTCCTCCACACGACAGGTGAATTTTCACCTGCCAGAACGGCAGGCCGGGAATTATCCCTGATGATCGTTTATTTCCCGAGTGAGTGATCCGTTGTCTAGTCTCGGGCGAGAACTTTCCTGGCAAATTTCCGGCATACTCCAGAGCGAAATCAATTTATTCAGTGAGATTTTAGCACTTCCCGTAGCCCGTAAACTTGAAGTTTATCGAAGGACATTAAAAACAACAGCGAGCACAAGAAATAAATTTCTCATCCCGGTGTGTGGCTCGGCAGAGGAGCCGAGATTATCCTGGATAACTTTATCGTGACACTTGGCAATTGAATCAAAGTCAACAGTACTCATAGGACTGCCATTGAATTCCAAGGGGGAAATGCAGTAATTTTTCTCGCGAAAGAGCTCGACAGAGCCGTTAACAAAGTCACTGTCAAACAACTCGTGCACCTGGCAGTCACAGGGAAAATAATTTCCAAGTGTTGATATATTGAGCACCTGCAAGCTCGTATCCCTGGCTCTGGGTGAATGTAGTACATGATTGCCATGAAATCTCAAGAGTGTAACCACACTGTCGTTGAGTAATTTGAGCTCTTGAATGGAATCAATTTTATTATTCAATAGGTTGATACTGTCGATGTGACTTATTCCGGTGAAAGCGTCTGGCTTTATCGTACCAAGATCGCTCTCCTGAATATTCAATACCTGAATATAACACAGACCGCGAAATGTGAAGGGCGCGAGACTGTTCAAATCCATAAATGTTAACTTCAAAAGACCAACATATTGCAGCCCATTGAAAGCATCGGATTCAATGACTCGTATGCCACTCGGAAATATGAGTCTCTCCACGTAATTCAACCCCGAAAATGCATGCGAGTGAATTGTTACCAATGGATTATTAGTCAACAGAATTAATTTGATATTACTCGTTCCGGCGAATGAATTTTCATCAATATACTTTATCCTGTTGTGCGCTAGAAGTATGAGTGTCACATTGTGCAGCATTGCGAATGAATAACTGCCAATATAGTTAAGCGGTGTGTACTGAATCGACAAATCCGTGAGTCTGGATAAGCCGCGAAATGCAAATGGCTTGATAGCTGTGATATTATTTCCATCTAGGCTGAGTTTGCGCAGCGAACGGAGCCCCGTAAATGCATCCGACTCTATTACTCGAAAATCATTTTTCGATAGCGACAGATTCTCGATCCCGATGTTCAGGTGTAATGGGATGTCCCGAAGACCTCCTGTGTTGCACAGCACCTATTCACAGACATCGAAGTCAAATTTCTTTTTTTTTTCAATGGTCTAGTCCTATTTTTACAAAATCAAAATAATTACACTAAAAAAAAGCGTACTCTCAATTAATTAATCATTGCCTATAAACCAAATAATCATTAATTTTTTCTAATAATAAATTAGGTATATCAACTTGACCGTTGAATATCCTATAATAATAATTAATTTTCATATTCGTCCGAAAACTTGAACGGTTTTTCTCCAAAAGTTCAAAATCAATTCATCTATATAAATATAAACGCATAATAACTACGAGATGAACGATAGATGTTCGCATGTGGCAACATGAATAGATATTGAAGTTTAAAAAGAAAATGTGAAATAGTTCTGAATTTATCCCGGTTGAATAGAAAGTTGACAAACGGGTAACATCAATTATCTAACAGAAGACCTTAATAATTATTTCAACACCGCTGGTAATTCATGAGTAGAATCACTCACTTGCTTGGATGACAGGCATATGCAGCCGAAGGGACAATGAAGAGGTTCATCAGTGTTGTTGAAGCCATCCTCTGCCAGGACCACCAAGAAGAAGCTAAGAAGCGCCAATATTGGGATCTGAAAGCGTCCGGAAGAATATCAACGATGATAGAGACGTGTCCAGAATGAGTGAACCGTTGAAAATAAAAAAAAAAATAAAAACGAAAACATACCTGCGCTCCGTGAGACATCAATCTTGTTATGTTTACGGCGCATGCCTTGGCATATCACTGGTTAAGGTGGTGTCCAGATTGCGAGAGATTTTATTTACCCGTCGGAATCAGAAGGAATTCAGAGGGATTGTCACAATTATTGTTTATCAGTTTATTAGAAGCTCGAGTTGAATTTTTTTCAGGTGCTGTATTCAATCTCCGATGGATGACTGGAGTGTTGGGGATGATTTTTTGATGTTTGTACACCCGGGGGCACAGAAAGATACTAAAAAAATAAGATGCTAACATGTAGAGAAACGAGATTTCGACTGCGCGTTCATTGGTGGCTCTATACGGATAGGATACCCGGGGCTAGCTCACCCCACGGCTACACGGCAATCTCTATTACCCCCTTTACCCATTTCAGCTCAGTTGTGCGCAAGCTCATAATTATGCTCCCGCCGATGCCGCATGTGTACTGAGGGGTTGCTTCAACTATCTCGGGAGGGCGACAGACGGAAGAGAATGAGGAAAAAAAAAGGAACCGGGGTATTGGGTGGATTGAGGGGATTCGAGGGAATCCACTCGGCTATCGAATTCCAGTCAATTCGTCTGTATTACGTTGCAACCCACTCACACGCTTCATTTCGCTATCACAATGAATTATTTCCACCCCCGCACTTTTTTTCTTTCTCATTTCTCGTTTAGCTTAGGGAACTATAGATTTTTGGAAATCAGATCAATCCAGTTGAACCATTTTAACCCCAGCTGATCCCCGTGAAGAACGGCCATCAAATTACTCCAGATGATAGTTCTCGAAAATAATTCTTGATTTACGATAAATCAGATATATTTTTATTTTTTATGGTAATAAATTTTAAGAAAATCGTTAATATTATCATGAATGGAAGATGGGAAGGATGTGCAAGTTATTTTGATGAATCATCTCTTCAGATTCTTCTCAGGCATATGCTATTTTATTTATATATGCATATTGATTAACAAGATATATGAGTTATAATATACTTTCAAAACTAATTCAATCTTTTGCAAAAACATTACAAGTGCATCTTTCGCCTCTGAGTGCTGTAGTGCAGTATTCACGTCAATTAGACAATCATCCCAGTACGCGCGATATTTAATAATAAAAAAAACAGAATTCAAAATGATAAAAAATCAGTCTTACTTAAAAGAACAACGACAAGCTAGTAAGGCATCGATTTCATGTAAACTTAGATCTACAGAATAGACGATTCGAGAACAATCGACTGATTATTTCGTGCGAATAAGAGGTTTAACAATGTTATTGAGGTAGGACATAGGCACTTAGGTCGTACATTTTTGTACTCATTTCCTGAGATAATCCCTAATTATTTAGCAATTAACAATCGAGTGGGTCTTATCGCTTAATGATCAATCATTCCTATATTTAGAAAATATTGTGAATAACAAGTTTAGAATATTTCTTCATCTTTTAACCTGAAGAGTACGATAGATTATAAAGTGATGTTTTAAATGAAAAATCCCTCCACGAGTGATCACTATTGCGCCGTTAGCCGGCCCATTTTTTTTTTATCTTTTTATTTAATTAGCGATGAGGTAAAGCGACGTGAATGAAATTATTATTTTTTAATCATTTAGAAATATAAGAGAACTTTTTCTAGGTGATTAACAGTTCTGGTATTTTTTTCTTCAACCGAACTGTCAAATTTCAATCACCGCGCTTTACCAATTTGCTACCGATTCCATCCTCGATATTTGGTTGGAGTCTTTAATCAAAGAACTATAATTAAATTGCTTCTAATGCAGTAAGACAGTGGTAACCTCACAATAAATCTTTGTAGTTTTTCCAGTGGTAACTGTTCGGTAAAATGTAGTTGCCGAATCGTTCATCGAAAGGGCACAATATAGAATAGGGTTATCAGTCTTATAAATAGTAGAGGCAGATTGGTCCCATTTAATATTGACAATTTATCTATAAATGCATATTGAGCAATATATTGCAACTGTATCCCAGGGCCACAACTCAATCTTCGTTCACTTTCTCTAATCTCTTATCTTTACTATTACGAATATGTTCTAAAAACAAAATCAATATTTAATCTGCGGTTCTAGTGACAACATTAACATATCATAAGTGTCATTTATTTTTTATTTTCTCCATTTTCTGATGATTACGCACTCATCATTATCGCGTAAAGCCATTCTTTGCGTCGAAATTTAGCATTCGCAATGCTGTGTTTCATAGTACTCGTACGTTATCCGTCATTTTCTGGCCGAGACCAAAATTTATTTCCGTACACTCTAAAAAAAAATGTCTTTGAATCTCTATGAGAACTTTTCGGAAATCTATTGGAATTTTTATATTGAAAAAATTGAAGAATAAACATCCAAAGAATGAAGTACAGAATTTTCCGTTCCCTCAAAAAGCTTTTGGCACTGAGTGCAAGTGCAGGTGCTCTTTAGACTTCGCCTAAGTAATCTTCTTTTGTACTTATCAACTTTTCTGTCGGAACTTCGGATAATCAAGTTTTCGGAATAAGCTTTAAAAAAGCAGAGAACAAAATTTCTCCCGTCGTACCCTCAAACGAAAGAAGTACGGATGTTCTCTCCGAAAAATTAATCAATCACGTCAGTTATCATCACAATGGTTCTTAACCTAAACTCCTAACCAGGCACGACGAAGCAATAAGCCAAATAGAATTCAAGTCGACTCAGGTCGTACCTAAGATTCAGCTGAATACTCCCAAACCTGCGTTACCTACGATATTCGAGTGATAAAATTTTCTGTCGCGCTCAATCAGCTCTATAAAAATACTATACCAAATCCTCAGATATCTTCCTTGATTTCCAGAAGTTACCACTTCGCTACCGGAATCCATATTATTTTCGTTCTTTCCGTTCTTTCAACGAAGAAACGTAGGGCTTTAGAAACGCAACCCAATGCAGTACTCAGTCCATTGGAAGAAAATCTTGAAAGAAAATAAGAAAAACCCGAGAGAAACGTGAAGCCCCTTCAGTCTTGCGAAAAATAATCTAATTCCCACTTGAATCAGTTCTTTGAGGCGTCGTCTTCTTCTTTGGCGGGCGGATTTGAGGGTGGTACGATGACATTTCTACGATTAATCGAGAGATCTTGAACGTCATCCTCATTCTCATACTTGATTTCTTCTCGTGGCTCTTCATCGGGACTTGTGGATATCCTCGAATGATCGAAACTGGCCTCGTGGTCCTCGGATTGATCGCGACCACGACTGTACGCTATGTCCATAAGAGCAGCTGATCCTTCCATCATGCTGTTGCTGTAATCGTTGTCATTGTCGATATCTGACATACCTCTGTAAATGCCCCCATTCCTGTTGCCCCCTATGCCGTGCGGAAAATGGGCCCCACTACTTGTCCTGTGACGTCGAATATTTCTCTGCGTTGTGATTCCCATTTTCTTCACTTTGTCGTAGAGCGTGCGGGAAGGAATTCCGTACGCCTTTGAAGCTTTCAATGCTGTCTCACCACCTTTCACCGCGATAATCGCCTTTTCCATGTGCTCTTTTGTGTACTGCTTGTAGCGCTTCCACTCTTCTGCAGAGGGAATTACAATTTGTTAAGGGATTGTTGAAAATTATCAGAATTCTCAGCCCAGTGGTGGGGAAGTAAAGGGCGACCCGACTATGGGGCTGTGGCAGATACGTTATCGCGGGCTATCTATTTTCAAGGGAGATAGTGAAATTTTTGGGAAATTCTTAAGGTCTTTGTAACTCTCATTCTGCTTTACAAGAAATGTAATTGTTTCAAAACAAATTTTGAAACAGTTTTGAAATAAATTGGAATTCGACTCCATTGGAATTTTTGGTGAGAGATTTTAAAATTTGGGAAACTATTGGTGAAAGACCGGTGGAAAAATCGGGAGAAAAATGAAACTTACTGTTCTTTCGATTTTGCTGGCCGGATTTCTTATCAAACTCCTCGAAGGAGACGTCGGCGGAGAAGGGGCTGTGTCCACTGCTATTACGATGTGAAAGATCCATGCTCTTGCGGTCATCGATTTCATGTGCTGATCCGTTGCTGGAGCTACGATAAAGGTCATGAGGGTCGGCATGTGAAGGTGGTAATATCTGGGAGCTATCAGCCTGCCCTTGCCCGAGGACAGTCCTGAGGATGGGGGTGTCCCTATTGAGCATGAGGCTGTTCATCTGCTTGCGGATGATGTGATTGGCCTCAGTATCGTAGACACCGGGGAAGAGTGCGGCAGCCCTCGGGGTGAGGGGTGCATTCATAACAGATTGTGCAGCGAGTGATAAACTGGCGAGAGGACTCCATCCAGGGGGTGGAATGTGCCCAGCAGGATTGTGCATTAGACCGGATCCCTTGCCATAGCCAGGAAAATAGGAGGATGCACTGGTGGAATGCGGGGGTGAGCGATAGTCGTTGTGGATGCTTTCATTAATGGACGCAGTGCGCTCTGTACTGCTAATTGCAGGTGGTGGAGAATCCGAAGGGTCTCTGGGTTCATGTGATTTGTCATACTCAACGAGTCCCTTTATCTTCAGCATCCTCGCCACCCTGAATATCTCCGCCATCTCGTCCTGGGACACATTGACCTCCCCCTGGTACATGAACTCAAGGATTGCCTTCATCTCAGGCTCCCTCACGTTAGTCAGCACGATAATAGGGTACTGGTCTGTGGAGGCGTACGAAAATATCTCCTGGAAGTACAATGAACACGCGGCAAGTACCATTTTGTGGCACTTGAAGGGCACCAAACCCGAGAGCCCCTCCACCAGGAGTTCCACATCTGTGAATGCACCGTTGTGAAATAATTCGCTGAAAGCTGTCAACAGATTTGTTCTGTGATTGTTCCACCGAAGGCAGAACTGCTGTTCTGACGAAGACGCCTCCATCTTTACTATATCCAGTAACTGAAACCCAGCAAAACACATGCGTGAGCGGAGAATAGCTAATTATGTACTTATTTTCGATAATAGGAACTTTGGAACGAGCATTCACGATAAGGATGACTCGACTTCTCTTGCATTCCAAATATTTAACTATTTTCTTTTCATATTTTTTATTCTTCGTCGAAGAGTATTTGGGTATTTAATATTTTGTCTTCTTGGAGAACTTGTTCTCTCCGATTGCAATATGAAATTACCACGATAAATTTTCCGCTTAAATCGAAGTTAATTCGTATCACGAACGATAGCCCTCTGCCAATGAAATACACGAGGTTTGAAATACAAATTACTATCTTCGTACGCATGTTTTTCATTATAATTCGGATCAGATAAAGTGGAGAAAAAAGCCACGTGGTATTGCGTTATCGACGCAATTGCGTGTTTTTCGTCGCCAACACAGTGATCGATGGTTATTCCACTCAAGAATACTATTTGCACGTGTATCATCGATATCAGGCAAAACAAACCGTCGGAACCGGGACAGTATCTCAACTGTATAAAATTTTTGGAAAAAGTTGGATGCAAACAAATAGCAAATGATCTGCAGTGCCGAAGAGACTGCGTTATACTCACTTTTCAGTCACGATTACGCCACGATTCTGCGACGCGCACTTCCCAGAAGTAAAAAAAAAAAACAATATCAAAATAGACTGGAAGAGGTAAACATGACCCTTACTATCACCCAAAACCAAAATAGAAATCCACCGAATTGAACGATAAATGGTGAGGTCACCGGTTAAGAGCCGAACGACTCGAGTGAAAATGGAGAAAACTCAGTATCCCCTTTACGAATAAATTTGAAGATGGTGCGCGAATAACGACGAGCGCTTAAATGCCGCATTAAGAAGACTGAGCTGAGGGTCTAGGGCCTGGGAAACGCAGTGTTCGCGCGAGGGATTTTTCGGGGATGGCAATAGACGACAGGGAAAGGCTGAGGGCGAAATAGGCGAGTGGGACAAAAAAATAAGGAGAGGGAGAGAGAGGCTCGTGAAAAAAAAATAAGAGGGGAAAAATTGCCTTTCCCCTCTGACGTTCGCCCACACTGGAAAACCGGGCGAACGGAGAGAGACGGAAAATTTCCAACCAAATAGTGAAAAAATAGAGGTGGTGGGGAAAGATTCTAGGTGGAAGCGCACATTTAGTCTATTACCCTGTACACGGAGTGCGCAGCGCAGGGCGTATCGGGCCCAATGTGAAACACCCGCACGAATTCTGAAAAGAGATTGAACGGAAAAGCCATCCCCACTACCTCCTAGAAGTGGGAATATTGTGGGGTATTGTGGGCTTTGGATATCTAGGGTTGAGCTGAGGAGTCGCGTGACTGCATCCGTGGCAGAAAAACCTCGCGTCATCGCCAAGGAGAAGGGGAAACGCAGCGTTGTGTTTTTCACGTTGGGGTGGCGGAAAAAAAAAAAAAAAATAACTCCCAAAACTCGACATTACCACTCCCTGAGTTCTTCCATTTTACCTCCCCACTTCACCTCTATGCCATGGTATTCTCTTAGATCGGCTTTTCGTGCTAATGGCCCCTCACTCATACAACTGCAACAACCAAAATTTCCACGTACCACGCATTTTATTCGAGTTTTTCACTGCGTGTCTTCCTGTTTGCCTTTGCACTCCGTCACTCCCTTCGGTCTCTATCTTTCGATGTGTTCCCCCTCCTCTGATACCTCTCCTTCTACCTTTATGTAATTATGATGGGTTTAATGCTCCTCTAGAAGAAAAATTCACGCACGCATGGGCTTATCGTTTCTCCGTGAATAATCGTTATCTTTAGATTTGGGGAATTGACGATTTTTTGAGTTTGCGTGGGAATTGGAAATGCGGGGGAGTTTGTTTTTGGGTGTTCTTTGGGGGTGTTGGGAATTCCGGGGGATGGGGCATGTGGGTATTGTTTGTACAGGGGGGTTCACGCCCGCTGGGCAGAGGGGGCACTTGAACTTGGAGAAAAGGGGTGATGGCTACCCGCACGCCGATGTCTTTCACGCGATTTCACTACTTTTTCGCCAGTTAGAACGGCTTTCACGATTTTGCCGGGGAAATATTATTCTGCAATTATTCAACTCTTCCGGGATTCTCGGGGGAAATTTTCTTGAACAAGAATTTACAAAAATGCTCCCTAGGTTTAAGTAAAAAATAGATAGGTTGATAGAGTTTATGTATTGACGCGGTTTTTATCATTTTTATATGAGGCGGGGAAATTTTTCGTTTTTTCTTTGACCGAGATCACAATTATCTTATGGCAATTTTATTTTTTTTATATTTATTATTGAGTGAAAAAATAAAATATCATTGTTTTAAATATATTTTATGGTTATATTTATAGATATTGACAGATTTCTGTGCGTTTCGTGGTTTTAGGCGTTTTCAGTCCACTACAACATCTGGCAATCGAGTAAAAAAGTGCGCAGAGAGATTCTTTGGGAAAATTTTGGGATTGTGCGATTGAAATTTTGTCCAGATGTCCAGGATGCTTCCTGGGGCTTTTCCCAGAGAATTTTACATTTACACTAATACAAAAAAATAGTGCACAATGAAATTTCTACTGTCAACTCTAATTACGGAATTCGTCCTGAAAAATTGGTGTGCTCATTTTTTTAACTGGTCAAACTTATATATTTTTGTGCTGACGGACTTTTCATAATTTTAATAATTAATCTAATAATTGTTTGGAAGTTGTCAGGGTTTAAGTTCGTAACAGTTTACGCAGAAGTGGATTGAGCCAAGTGAGAGCTGTAAAGTGGAACAGAATTAATTAGTATTTGGGGAGAGTGGGATGTTGACTTTTGCGGCTGTTTGCACCGAAATGTCGTTTTTCTTTTTCGATGATGGTCTTATCGCTCAAGTGGATCGCGAGCATTCACCTCAGGTCGTCGGGTGATTTTAATGTACGTGCATTCAGTCTATCACGCGGATGAATCATGGCGTCGTCATGGCCGAGGAAAAATACGCGCTCAATTGTGGAAAAACAACAATTCCAGTTTCAATCTTCTAAATGACCCCGTAATAACAAGAAAAATCATTGAATAAAACAAATTTAATGATTGATTTTCATTGAAAATCATTGAATAAAACAAATTTAATGATTGATTTTCATTGAAAATCATTGAATAAAACAAATTTAATGATTGATTTTACATACATTATTAAATATCAGAAATTTCACATCTTTTTTATGTTCTGTCTCATTTTCTACGAAAAAAAAAATGTTAGCTCAGTTATAATTTTTGGAAAATTCTACATGTTTTTTTACTGATGGAACAAAGGTTTCATTCCAGTGAATTAAAATATATATATATTTCTCCTAATAGAATTATGTAACAATTCTCCAATTCAAAGTATATACATAATAAAATAGATATGAAATATATCGTACTCATTGATACAATTATATATAATGGGCAAATTCATGTAGAAATGTACTTTCTTATTTTAAGACTGACCTAAAATCACATGACAGATCTTTCCACTTGGAATTATGAATTATTCCATAAATGTTTCAGATATCGCCAATTTTTCTTTATCACGAGCAAAAGATTGATAAATTTTTTCAAGCGAGATTCCATTATTCGGAGTCATTAATAATCCGTGGATTATTGATGACGATTTTTCGTCTGGGAAAAAGCAGCTCTTCAGGTTGCATCTGTATAAAAAAAGGATATAAGAGGGAAATAGGGGACAGGAATGTTACGACGGCAAGGTGAATCGCTCCTTTTGTTCCCCTCGCAGGTTTCTCAGACACCTGACTGGCTATATTTCCCGATTTTCAAAGGGAAGTCGATTTTCCCCGACGGGCCTAGAAATGGGGATGGAGAAATGAAAATTCCTCGATTATTACGCCAGATTACACAACCAGCAAAATTATGAGCTTATATTGACCCACAAATTATCAGAATTTTCCCACCCCGAGATGAATATTCAATAAATAACAGCTCCTTTTTTTATCCGAGAGTTCCGTAATTTATATTGAATATTACATTGAAATGAAATTAACTGGGACATCTGTACTTATTTTTTTATAAGAATTTTCAGATGAAATTTTTTTATTTTTAGACCGAATGGATAATTTTCGCCAAGGTTCAAATGAATTAATCATTTTTTTAACCACTTTTTAAATATTGATGATTCGTATCGGCTACTCATTGTATTCTCAAAATGTATTAATGTGTAGATGGCCAGGAAGCGATGTGTTCGCTCACGGCTATTTTCACGTAGTTCTGGCCCGCAGGCTTTACATATATATGTTTATATACATATATATATTCCGTAATATTCATGAATTCGACTCAAGCGTTATCTGTGCGAGGAATTTGATTGTAGGATAGGGAAAAGCTGGCGGAGGCCCTAATTTCGTATCAGAACAATGAATTTCATTGAATAAACAATTCTCCATCTCCAAAATACCGCACGAAAATCTGTTTTATTAAATTAATTTTTTGCAGAAGTTGTTTTTTCATTACTGCGAATATGAAGGCGAGAGTATTAAAACATTAATTTCCATTCCAGAATATAAATAAATTGGGGAGAATTTATAATTAGTATTTGGGGAATTTTTCTACAAATTGATGACACTATAATTTGTGGGAACAAATGTCATGAAAAAATATAAAAAATATATGCAACATATTTTTTCATTTTGGAAAGTCATAAAAAAATTACTATTGTATGGGGCAGGGAGAGAAGGCTTAAGGTATTCCGTAATTTGATGTTAGTTAATAAAAAATACCCTTCCCGAATAATCGTGAGCAATTATTCCGTGATTAAAAGTAATAATCCCTCGGAAATTAAAATTACAGTTGCGGTGGTTGAATAATAAAATCCCCCTTGTTATTGTTGCTAGAATTCAGATCGATGTGTGCGTGCAAAGTCCCCCCTCATCAGAACGAAAACTCATTACGAATTTACTAATCCATCCAAAATGACCTCGTGCGCATTCGAAATAAGATTACAAAATTGTAAAATGACTCTCCGTATTTTTCCACTCGAAATCATCATCTAGATATTGAGGAAAATTTTCAATCCTGCGAGATTATAAATTTTCAATAATAAAGCATTGCATAATAAAATTGGAAAAGAACACTTGTTTATAAATTTTTAAACAACTAAAGATACTTCATAAATTAATTTATCATAATCAGTGTAAGTTAACATATTTGCAAGTCCATTTTGAAAAAAGGGAAGCTTTTCTCTGTGGAGTGAATTGGCAGATTTTTTTTTTCAATCTCAAGACAGAACAGTACTGGAAAGGTTTCATAGATATCTCGAGATATTTACGAACGTTCTGCACTATCTCGTACGGTTTAAAAAGGAAGTTAAAGTAGTGGGGAGTGTAGAAATTGGGAGAATGCGTATCATGGGCTGTTTGTTCGGCCATTCGAGTAAATAGATAGCGCAGTTTTACTTATTCCCGACATTTTCATGAAAAAAGTTCCACTGATGGAATAAAAGGGAGAGGCACTCGACGATAAAAGAGCGATCGGGTTGTCAAAAAGCAAGACCAACGCTGGCTAAGATGCTAGAGGGCTTGATGGGCTTGGATATACATGGGAAAAAAGGGAATAAGGAAGATAGAAAACTCGTTTGTGCATAATGGCCTTTGTAGGGTTTTGGAGGCATCAACCTTTCTTTACACATACGAATTGACTGCATTCGAAGGCCATTGACCGGTGGACAGGTACAACTCGCCGATCGATCTCTCTACCTGCCTATCCACTACTCTCAACTTTTGGCTGCAGGGTGGATCCCTATCTGTGGCATTTTATTTTTCCACCGGCTTTTACCCACTGACTGCATTCTTTTGTCTGGATTTTCACCTTTAAACACCCAATATCCTAGTTAAATCCACTGTTGCCTCACGGCCTGACTATTCAGTGAGCAAACGCCTCCATTATCCAAACAATTATTCTCCTGAAAATTATAAATTCATGGATTTCACGTCAATTATCGGCATAACATGGGATAGGCAAATAACGCAACCGTCACAATTATCAATTCAACATGAAAATAGTCTCAAACCATCCAACAACTTGGATTCATTACCATTTTCACAGCCTTAGACTATTTTTCGTTTCATTTTTTATATCGACTCATTTTATTCTACTAAGTTATCATTTAAATATAATTGATATGAACTAATTTAGACATACTTCATAGCCAATTGCAATCTCAAATGAAAAAATTGAACAAAAATCTTACGTAAAAAATATATAAGACCAGTGAATCATAAAAATTGAAAGGGGCAAATAATAAATAAAGTTCCTATACACCGAAATTTTTAAGGTGGTTTTTGTAGTGCGTGAAAATGTGAATGATGACTTTTCTATTCAGAAAAAAAAAACGTCTTAAAAAGATAATGTAGTTTTTTTGTTGGAGAGCGCAGCGACCTCGACTTTTCCTCAAGCCATGGTGTGTGGACCGGTTGCAATAAAAAAAAAACCGGTGGGGGAGGGGTCCGAGGCAAAGGCCTAGACAAAAAAAATATTCTAGACAAGGAAGAAAAGATGGGCCAAAAAAAAAAGGTGGGGGAGAGGCTTATCTGCGTTTGGAGAACGTTAGAGTGTCGGACGCGCTGCAAACCGGTCCCTCCGACCCTCTGCCCTTCTCACCCTCACCGTCACATGGAATGTAGGACCGCGATGTTGCCACACGTATGTTCACAACATGTGTTCCCCACAATGCCCCTCATTTTTTCCTCTAACTCCTAGCTATCTAGCTTCTTTTTCTAGTGCCGCTCATGAAAAAACTGCACCGCGTTGGCAACCTAATCACATTTTCCTCGACACGCACCGCCCAAAAACTCAAATTTTCACATCAAATCCTGGCTCCAGGAAATCTCACGCATTTTGGAGAATAATTATTTTATAATAATTTTTTGAAATAATGATTATAATTGCTAGAGCTTATAATTGCCAGAGTGCCATTTTTTTAGTATTGGTAATGCAATTATTTTGAGGCGACATGCTCAGGCTGGAAACTGGAATTTCCATGTTAAATATTTTAACAGTTTTGTAATAATTTTTTTTACGTGTTCAGACGCATTTATTGCTGGGTAATTACACAAATTTTTACGCAAATGATTTTTCGAGCTCAGCGGGTGAACTATTGCACGCAGCCAACTGAAATTTTCGGGACAGCTGCAGGTTTTTTCTACATTTTTGGAGCTTCAGTTTGAATTGATGATACCCTTGGAGGTTGGCGATATTTCATCCGATAAAATCCCATAATTTTCGTTCAATTTTTTAAATAAACAAGACGCGCACTTTCCCAGACCCAAAATAGATGACGGAACCTTCAATAATTTCCTGACATTCGTATATGCCGAATAGCCAAGCGAATTCAAATTCTCACGAGAAAACTTTCGTCCCGAAAATGTAATCAGTGATATATTCTCCGATTATTCAAACGTCGCTAACGGCAATGGGCAAATTTGATGAGCTGAAGATTATTTCGAAACATCGAGTCGCCTCGACGCTTTCTCCACCAGCGAAATTATACTTTTCGAAAGTCCGAAGCCCTTGAATTCTTGCACATTACTTAAACCGACCGAATAAAGCCGAGCCAATCGCCTGAAAACATCAAGAACACATGTATCACACCTAATCATCATAATCATTAAAGCCATCATCATAAATGACCTCCGCCATTACTGTAAATACTTCCCCCACGGGTTGGGTATAGCTCATTAATGGCGAAAGCGGTTTATTTCCCGTCGATATCGAATTCCGCATTGGTCCCCAGAATAAAAAAAAGCAAATAAAGATGAATGAGGTCCCGTTATGCGAATCCCTTTGTCCCCTGGCCCTTTCCCTGTCGTCCTTTACCTAGAACAAAAGGGTTCAAATGCAATGGGAGAAAGTTTTGCGTAGTGAGACCCACAGAATAAAGGATGAGAATCGACACAAGAAAAACGGTGCCAAGGTGTAACAGGTGCTGACACAGAGAAGTTTTTACCCTGGTATTATTGTAAAACCCACGACCCAAGTCTCAAGAAAAAAAACCCTTCGGGCACATGATCCGCTCGTAAAAAACCAGCACTAAAGGAGAAGGGAATTGACCTTGGCCACCAGGGGTGTACAGTTTTAGAACGCAATGCCCTGTTAATGCACAAAATCTTCAGCGTCAATTTTCCCCTCTTTTTTTTTTTCCACCAGTCTTGGAGTTAAAAGTCTAGGCAGGATGGCCCACTCATAGACCAAGATGGAGAATAGTGGGCGGTCGCTCCCTTCACAGCATACTAAGATGCAGCTGAGTAGGGGATTCTCATTTGGTCCCTTTTCCGTCTTCTCTCTCCGCCCGGATGAAAAACCTCTCGAAAATCCACTTAATGCCAGGATGCCGTGATTCTCCATGTCTTCCATACCAGCTCAAAATTAGGGAGATAATTCTCTAGATTAGAAAGAATAAAAACTCGTTAGAATGGGCGATATCCAGTGAGAAAAAAAATAACTCTTCCCGAGTGAGCGTACTGTTAGGCGATTACTCTTCAAATTTTCTCATTTTTTTTTTTGTGAAATTAACGAGGAATTTGTTCAAATATTGGATCGACTTAATATATCCAAGTCCATAGCAGCGACAATTAGGGAAAATTCAAATTTTTATTCTTTTTTAAATTTATAAACAATAGGAAATTCAATTGAATTTGATTTTAAATTTTTGATAAAATTATAATTCGATATGCTTGTTTGTTGTATTTCTAACCGAAATAATTTTGGATTAATAAATATACGACGAAATAGCGCAATTGAATCGGGAAGAACAATTTCCGAGTGGATAACAGGGGTTCAAATAAAATGCCAAAATTAATAAAAGAAAAATGATTTTTATTCACATGGCATTGACCATCTGCCCTAAATCTCATAGAATCCCTCACATTCTCCCAAGTGCTAAGAACTTTCTGTAAATATCGTAAAGATACCTGTACAGTACAATCGGATCGAGCCCGAAATCCATTCGCGTTTTATAGAGGTTTTAGATGTGTTAGTTGATCTTGGTGCACAGCTCGAGGGCGCGTTTTTCCCTTACAAAAATACATTCACTGGCTTTAAATATAGAAGAGACTGCTAAGGCAGGAGGGTTCAAGTTCCCACACTCTGACGCCGGCAAAATGAAAAAAAAAAATGAGAAGAAAAAACGCCACCCTCGTATACCTGTCTAACGGGTCATCCACCATTTTTTATATATATTTTTTTTACCAGAATTTTCCCTTCCGATGCAGAAACCCGGCGAACGGGATTCAAGTTCTTTGATTGTTTGCTAAACCCGGAGATTTCAGAGGGCAGGGCTAACGATACATTTTACGACTTCTCTTTGTTGGTGATTTCAAATGAGTGCAGATGAGGAAGCGATCGTTAAGCTTTTCGTATTCATTCCCCTCTACGAATATTCCAGATGGCTTTTCTCGCCCATTCTCATCCGCATACGGATTTAAACAGCACCCACACACCCCATGCCCCATATAAAAGTAGTTCGTGTTCGCGATACCGAAAGTTTCGACGTAAAAGTCCTTACTCCGTGTTACCCAATTTCACACGAAAGTAGGGGCAAGGGAAAGCGGAAATAAAAAAAAAATAGAGGAAAAATCGTTAAACTCCCCCCCCGACGGAAGTTGGCACGCCATTTTGTGATAATTTCCCTCTTGTTTTTCTCCACTGCGTCAAATCGATACCAAAAATTGCTGCGTAGAACTTCCAAAACCCTAATTCCTTTTTCCCTTGATACCTGCTCGTCCCAATCACGTTTTTTTAACATTAAAACTTCACGGAAGCCGATGCCAATCATCATCCCCCTATTTTCAGCCATTCTACGATCATTTTCATGTTTTTCTTCTCTCCTTCAAATTGATATGAAGAAGAGCGGTGTAGAACTTGTAAAATCCCTAAGTCCTCTTCACCTTCGGCACTTTCCTGCTGCGATTACGATTTTTAACATTAGTAACTTCATAGAAGTTCGAGCCAATCTTCTTCCGCTTATTAGCACGCTCGATGCTCCTCTTCTGTTTGCTAGTGAGAATTTTCCCAAGTTTCTCAGAGACTGCCGACATAACTTGAAAGGCACCGCTTGCGGATGTGATTGTGTTCGCCGGTTCTTCGTCGCTCGAGGAGAAATCTTCATCAGGAAGTGCGTCAAAGACACTCTGCATGAGATTGTCCTTAACTTCTTTACTTTCGACCTTCTGCTCATCCTTCTCTCCCCCATTCTCCTTATCATTAATCTCCTCACTACCCTCGTTACCCTCATTACCCCCTTCCACGAGATCACTCTCCCCATCCCCTTGACCGTCCGCCATCCCCCCATCATTCTCATCATCCTCGTCATCATCATCATCATTATCCAATTGAATGCCCTCCAATTTTCTAACATCATCCCCAGAATAACTCAAAGCAACCCGAATTTTCCTAAAGTCCTGTACAACACCAACTCGTTTCTCGCTCTCCCCATTAATTTCCCCGCCAATTACCTCCCCCCCGGAATCTCGTTCCTGAGTTGTCAGTGGAGTTTCAGCCTCCACGTCGACACTATTGGAACAGGAATGAGGCGCCTCATAACCAACTGGTGCAACGAAGAAGGGCAACTTGCCACGTTGCCAATCATTTAAAACCATGCGGGCAACGGCCCCAGTGTCAGGCTCGCCTTTCTTCAACAATTTCCCAGATCTGCGGGCGAGTTTCTCTAGAAAATCCACATGACCCTCCCACTCCTCGACTTTATAAGTTCTCCTTATGTACTCGGGTTTGACACGCTGCAGCACAGCCTCAACGTAGTCATCAGGGTTTTGCACGAGTTCCACCCTCACCACACCCTTCAAAACCTTTTCTGTATCGGTTTCGGCAGATGGATAGACAACCCCGGGGCAGTCAATGAGGTAAATTCGTTTCATCAGAGTTATGTACTGCCAGACTTTGGTCTCGCCCGCAATGGGCGCTACTTTGCACACCTTCTTAGACCGGAGAGTGTTGATTATGGAGCTCTTACCAGTGTTTGGATAACCAATGAAGCCCACGCTGATCTGCTTTTTGTCCGTGTGGAGTTTGCCGAATTGCCTGAGGAGGTTGATAAGCGAACCCTTGCCGAAAGGATGGGTGAGGGATGCGTGGAAGGCCACTGTGGGGTATTCACGATTGAGGATTGATACCCAGCGCTGTGTTACCCATGTCGGCACGAGGTCCACTTTGTTAAGAATGAATATCAGGTGTTTGTGGGCTTTCTCCTCCTTAAGATACTTCTCGACGGGAGGTGATCGTGTGCCCATGGGGTCCCTGGCGTCGAGGATCTGGAGGACGACATCTGAGGAGTCGATGACTTTGTACAGCTCATTCCAGATCCTTTTGCTCTGGCCTGCAGCCATCACCCAGTCACGAGCTGCGTCCCTCACACCCTCGTCTGGACGAACTAGATCTGTGTCTTTGGTGTCTTTGTCTTTGCTGTAGGTCTCCACCCTCTCCTCGACGACCTTCTGGAGTTCGTCGTACGAGGAGACTGTCAAGTTCGGGCGCTTGCGATTCTTCTTGGGGCCGAAGGTCTTCTCAAAACTCTCGGTGTCCAGTAAGTGAACTCTTGCCTGGACTGCCTTCTGCTCTAGGAGACTCACTGGGAGCTGCGTTGGCTTCATCACCACTTGGTATGGATTCTTCATAGCTTCACCCAACTCGGTTTGAAATTTTTGAAGAGCATTCTGCGAAATCACCCGGGAGTTGCCAAACCAACGCTGCGAAGGCTCCACCCTGGACATCGTTCCGGATGGATGCCAGCCTTGAAATGGCGCTGGTGTTAGGATTTTACCTGTTTTGTCGCGTTTCGCTTTGGAGCATCGGTACATTTGGAGACGCTTGATCGTTGCTTTTGTACGAACCTTGGCGACGCCTTTTAGACCCTCTGTCGAACGTTCTGGGTTCATACTGTGCCCTGAACGGTTGAAGCCCTCTTTGCGAGGGCGTTTCGTTATTGCTGACGTCTTCGGCATCTTCGTAGAGCTGGAATTTTATAATATAATTTTATAGTATAGTTGTGAAACCAATCGAAGTAATGCAATATTTTTAGTACAAAAAAATGAACGATTTATTACCTTTGGACACACGTGTGTTAAATTGAAGAACTCTCCGTTAAAAAAAAATTAATTTAATTTAATTAAATTAATAAGTATATCCGCATTTATTCAGAGGTTTTCTCTGAAAACCGAGGTTATGGCTGAATGTTTCCATAGACATAGATGCACGTGGTCTTCGGCGTGTCAGAGATCTAACCGTCAAAAACAGGAGATTTATTTATCGATGGATGTTACATCGGCTGGTCAACTAGGAAGGAATCTCTTCTAACACTTATGGATCAGCTGTCACTTCACAGGCTGTCACCGAGTAACCTCAATATCACTGTCAAAATATTGCACTTGCTGTGAAAGAAATACTTTATTAATTAATAAATCGGAGAGAGGATTTTGAAGACAGGATGGCAGAAAACACGAGTAATCCTTACGATATCAATGGGCAACATTTCAATTCGGAGATATATCTCCAGAAATTGACAAAGGTATTGAAATTATCGGAGATATCAGGAATATTTGAAATATATCCCATATTGTCAGAGGTAGTGGTTTCTAATCAATGGTGATACTCTATTAATTACAGGATTTTCGACTGAAACAAATAATCGATCATGAGGAGGAGATCAAGAGGAATACACAGGTTCTCCATTCTGAGATGCAAACCCTCGTCTATGAGAACTACAATAAATTCATTGCTGCAACTGACACGATAAGAAAGATGAAGAGTGATTTCAAGAAAATGGAGGACAGTATGGATTCTCTAGCCACAAATATGGACAGCATAACATCCTTTTCGGATAAAATATCTTCGACACTCCAGGGCACCAGACAGCAGATATCTCGATTATCATCCATTCACACTCATCTCAAAAGACTACAATTTTTGTTCAAATTACCGGGCAATTTGAAGGAGAGGATGAACGAAGGGAATTATGCACAAGCTGTCCAGGACTACATTCACGCTCGTCGAGTCCTAAATCAGTACGGCAACATGCCATCCTTCCACGGAATTCAGAAAGACTGTGAGGATATCGTTAACGAGCTGAAAACCCAACTCCGTTTGCAATTCCACAAGCACGACGCCACAACGAAGACCCTAGCTGAGAGTGTGGATCTGTTGCTGCAGCTTAATGAACCAGCCGATTCTCTCTGCGAGGAGTTCCTGAGGCACGCCGACAGCCGCCTCGCAGAGCAGCTGGAGATCCTCAAGGACATGTGCGAAAACGATGTCATCGAGTTCGTGGACTCAGCGAGCTCAGGTTTCCTCAGCGATCTCGGTCTTGTTGTGGCCTCCCACAACAACATGTTCATCAACAGACCCCTCCCCACCCACCCCCATGATCTTGATATTGCGGATAATTTGGAATGCGACGTTAACGTGACGATTCGACTTGAAAAATTTGTCGCAAACAACATGAACAAGTATTTCGAATTAACAAAGAACAGGATGGAGAACGTCTCGGACACTGCAGTACTCGTTCGAGCCTTGGACAGATTTCACAGGCGCCTCCAGGCGATGAATATCCTGTGCAGTGCCACAGATTTCGCCAGCACTGGAACGGAAATCGTAAAAAACGCAGGGAGAAAGCAATGCAGGAGTCATTTAAACTCTTTGAAGCAACACCTGAATGAGACTCTGGTGAAGGTCAGACAGACACTTGCCACCAAAATAACGTCTGACAATAGTGATGGGGGATTGGCTGAACTCCAAGCCCATCTAGTGATGCCCATCATCGAGAAGATCAAGGGGGTCCTCCAGGACCTCTCAGCCTTTCTCCAGCCGGATCTTTCATTTAACTTGAGGGCTCAGTTCTTCGAGTCCTTCTGCGTTGAGGAAGTCCGTGAGGGCCTTGTTATCGGCTTCCTGCATCATCTCACCGCTGTTGCAGCTGGATTCTGCACGAGTTCAGACGTACCCAAGTATCCACCCACTCTTCTCCTTCTACTAAGCAAAATGTGCATCGAGTTCAAGGAGAGCAGCATCCATTATCTTCTGCAGACAGTTGATGAGATGTTCAGTGTTCACGATTTTCCGGCATCGATTCATGCACTAACGACTGAGCCGGATATCTGTGTGGAGTTCCATCGAGCTGCTCAGGATCTTCTCAATCATTATGTTCGTCTTCAGGGTCTCGCTGTTTCGCAGATGCTTAGGAAATCTGTAGAGACCAGAGATTGGCTGCATACCATTGAACCGAGGACTGTGCGGGCTGTCATGAAGAGGGTTGTTGAAGATGTCACTGCTATTGACTTACAAATTGCTACGCTTTATGATGATAGTGATGGTCAGGTCGATAGGAGTAGTGATAGTAGTCGAAAAACTCACAGGTATGCAGCCCTCATATATTTATTAAATAATAAAATTAAGCAACCGGTAAAGGGCAATACATATCTGTAGTAGCACTAAATGCATTTCTCTCTCTCTCTCAAATGACTAGTTTTGAAAATAATTGTACAGTTATTCGAAGGGTAATTTTCAATAATTACGTTTTACCACTTCACTGGCGATTTCAATGACTACGAGGCCAATGTGACATTAATTTCACAGTATTAGTGTTTCAAGGCACCAGTATCGCTCCAATTGGTCATCGTACAGTCATCCGAGCCATCTGGACTCATCTCTGGTCACCAACATCCACAAATTATTCTCGGAGAGAATTGAAATCTTTGCACCTGTACAGTTCAACAAAGCCTCCATCCTCACTGGCATCATAAAAATTAGCCTTAAGGTAATTGAAAATTATTTGAATGATGAATGCGTATGAAATATTGGTCAGACACATCACTTCTGACACGTGATGTACTTGTGCAATAGGGTGCAGGTGCTGTACCGTTGTTTGATTCACAATGACAAAATAACTTGGCCATTATTCACTTTGCAACGTGAACGAAGTAATCGCAGATGTAATCTTCTACTCTCATGTGTTGAACCAATTGAATTATTTTTTCTTTATTATTATGTGCGGATTGTCAGTGGTTATTTTTTCGCTCTTTGTCTATTTGCAGACCTTTCTGGAGTGCGTGAGACTTCGGACATTCAGCAAATACGGACTGCAGCAGATTCAAGTGGATACGCATTATCTGCAATTGTATTTGTGGCGTTTTGTAACGGATGAAAAGTAATTTTCTATATTAATTCGAATTGACACAATTATTAATGATTCAGATTGTTAATTCAATGATGAAGCGACTTAATATCATAGAACGATTCAGTTTTCATTTAATCAATTTACCGATGTGCTGCGGTTCGGGCCAATTCGAGTTTATGTATGATAATGAATAATTATGATTCGACCTTGTATGAATTAACCATTCTTCTTTTCCAGTTTGGTACATTTCCTTCTTGACGAAATATTAGGGAGTGCGGTGCACAGATGCCTGGAGCCAGTCCTCATGGAGCCCAGTGTGGTTGACATCATCTGTGAGAGAGGATAAGTGAAGGAAAAAGGGGTCTAAGGATTTTTATTCAAAATATACATTGTTCATGTAAAATATTTCAAATAAAATATTAATAAATAACCTTTCCCTTTTCCCGCATTTTCTTCATGGAGGGAATAAACAGCTGAATTTTTCATGTGTTATTGAACTTTTTTTCGAGAAATTTATTCAGCTGTACCACAGATCTCAACAGGAAAGCACCTCTCTCTCGGAAGCACCTGTTCCTAAGATGAATGAACAGTGACAAAGAATATAGAACTGTAATATTTTTTCGTGCCGATCCCGTGAGGGATTTGTAAAAATGGAAAAACACCAGCAATATATCCTCAACATTTCTCTGCATCGATTATGAAGATCGGAGATAATTAATTAGAGTTGATGGGTCGACGGAGGTTGCGCGTGGTGTCAGAGTAGCCAGAGCGTCGTGTCACCAAGCGGTCATCTTCATCAAATGCCTCAACCCCCAATGACTCCATCTCTGTCCCTGTTCTCCCGCTGGTACTCACACCCACGATTAAATTCGAATTGTCCATTCATCCGTGCAGACTGTATTGTGACCCCATGGTGTGGTGTAATCCGCTGGGTCAAATGATTCAAAAAAACGACAGCCTCACCTACATCAGTACCAATTACATTCGCCGAATTCTGTCTTCAATTTCTCTCCCCACCCATTAGTTGACACATCGGTGATTGTTTGCTTTATGCACGATCGAGGGATATTGTTGGGAAATCAGCTCCAACAAGACGAATGACGTGTAGGTCCCCTCGATGACTCCAAGCTTGATGTTGGCTCGAGTTAATTCGAACTTCCTCCCACTGGGATGAGATTCATTCCGCGTGTATCCGGCCGACTATGCCTACGCACCACATTCTATCCAATTTAATAAAATTCGAATCGAGTTCTCTCCTCCTCTCTTACGTTAACATGTTCTCCTTCGCTCCTAATAATTCACCATTCCGCTGATTTTTCGAAATTAATCGCTCCGAGTTGTCGAAATTATTCAGATCGAGGGAGTGAAATTATTTAGCTAAGAAATCACTGCTGGCCGCAGTTGATTTTTTACCGCAGGAGAAATGTTTTTGTTAAACATTTCTTACTGACTAGACATCAAGGAATATACTAATTAAAAAATTGGTGCATTAAAAATATAAGCAGCACCTTCAGTCTATTCTTCATTAAGATGTTTGATTTAATTTAAAATGATTCACCATTGCGCTAATTGGAATGGATGAATGGCTTGAAGAAAAGAATTGTTGAGTCAAGGAGTTATTGAGTTTTCGATAATTCCATATGAGACATAATATCTGGTCTAATGTATTCATTGACACATCAACCGAACGAAGCATCTGTGTAACGAACTCCATATGCGATTCTCTCTCACGTGATCAGGCTGAAAACACCTGTGCATGTGTAAACTGATGTAAACTCTCTTCAGTTTTTTTTTTCATTTTTTCTACTGGCACTGGCTTTGGTATTAAGGCAATTGGTTTAGTCTTTCAGGAGGTACATTTGGATCATTTTGTGAGCTGAGACGGTGCCGAGAAATAATTTTTTCAATTTGATCCTCTTCGATTTTTCTGGAATATCTTTCACGAGGTAAGTCTGTGCCGTTTTTCTTCGAAGATCGCTTACCTAAAAAATGCATTCATCATTTACTAATTAATTAATCCATTAATCAGTTCTCTTTTTCAGTGTCGAATTCCTTTTTTATCACGCAGATGATAATCAAATACATTATTACGTTCTCTGTGAAAAAATTGACGTTACAATTATAATTTACTTGCTCTGTCATGGTCGGAGGGATAGGGCATCAAAAACGAGCGCTAAAGTGAAATTCATTCCATTCTACCCTTATCTCGTTGTTAAATAATATTTCATGTGTTCTGTATGCGTTTTGTTATTCCCCCTGTGAGAAAGATATTGTGAACCATTCACCTCTTCAATTCCTCTCGAATTAGTCGTTGTGTGCTACAATACGACCCGCATCGTGATTTTCAGCTAAAAAGACGCACTCAATGGAGTTCTTTTCCATCAATTGTGCATTCGACACTCCGCCCTCATTTCCTAGATGATATTCGTACACACATTCTCCATGAATTCTCTTTGTTTCTTTTTATGTAACAGGGAAACGGTTTCTCCTGGTCTCTCGATATCAATAAAGCGCGTCGCATTATCGATTTCATGGAATAACATTCGTTTTGATATAACAATAAAAAATATTTTTTCGTTTACTATCTTCATTTTTTTATCTCATCAAAAAATTTTAATATTTGTATAAAAACAAAAATAGAGAATTCTCTCAAAAATAGAGAAATTATATAGAATTTCGAAGAAATGTGATAGAAAGAAAGAACTTCAGACATAATCATTAAATTTTCATTTTCTTATTATTTTCTTATACAAATGAATTTATTGATAGACTTTTAATTGCATTTCATCCGATTAACTATGAAGTCCAAAAGTTTTCTGTTCATTTTATTTCGTTACTGAAGGCAGCCAAAAAATGACGTTATGTATTGTTATTTGAGCAATTTTCAAATGGAGATAAGAAATCGAAAATAATGAAGAGCTGAGATAATGCCGTGGCCAAACAGTAATGAGTCAAGTATTTTGGAGCTGTTTCGGTTTGTGACCGCAATAATGGGCGATGACTTATGAACGCTCGTTGATGCGTTCACAAGTTGAACCTGCATTTTTCCAACATTATAAAAAATCAACCATTAGACTTTGACATTCGGAACTCGAACCTAGAACAACGAACCGTTGATCAACATTGGAAATTTTTGATAACGCTCTTCTCCAAGGAAGACTATAAAACCAAGGGCTTTTCCTGCTCCACTTCAAAAGGGGACCTGCGTGCTAAGTAGTAGTGCCGTAGGTGATTAATTAATGACATTCACCTTGGCACAATTACTTTTCACGTTGGGCCTCAGTAGTCGCCGTGAAAAACGAATGTGAATCGATTGCGGTGAATATTATCAGCAATTATTTATTCTATATTCTTTAATTTTTACTCCAGGATTTTTCGATGACGTCTCATTACTGCAGAAATATTTTTCAAAATCCAAATAAAGTTTCACTGGAAATTGAATAAAGACAAATTCATGGGGAAATGGCCTCTGATGTTTTATTATTCGCCATTTCCCAATGAATTTCATTGATATTTATATCTTCCTCGATTTTTAACTGAAATAAAACCCTATTAGTATAAAAAATTAGAAATAAAAAATAGCCGAACACATTCGCCATCCATTCTCACCGTCCCCCAAAAACTTGTGATCCAAAACAGACGATGGCCTAAACGTTCTGACTGAAATCTTCCAGAAACAGCACCCAATTCCTGAACACCCGAACACCCGAGAGCACCCCGAAGAAGTTGAAGATACCTATCCATCTGTTCGTGAACCCCCGTCCCCCTAAAAAAACCAGACAAAAATCTAAATCACTGTAGAAAATTGTAGCATTAAATAAAAAAAGGCCAAAGCCAAAATAAAAACCACAAACAATAAATCGCCATCTGCCAAACGGGAGATTTAATCCCCTTAATTGTATAATAAAATAACGTTGACAATGCAGTATTTTATGAACGATAATTTGACGTTTCTTAGTGATTGAAGATGATCTCGCAGCCAAAGAGGCTGTGATTTCAATTGGTAAATTGATTTGAAGCCGGCACCCAGTTGTACAAAAATAAAAGGAGAAAGGAGGAGGTATTTGTAATCTGGTGAGTAGATGTTTGTATATCACGGAAGGAGAAGACACATGGGGGTAGATACCTCTGTATTCCTCACTCATGTCTCGGTACTCTTGTGCGACGATCATATGTGCCGTTAATAGAGAGTGAACGTCGGTTGAATGCTTAATGCATTGCGCTTGGGTTCTAGGATTAAATTGACCAATCATTTCCCGCCCGGCTAAGAGCGACCAATTAGAGTAACCGACGGACTATATTAAGCCAATCAAGACTAGTTTATCATTCAGTCGAGGATCTGACGCCGGCTGCTCACCGCGGAATATCATTGCTCGAATTATTACAATTCCAAAATGTGACCACGTTTTACAATAATATTAAATACAATATTATCGTGCATCTGTCATTTCATTTTTTTTTCTCTTCATTTTTTTATTTCATACGAGTTCTAGGAATTTGCATTTTAACGCGCTCACCAGTGTTTTGTGATTTTTTTTTATTATCCCCCTTTTTTTTTTTTTGTTGAGAAAAATTGAATACGAACGTGATCTTGAGAGGCTGACGGCAGTGATACACAGCAGAACGGTTTCCCCTTCTTCGGTTTGAACCTCTTTTTTACACGCGTCTTCAAGAAATCCCTCTCCCCTCACTCTTTATAATCATCCGTTGACTTTTTTTCAAGAGGACTCAGTCTCTCCACTGTCGCCAATTCAATCTTGTGCTCCACTCTTTCTCATTTTTTCCTCACGTCTCATTCCATGTATTCCTATTCCTATTTTGTTATCGGATAATTTATTCTATCGGACGTTTTAATAGTTTTTTTTTATTAATACGGACACCAGTTTACTAATCACTCTCAGGGATTTCCCGTTTCGGGGGCTCATCTTCAAGATTTACTCGTGGAAGTATGTGGAGGGTGACAGCAAGGTAATATGCACATTTTTTTTCTCTTTTGGTTCAAAAGGCCAGGGATTTCCTCAGATTTCCTGGGATTGTGACGGTTTTTTAATTCTGTATTGACCCATTTCAAGATTAATTCCGAGAAGCAACATGGGGTGGAGAATTTCTCTGTACATTGAGTGTAATTATTCCATACTGTTTCTGCCAGGTGACTAATTAGTTTTATTGGTATAAGTCGTTACTTTTCTTGGTGGGATTACGAGGGGACGCGTGCAATTTTTTGGCTTCAACATTATCCGAGGGAAAAAGCAATTCAGCTGAATGAATTTACTTGCCATAAGCATTTGCATTTGACACTTGTGGAGTTTTTTTTAAATTCATTAATTCATTTGGGAACAGTATTTTTTTTTCTTAATGCAGGCGCAGAGTGCGCGGTAACAAGTGATTCAAAATAGTGGATAATGAATTTATATGGAAAATAATGAATGTTCATGGAATAATGATCATATTCCCTGAAATTGTTGACATCACGAGTTCCGCTGTAGTAATTGAAAGAATATAGTCGAAAAAACGAGGAATTCTTGTCGCTCCTAAAAATACAGAAATACGTTTTGTTATCTCATTGACTTCCTGACCCCTTGGCATTCAATGGTTGACGATAGCAAACATATACATTACCACTGTCACAAGGACTGGTCATGTACCGACTATACTTTCAGTAATAAATAATGCCCGACACAGCCGAAAACTTTCAATTGCCAGAGAAATTCCCCCATTCACTTGAAAAATTAAATTAACGAATACGGGGAAGAGGGGAAGAGGGGTAGAGGGGGGGAGGGGTATTTTAATTCCCCTTGAAATATTAAAACCCCGAAGTGCCGCGAAATTCAATGTACATTCTCAACTTCACTAGAGAGGGGAGGAGTTGCATTAGCGAGAATTAGTGTTAATTGAAGTTCTGCCTCTGGAGCTTTTTTTTTTTCACTCGTTCGTTCCTCTTTTTTCTTTTCTTCGGTCTCTTCCCTCGGTAAAAAATCCACTGCTGCGACAGAACAGACCGGAGATGACTTAATCCTCTTGTTTTCCAACGACGAGTTATACAAATTGCATTTAACAGAAAGTAATCGGACTTGAATGGCCAATCGGAGAATTATCTAATAATAAACTTTTATTGCAGGCTGAATGGATACATTACCCCAGCGATTGAGTCCTCCGTCGGTCGATGGGAGTAAAAAATTTATCCGAGGTATAAAAAAATGCATAAAGAATGCATTTTTCAGTGGTTAAACAGTGGGAGTGCTCAACGAGTTCGGGTCGTGATGACAGCACACAGAGGCTCATTCACCAGAATATCTCACTAACTGACATTCGTCACGGATTATTGCACACTCTTAGGAAATTACTCTGGAAATTTTCAATGAAAAAAACTTGAAGCTTTTAATAATGCCTATTCCATGTTCAAGCATTTGGGTGCTGTTGTCTTGATGTGCTGAGTGTTCGAGCTCTTATTTTCAGATCTATGCCACCGAATAATGGAAATCATTTAATAGAATTCGAATTCAGAGTCGAAAACCCCTCGGAATCTAAGGGAGTTACTGAGTATTCAGGAAAACCCATATTATTTCGAAACATTACAGAAACGAGGAAAAAAATAAATTCTCATATTAGGTATATAATTGTCAATCATCCCCGAACTCTTATATTTTCTAATTCATATTTTAAATGACTAAATAACATTATGGCCGATCCCGAAGATTTGGAATGACGAACTAGTATGCTAAACAAAATATATCGATTCCTTAAGATCCAAAAATGTAATTTACAGTTCACTCAAGCAAATCACAACAATCGACTACACGTAGGGATATATTGCTTAAAAAATAATTGAGGGCAACAATATTTTGCCAGTATAATACTTCTGGGAAGGAAATGCAGGAAATGCAGATTTTATTTATTCCGCTGTACCACTTGACTACTAGATTGTCATGACGAATGAAAACCCGTCCTTGGAAAAATCAACTTCATTGAAGTTTCAAGATGAATGGTACGGCTGAAAATTCGGAAATAATTTATGAATGTCTATAAAATTTTCATAAAATGATGATTGATTAAGGTGATGGGATAATTTACATTGATGAGACAATGAGACTCATTATGGTGAGGGGAAATGATATGAAGAGGAATTTATGGCAACTGACGAGAGTGGATGAGCGAACAAGGAATAAAATGGTAAAATGAATGGGAAGACGTAGGCGGGCATTGAATGACCAGCCGAGGTCGGTTCAATGAGGGTCCAGTATTATTCGTTACTTCGGAGTGAATACCTGCGCACTTGTTGAGTGCTTGAATGATGCACATGAAAATTCACTCGACTGCCTTGATTGGGAGCTAAAGGAATCTTCTGATGGATCCTGTCCTGTTCCTAAGTACTAGTGCCGCAGGAGTGACTAGACTGGACTAGGAATTACCATGTCTCCTGCTGCTCAAGTGCTTATCAATGGGTCGGGACGTACAGCTATAGATCAGATATTACTACAAGTGATATTATTTGAGAATATTCAGGAAACAGTCACTGGAATATTGAATGTTTCCCAATTTGTTATGAATCACTAAAAATAAGGTAGTAAAAAAAACTGCGTAGATAACTGATATAGTTATTCGCTTAATTTTTTTATTGCCTTAATAATTTATTTACCCGAAAATTTACGCGAAAATATTTTCTTGTATATATTGTACAATGTATCTCGTTGGTAATCTGTGAGGGATTATTTACCGTTATTTTAGCGGAATGTTTATAATTCCTGGTATGTTCAGTTGTGAAATAAAAAAATCGATGGACGTTTTATTGTTTTATTTTGGGGTCGAGCAATTCTGCTGCAAGATTTTAATTTACATTTGGGGATATTGAGAGATATTGGCCCTATCTCATCGTATGCATGCGGCTGTCAACAGGGTAAATGTCTAGTTCAGATCTACCACGTTATTCTAGTTGTTATATATCGGATTGTATGGGCTTCCATTTCCTGATTAAGGATCTGATCAGCTTTGCCTCCGGAAACAATTAGATTAGGAGATATCACTTACTAATGCACCGCTCTCTGAGTTATTCAGGGCCCCGACGACAACGCATGTTGATTCACTTAAAGACAATGGACACAGAAGAATTTTCAATCGATCTTGAGCACAATTACAAAACTTTAAATTTGATCTCACCCGACCACCAATGGTCTCTGACTCGACACGGCAAGTGATTGTTTCGTCACAACCCTTCTGTAGCAATTCAAAATATATTTAATATTTAAATGAATTGAGAATAATCGGGGTCTCACCAGGTCCCAGATCAGACTCATCATGTTAATTGGGAATTGTTTCCTGGTGAGGCTGGAAGTCCGTTCGTCCAGCCAGAGTCAAACGCCATTCGACAAAGCTCTACTTGCACCCATTCGTACGCAATCTAGTCATGTGTACACAGATATACAGGGCGTCCCATTTGAAATAGTATAGTTGAATAACTCTTTAACGAGGAAAGTAATCGGAAAAACTTGCAAATGAAAGTTGTAGGGTTTGAAGGGGGACAATTGCATTTGCCGTTACAAAAGGAATAGCTTTTGTGGAGGTGAAATTATTGGCGATCATTTTTAAAAATGCAACATAACCGATAGCATCAAAGCATAAACATTTATACTGGAAACAAACTTGGTGTCAGTTGAAAATTGAATTTTCAGAGTAATTATAATAATTTTTGGGTTAAGGGAGAAAAAAAATATTTTGGAGGAGCTGGGATTTGAACCCAGGACTTTCAGCATGCGAAGCAGACACTCTACCACTGAGTTACACCCCCGCGTATCTAGCGAATTCCTGAAACCACATCGAATTCTCAAAAAAATGAAAAAACAGTAAACCATTGCAATAATGATTAAAATTTTATTAGCCAGCCAAGTATCTCTACCAATGGTTTGAAAAATTAAATCAGCGTATCAAAAATATGGAACATTGATAACAGACAATGTAGTCTTTGGAAATACGTTTTTGTTTAATATTTCATATTTTTTGTAGAAAATTCCGAAAACATTGGCCTCAATGAATGAAGAAAAAGGGATCTAATCCGCAAATAATTGAAAAAAGTAATCATAATGCATTCATGCTAAATTAGTAACATTGTTATTGAGTTAGCAGAAAACAGGGTAAAAAGAACCCTTTCGACTTTATTTTTTAAATCATCATGAGTCACGCCAGGAATAAATAAGTTAATTTTTTCTCAAATAACTATTTTTTTAAGATTTATGTTCAAATTTGTAATTAGGTTACTAGAAAGCTGTGAAAATATAAATAAAACTTCGGAACAAAAAATGGAAGTATTTAACAGTTTTTGTCAATGAATTATTTTCTGAATTATGAATATTAATGGTAAAAGTAAAGAGACCTTTTTACCCCATTCTGTCTACCGATGCACTTGGCACTTGAATTTAAAGGTTTCATTTGTCACTCTAGATAGCATTGTCAATCGTTATTACTTAAACATGAATATATCTTTGAAATGTATTGTTTTTATTACTATAAGAACTGAGCACTCTTAAATGATAGTTCCAATGATATTTTTCATTTACATACACATAAATCCCGGACGAAGAAGCGCGTAGTTTTATAACCCATATTATCCTCTTATCGATCTCGCTTTCTTTATCAATTTAAAAAAAAAAAGAAACTAATGAAAAATGTGCGAGGGCTTTCTCATGCACACGTTTCACGTTAACTTTGCCACAAACAGCGATTTAAGGCCGCAAAGTCTTACACAAACACATAAACATTTACTCTACACTCTTTGTGGCTAAATTAATCACCCCACGAGGCATTTCGCTAAGTTGTACTGGATCTAAATGGAAAAAGGATAGTCTCCCCATGAAAAACACTAAATGAAACTGTTCAATTTTATAAAGTTCTGGTTTTCCTTTTTTCTCTGTTTCCCAGTTACAGAAGACCTACTCTCACATGGATACGATCATTTGTTTATTTATTTTTCTTCATTCCTTCAGCAGCCAATCTCAAGTTTATCTCTAGATCAAAAATAATTGATGACACTTGTTGGTTTGATGATTTCATCAACAACACTACGAGGTCATCATGTCACTGCCAGAGTTTGATGAAATGTTTGGTCCTTTCAGGGAGTCATTTATATCTCTTCTGAACATTGAAAGGTTTTGGGTGAATCTGTTGATGAAAGAATGATTCAATTAATACAGTAATAACCGAAAAGAAAATTCTGGAGTAAAAAGCAAGCCATCTCATCTGAAGGAGATTGTCGATTTTTGAAGTCAAACGGAATCAGAATGGAGAGAGAGATTCAAAATTCAATAGTTTGCAATACGCGAGAACCCTTCCAGATATTTGACTTCTGTTGCGTGGCCCGTGCGCACTCGGATTTTTTTCAGGGCGTCTTGGGAGATCGGAAAAGTTCTCTGAATTAATTGTGAAATTCCCCTGCATGTTATTTTTGAATGATTATTACCTATCTCGATTTTTAGTCAGTAGATTAGGCTCGATGCCATCCATAAGGTTCTCGAACCACTGGGCCATAGCTGGCTGCTTATCAACCAGCTGACTCCTAATTATATTCTCCCGCAATTGACCGAAGTACTGCAACAATAAATCCAAACAAAATGCCGTTCGATGTATCTAAAATAATTTGATCGATGAAGGCTAAAGCAGGGAAAATTAATTACTTCTTCATTCAGCAGAATGAGCCCCAGGAGTGGCCTCGACATGCTCCACTGGTTCCTGCAGTCCTCGAACATTATCACATTGAGCACTGTACTCAATATTTGCTGAAGTATTTCAGGATGTTGTTTCAACACTTGTAAAAACAGATCACCACCAGCAGGTACTGCTGAATTTTTTTTTCCAGGGTATACACCAGCTGAAATAACCCCCGAATGTAGCTTCACAAGAAAATTGTTCTTCTTCACTTTGTTGCGATAGTTTTTATTACGAAAATTACTCACCTTTCTGTGACAATTGTTTAAACAAGTACGTAACGATGTGATCCAGTGTTGCACAGCAACCAGTACATACCATCGTATCTGAAACCACATCATTGACCGTTCATAACAACCGAAACTATGCCGCAAAAATTTCCAATGGAATAAAAAATAATACTCATTCATACATCATGCAATGCTCTACAATACCTCAATGCTTCTAATTTAGAAATTAATACAAGTTATAAAAGAGGATAAGCCAATTGCACTCGGACGTTGGATTTTGCTGAATAACTCAGTAGAATTAAAAGCAAAGGCGAACATTTGCCGAGAGTTTTACCTCGACAAAATACGATCATAGAATCGCAATACCCTTGTAATTCAAACCAGCGAAGGAAAGCAAAATGGTAGCAAGCCGATTTAGTTGATGGGTAAATTTTCCAAGGACATCTTTAATTCTATGAGAGGTACCGCAATTTTTGTTTGTAGCTCTTGTTTCAGTTAATAAAAGAGGTTTTGATATAAATTTCGTTCTCTGTCTTGAATTCTGAGAAAATCCGGACAAATGCGAGGGAATAAATCGGCTTGTTGCACTCAACCTCTTCGCTATTGAAATAGCTTCATCGTAAGTCCGTCCTCATGTTTAAATGACTCGACCAATTTTACAACTTTATAAATAATAATTACTTAAAAGAAACTTGCTAGCAATTGAATTAACAAGCAACTATAAATGGAGAAACTGTTAACAAAATGGAATGAACTCGATGCAAATTAATGAACCTTGTCTCCTTAATTAACAAATAGATCAGCAACTTACTCTACTGCAGCAATTCAACAAGATGTTAATTCAAGATAAATGTGTCAGCTGTGCGGCTGATTGCAAGTGCTAGACCCGTAATTCAACTCATAATTTCATTTGTCATAGTTTCTTTTTCCTCTTAAACTATTATTACAGAAATACGGAAGCTTGTGGGCAAGAATTGCAGTCACGGTGACAATGGACAAGATTTCACAATTCAAGCCGGAGGAGAAGAGTCAGGGAAATTATTATTCTCCACTTAACATCAGGATCTAGATATTTTTATGCACCCAAATATTTTTACTACCTGCATTAGACAAACGTGTGTGCGAGTACTAATCTTATCTATTCGAAGAGTCCTAGAAAATATCGGACTATTCAAAAAAATTTATTCAAACTGTCTGTCGTATTTTCAACTTGACCCGTCCGTCTCAATGTCTTGCGATGAAATTGTTTTCAATTTCCCTCTATTTCCCTCTTTATACAATCGTATTCTCTACGAAAATTATTTCGTAACTGATCCCATGAGATTTTCGATTTCTAAGTTCTCATACTTTAAATATGATTGCCAAAATTTTTTTGTAATCAGCAATAATGTTCATGGGAAATATGCACTGGAGTAAAATTTGATGATAAAAGATACATTGAGATAGTCGATTTCCCTTCAATCTCGAAATACAAGTGTTTGAATAATTTTTTCGAATCTTTCAAAAGTTTTTCTAGGATTCGTCGTATTGCACGTAATTTTCATTCCAAAGCGATTGAATTTTAATGCAAATTAAATGAGGCAAGTGACAGTTGTCTGTCACCATAATGCTCTTGCTCTCTCTATCAAGCTTCTCATTTTTCCCTCGGAATTGAGTTTAAGGACAATTTTGTCCGAGTATTCGTTTCCTTCCTGGGGATGTAGAGTGATACGAGTAAGATAGAATCAGCCGCACAGACCTGTGTAGGAGTCTTTTAGCGCACCTAGTGCCGTTAGGCCTTCGCTGATACTTGAGAGAATGTAGAGAAATACTCGTGGCTCCAGGGTTGATAAGAACGTCATGTGATCCTGGGCGAGGCACTCGAGTAGGACGTAGTACGTGGCTGATAGTTTTGGGTAGTCCTGTTGTCGATAATTTTAAACAAATCATCGATTTAATGCATCAATCTCAATCTGAACGTGATGCACGCAGTGATCGGTAACTAATATTATTTTCCCCATTATTTATATTTTCAATTTATCCGACCTTACCGCAATCTTCAGTGAGTGACTGATATCGATTTGTTACCGATAATTCTTTCAGTAATAGATATTTTAAGTGTTAATATTGCTCATTTGTGAACTATTTTTATTTCTGTGAAATTTATTATTAAATTATGAATTATTTGTATTGGTTTAATTCAAATGCTTCGTTGGTGAAACGACGCCGACCTTTCATAAAATTTATTTGATGAAGTAGAGATCAGATGATGATCTTTGTGGGGTTCCCCGTCCTCGTCCCCGTCGCGAGGACTGGGTAATACCCAGTGCTGGTATGATTTCGACTAAATCATTTTGGATTGCGTAAACCGAAAGATATGCGAAAACAGAGATTGATGAGTAGTTCGAATATAACGGAATTCTACTGTATTATTTTCTGATATTCGTATTATTCTGATAATGTTGATATCAATTGTTGATTTTACCTATCTATGGTCGCATGCACAATATGTTTTCCTGTTCATAAAAAAAATTGTGTACTCACCAGTAAATCGCTCTGCGGTATGCTCAACAGTAATTTAACAAAAGTATTCAAAGCATTGTCAAGGGCTTCATCCCCATAGAGTCTGAACACTCCAAAATTCACGTAACTACCACATAGGGCTGCCTTCAACATACTGAAGCATATGCTGATTCCCTTAAGTTTGAGGGGATATATTTGATCCTTCGGCACTTCAACATTCAATATGTGGTTGCCATAGCTGCATATGACCTTGCTGGCCTCGCGAAACAGGAGAATACCATTTGGTGAGGAGACATCGAACTGCAGGCGTTGGCTGCGATTTTGTACTAATTCAGCGAATAACTTCAGGACTGGTGTAGTCACTTGTGGATCGTGATGCCAGAGCTCGATGGCGTGCAGGAGAATAGGGGTGTAGTTGGGGTAAATCCAATCGAAGAGCATCATGTACGAGGGCTTTGTGTTGAAGGCGTACGCAAGGCCACGCAAATCTCGAGCTATTCCGATCAATGCTTTTTTAGCTTCTTCAGCTGCGAACAGGGGAGAATCCGCTGCACCCATCAACTGCCCGAGACTCTCCAGAGCAGCTTTAAAGCAAATTTAAAGTCATTATTAGACGTCATTTGAATTTAAGAATCAAATGATAATTAGAATCTGACAGATTTACTAAATGTTAATTTATCTAGAAAGTCATTGATTTCAGGAGGAAGTTCAAGTTTGAATAATTTCCTTGAGTTAGGGGACTATTCTAGAGTCTTACGAAACGTAGCATATTCTCGATCTGAATGGGTTATCAATTCGAATTACCTGTCAGGGGCAGCATGAAGGTGTGAAATCTCTCCTCGTCCTCACCCAAATCCACCATGAATAATTTACCGAGGGAGGTGTAGAACATTGTCCTGCAACGCATCTCAGAGACGGGAACATTGTTGCCGAGGAATGGAAAGTGTTCACTCTGGAAGTGAATTCAACATTTTTTCAACACATTCCGATGAATAAAACTTGAATACTGTAATTGATGAAACTTACTGTATGGTTGTTCAACATAAACTGCACTTCATCAAGTTTCACTAACTTGCGAACGGAGCTGTAGCCAACTGAGAGATCAGTTAGGAGTTGAAGTGTTTTTGAAATAATTTGTTCTCTTCGACCCCAGTATTTCAAATTGGTTATTCTGGATGAGAAAGAACAGGATAATTAATAGATCAATAAATCAGATCTGCAATCAAACTGTTGACAAGCAATAAACCTAATTTTTGAGAGACGTAGCGTTTTCCTCTCGAAAGCAATACAAGAGGAAAAAAAAAAGAAAACCTTGAATTCTGAATGAAACTCACATTTTCCGAATAAAAACACTCAGCACCATGGCCTCATCATTGAGTCCAAGTACTTCGGACAGCCTACGATAAACTTTGGAGTTCTTCTGTATGGAGTCCCCGACATAAATTTTCCTGAATTGCTCGAAGAAACTCAGCATAGCGAGTTCGAGTTTTTCACAGCCACCCTGGGTGAGCCCAGAATCCGTTAAATTCATTAACTGCAGTACTCTACAAACAAGTTCGCCATCCATGGCATCATGCTCCTCATTGCTATTAAACGAAACTCGTCCACCAATGGCACTGCCAATGATATAAACGAGCCAAGTGAGTTGTCCCTCCTGAATTCTCAGCTCGATCTGTTGAGTGGGGCTGGCTGTCTGAGACAGCAGTTCCTGATAGGCATTGGCAGCTTGATCAAACAGTTGAACAAGTAGCGTGCACGTTTTCTGATATTCACATCTACCGATCACAGATAATTGTTCCAGTTGCTGCTGGACCATCCCCAGATCATCGAGGGGATCCTCAAGACCATCACGAACGACAACAGCCACGGACTCGAGCCTCGATGTGATGTAAGCATTGGAAACCTCTGGGGTATACGTTTCGAGGAGATGTGGCTCTGTTGCTTTGACGTATGGCACCGAAGCCACCATTCTCTGCCACAGACTCAGAAGATAGTGCACACTGTTGGGGGCGAATTGCCACATTTGCAGACTCTGAACGGTGAACTTGGCAATTAGTTGTATGGCCTCTGGATAATTCTCAACGAGTACCAATTCTCCAAGCTGATAATTACTCTTCAATCTTGCCAGCAATCTGCAGAACTCGTGGTAGTTACTAGGATCACTGAGACCCTGGGGATTCTGGAGTATGTGTTTGACTCCGTTGACCAAGTGCGTCAAGAATTTAGCTCTCTCAGTGTTTGAGAATAGACTACGTCTCACTGATGCTATCTGAACGAGACAGGAGAGAGCCAGTGATGACAGAGTGTTTGGTAAACTATGGTAGAGATCGAAATAAAGCTTTAGCGTTGCGAAATCTAGGAATGCTGGCCTCCAACTCGTTGGAATTTGTACTGTACATAAGTCGTCCGAGCTCTCGTCAGTTGAGGTACCAATGAAATCGAAAGTTAGACAATTACGAGCCAGCCGAAGGAGTTGGGTCATTAGACCGTGCTGTGCCTCATCGTTGAAGTTGAGGCTTTTGCAGTTTTCACGCGCTGTACCCAACATTGAACATGATAATCTAAAGATTTCAAAGAGCTGACTGTCTCGAAAGCTGCTCGCTATCTTTCTATGCTTTGTCGGTGATCTGTTGGCATCAACTTCCGATATTTGGTTCATCTCACATGTCAATTGGGACAGCAGTTGAACGCCTATCATGCAGTGCTCTACCGAGCCCTGAAGGAATTTTGTTACTTCATCTACCACATTTCGGAATACATAATTGTCTTTGTCTGCGTCGAACCAGCCGAGCTTTGATATTCGTGCGAACAGCGTAACCAGGGCTTGGATTACGAAGTTTGGGAGTTTTGGTTGTGTTGCCAAATAGTTCAGTACGTAATTGCCTGGAAAGATCATTGACAATTGTACATCACTCTCTGTAATAATTTACTGAGAGGTGTGACAAAAGACCGACTGTGGACATTCAATACAAGACAGGCAAATCTTCGTTTAAGATTCCAGATAGTTGCTGATTTTCATTTTCCCCAATTTCCCACATTTTTGCAAGATTAAACGATTTTTTACTTACAAAGCAATAAAATGGAACTAAATAAGATTAATATGAGAAAAAAGCCTAATTTTAATAATTTTAACAAATTGACAGTAAATTCTTCAGGAAAGGGCAAGGAGCAAACATGTTTGATGGTCATTAGAGCAAAGAGAATGTGCAATAGTCTTGCACGAATGATTGAGTTGGAAATGAAATTGATGATATGAACTCACGTATATCAAGCCTTTGCTGGAGACTGAGTCCCTGTGGGGAACGTGAGACGAGTTTAGTGAGAGTTGTTGCAGCCAAGAGTTGAGCATAAGAAGAATCTCCACGATCCAGCAGCAGCTGACATTTGCTAAGGGTGTCTGGAGCATTTTGAAAGCCAACAAGTGCCTTTTCAGCTTCAACCCGATGAGATGGATCTTGTGACTCGTACAACTGCTTGCACAGCAATTCTAATTGTTGTACTTCCTGAATGTCATTCATTCTGAATATTTGTATTTATCCTATCGTTATGAATTTTTTCCCATCAATTTTCATTCACTTTTTCATCCCTTTCACTTCTATATCAATCAACGTTATCTCATTAACCCTCCTACCACACAATTCACACAGACTTTATCAAACTCTTCCGATACAACAATAGTAAACAAACGATTAATTAATCAATCGATCGGAATAAGGGACTTGATTGTAGAGTAAAGACCGATTGTTGGAGGTTATACCCGTTTATCGCGAATTCACAACGTCCCAAAGGCGTGAGACATACACACAACAAAAAATCCCATGTAATCACAACTTTTTCACCGAATAATTTTCATCACCGGTCCACTCCAATGTCCGATTGAATAACGAACTTGTTGTCACAACCCATATACACATCACAGAACTGGGATGAATGTTGAAGAAGGATCATGTAGTACGAGCACGATAAACCATAATAAACTCGATCGACTGTGTGAACCATCACTGAACTATCAACCAGAAACAATGGAAACAAACACGAGACTGCAAACAACCCTTTTCACATAATTGTCCCCCTGAATTTTCCAATCGCTTCGCAAGCAATGACAATTGTCTTTTATCTAAAAAATGAATAATTCTTTATTTATATTCCCACTGGCTGATTACCCACTCCATCTCGTGATTCGATAACTTTTCAATCTACATTAACTCGTTAGTGATCATAACGAAAAAAAGAGTTGACAACATCGTAACGACTTGAAGGACTGAAAATATTGCATTTTAATAATGCAACATTTGAGATAATTCAATAGTTCAGAATGAGATAGCCCAAAGACGCAGATCAGTCGACGAATTACATCCGGCAAACCCCAGGTGAACACAAAGTGTATGTGTATGTGCATGCGTGAATTTTCCGCTGGTGAAAAACGCCGGACCAAAATTTCCACCTATTTTCCTATTTTCATTTTAATACCATGTTCTATTATGTTTCCATGTCACTGATTATTAGTTTTGGATGTTGATGATATGCTGAAAAAATTAATTTTATTACTTTGAGAATTATTAGATGAGATTATATAGGGGTGATTGTTAGAGCTTTTACATAGGCTTCGATGAGAACATTTGGTAGCGCTGGCACGTGAACTTATCGACGCGCAAGGCCTAAATTATCGACAATCTCGCCTTCGCGTCCTGCCTTATTCACAGATACGCTTTATTACAGATGTTGAAGCTTTTCTACAAGCTACAATCCCCCACAAATATTAAATCCGTTAAACTGACAAATACGATAGCCCTTAGTTTGAGTGTTTTCAGGAATGGATGGTGATTATTATTCTACAGTTTATGCGTGGTGAGTCTTATTTTTTTAATAATTACAATTACAATTGATTCTTTTGGATCAAATAGTGGTTTCGAGGGTTCAGAAAAAAGAGAGCGGGTTCAAACCCCATTTGAAAAATATATATTTTTCTGTGCTCATAACTCAGGAACAAATTCATCAATTTGGTTTACCTTGAGCTCCTTTCGAAAATGCGAAATTGACTGGTTGTGGAAATAGATCATTTTCAGTATTTTCTACTGATTGAATGAGGTGTGAAGAGTTTCAGGGATATATTTGACCGATTTCTCCAAACAGTTGATGTCTAGTTCATTCAAATCGTGGGGACAACTTTCAATTAAAATCGCATTTTATGAATGAAAGCTGTAATATTTAATCTTACAGGTTCGAGAGATGTGGAATAATATCGAATGTCCGCACCCATCTTCGTCAAAACCTAGTGAATGCCCTGAAAAGTAAAGACATGACTCTGAACAAAGCGAACATCGGGCCCAAATCGGCGAAGCAGTACGTTTACGATTTATTGATTGCAGAGTACCTCTGGAATCACAATTACGCATATACAGTCTCAGTATTTGCCAGCGAAGCTCCTCTGCTCGTTAATTTTCGAAAACATGTTCCCACGAGTGATAATGAGGCACTGACAAAAAGTGATAGAAATAAATTGCAGAGTGATTATGTTTGCCATACATTGGAGACTTTGGGGATCGACCCCGAGGGGCCTGACGGACAGGATATCATCAGAAACTACGACACCAATGACATTCCCCTTCTATTATCGGTACTTCAATATGTCAGGCAAATCAAGAAACCAAAGAGCCGCGTACAAATCGTCAGGGAGGATTCCAAGTCCCCCACTAAGAGCTGCAGGACTCAGACCGATTTCTCTGAGAGTGATATCGCTGCAGAGACTGTTAAAATCATTGCAGCTAAAAAGAAACTGATCAAACAGAAGGAGTTGTTTGATAATGAGTTGAGACAAAAGGGAGAAGCTTTAAACATGAGAGCTAGTCACATTGAACAGCAAATGACAACTTTGGATGAAAAATTATTGCAAGTTCAAGGTTTAATGCAAGCAGTAAATTTGAAAGAGAAACAATTCCATGAAGACAGACAAGAAGAGGAACGCAGGATATACAAAAAGGAATTAGAACTAGCCATGAAAGAGAATTCTATCACACGAGATGCTGAGAGGTTGGAAAAAGAAAGAGATAGCTACAGGCAATTCGAGGCAAATTTGAAAAATCTCCAGGAGGAATTAGTAAAGGTGAAACAAGAATTGGTGAATAAAGAAAATAGAGAGAGTAGAGAAAAAGAGCCTGGAGATTTGAAGAGGCGTACAAGTGAGGCTTCCACTCAGACCGAAAAGTGCACCAATGAGACGAATAAGCAGTCAAACGATCATGAGAAGCAAGAACTACAAAATTTGGTGCAGGAGCAGAAGCTGAGGATAGAGGAGTTGACTCTCCGGGTGGTTAAACTGTCAAGACAGCTGGAAGAGGCTCAATTGATGAAGTACACGAATAATGAAGTTGTGAGGTCCATTCCACCAGTTCAGGCCTCAAAGACGATTCTCAGTGAGAGCAGCTCAACCGACGACATTATTCAGGATGCGAAGCAACGACTGAAGAGACTAGAACAGGAAACCATTAAGGCTGACAATTGCTACCTGAATTCAATGATAACTTCCCCCTTATGACGAAGAGTTCATTTCAATCTGCCTGATAACTCCGAGCACCTGTGTGACTGAACTAATTAAGTTACTCGATGATTTTCGTAATCTTATTTATTTAATAAAAGTGTATTTATCACAGAGAGACTGCACACATAATAATTCACGATGAATTTGTTTTATACTAGAAATTCGTTTCATTTTTTTGTTTATTATTGTGTAGAATTGGATTCTTGATGATTTAATATAAAAATTATTCACTATCGAGATTTTATTACTTCTATCATTATTATTATTATTTTCTTTGAAAGTTTTTGCTGTTATTACATACAACATTCAAACGCGGGAATATAAAATGTAAGTCAAACTCCGTCGGTTGGTTTACATCATCTTCGTTTGGGGTCCGAACTCCTCCTGGTATATTTCTGTTAAGGTTTCAATATTTGAATGATCCATAATCTGCGAAAGTTTTTTTTTCCAAGTCTGTGGGAATTAGAATTGATTGCAAAACGCTTCATGATTATTTACTTTCTTTAGAAAAAGGATATTGTTTATCTCTGCCTTCACGTCCTTCACGCTCGTGAGTTCTCTCCTTGGTGTACGGGGATTTCTCCTGAAGAATACAAACAAAAAAATCAAAACAAACTCCAACACAGAGAATTTCAAATACATAAAATTCTGAGAAATGGATTTCTACGAACCTTGCTATAATGATGTTTTTCTCTATGCTCTGAGACGTCGCCATTTTGATGGGTATTTTTTGCTGTAAACAAATCGTCATCAAAATACTGGTGTTAGGGAAATGAGGAGAAAATAAATAAGAAAAAAACAAAATCGGCACCGAATATTGGAAAAACGTATGCACCTCAGGCGCAAAATAAAACAGTCTTTTATTATGACAAACAAAAGGAAAACGTTTCAAAAAAATTTTTTTTCTTTCAGAATAGTCAACCAGTAGATATAATGATCATAATACTGTTGGTACCACAGTGAGGTAAAAAGAGATTTGAAAAATGCAAATCACCAACCCCGATCATCGTCTTTTCTTCGCTTTTGCTCAGCAGCAACGACGACTTCTTCAGTTCGATCCTGCAGAAAAAATTAAATTTAAAGACATTCATTCCCTGGAGAATCACAAGAAAATTTTTTAAATCAGACGTACCCTCTTACGACCGAGTTTTTTCTCCCGTCTTAATTCTTTCTGCTCATCTCTGACTTTTGTCTTGGCAGATCGTTCTTTCTTCTCACTGACACCTTCAGTGCGTCTACTCTCTTTAGGAATGCTCTCAACTTTTCTCCTTTTGGGCTCTAAAATACAATAAATAACTCAGTAAACGTCCAACCATTAAATTAGAAAATTAAAGAATATACACAAGTAATTCAATGAATAATAAAAATACCTCTCTCAGCCTCCTGATTCTGTCCCGCGCTACTAGCACTACTATTTGACACACTAGATAAATCCCTATCCAAATGATCAACCCCTCCACTATAATAATTTTCCTCCTTCGACTTTCTCTCCTTCTTCTCCCCCTCATCATCTTTATCGCCTTTTTCTTCCTTCTTGACATATTTTTCCTTGGCATCAGACACATCCTTGCTGTCCTCTTTCTTTCTAGCCTTCTCCACGACCTCATGATTTCCAGAATTGTTAACAGACCTCTTCTCTCTGGAGTCCTTACTCTCCTTCTCCTTCTCCCTGGTCTCTCCATTGCTGACCCCCTCCTTGGAGCCAATTCCATTGCTGACCTTGTCACTGCTTTCATTATTACCACCCTCTTGGCTCTTGGCAGTTCTGTCATTAACATGATGGAACTCGGCCTCCTTGATCATATGGGGTGTCTTGGCCTTGAGCTGACCACTGTAGGACGTCGCCAACACATGTAAATCCTGCCTCTGTCCCTTCTCCTCCTCCCTCACTTTCTCTACCTTTCTCTCAAGGATCCCCGAGAGTTTAGCAATCACAGGGAATTGTGGAAGAATCTTAATCAATATGATAAATGAATTTCTGATCTGCACGTAATCCTTCGAGTCCAGGCACACAACAATGGCCTTGGTGATTTTATAATGCCACTTGTGACACACATGACGATAATTCTCAAAGCCGACCATGTCATTAGCCTCCGAGAACTGATTGCTAACCTTAAACTTAGTGACAAAACCCGGATAATTGCTACACTCTTTGTCAAATATTGCCTTCTCCGAGTGCCACCTCATGACAGTCTCCAGCATGGCACAGAGAAATCTGCCATAGCGATTAGCCTCGTTCTCAGTGCAAGAGGTAACCGAATAAGTGATATCACAAAAGAGACGATCGTAGCAGAGGAGAGTGGAGAAGTTGGCTGTCTTGAGTGAATGAATTGTATGAACGAACTTAGCGCAGTACATGGCATCGACAGCTGTAAATGTGCACCTCGGGAAGAGACACAGCTGAAGGAATTGTGTGATTGTCTCGTTCTTGGCTGATTTGGGGCTTCGTGATAGGAACCACGAGTCCTTCTCCTGTCTGAGGTACGCCAGTACCTTTTCAACGTGCTCCTCCTGCTTCTTCCTCTCATCCTGAAGCTTGTCGATGAGAGTTGTGTAACGCTCCTGCTCCTTCTTTCCTTTGCTGGCATTCATGTCTTTGGAGTCAGCTGCCTGGGCTGCCAGCTGCTTCAGTCGATTCACCTCCCTCTGGTAGCTCTCTACTGGCACAAAGAGATCAGACATCGATAACGACCAGAAGGTCACCAGAAACTGGGGGGATATGTCCTCCCAGACTTTTGGTGGATGCAGGGGACGAACTGACAGGGCAACTGGTGCCATTACCGCTTGAGCAGCCTCTGCCCATTTTGCTTGCTTTACTGAGGCTGACATTCTTTTGTAGTTTGGATCGACTTTGCGGAGAGAGTCATACTTTATATTTATTGCGTGGGAGAACATTGGTCGAGCCAGGAAAAATGCCACGTCTGCGTGGATGTGATTGTCTTGGAGCATATTGTGGATCCCTGGCAAACGTTCCACGTACTCGTTTACAGTCATCGTTTGTCCCAAGAATGTGCCGAATTGTACGAGGGTGTCTTGACACTGATCGTAGAGCTTACCAACTAATTTCAGGTGGGACTTGTCCGTCTCTCTGTAGACTACACAGTGCTTCTGCTGGGCCATCAGCAGGCACAGGGCCACTGCCAGATCGTTCTCGGCAAGGGCATCTTTCAGTCGTTGCGAGGACTTCTTCGTATTTCGTACTTGACTGAAGTAACCCGCCTCAGTTTTCAAAAGATCACCCCCAGCCATGGCATCAAGCTGATCAGCAGTCATTTCCTCGGCCGCCTCTACTCCCGCCATTTTCTGAACAATCTCCTTAAGTATCAACAGATCAAGACTTTTTTGCGCCTTTAATTGATTAGCCACATACTGAAGCAGCCCGGTGAGTTCAATATTGTATTTCTTGAAAATCGCCCCACAGAAAGACGCGAGTGATTGGAGCCACTGGGATATGCTGTTACCATCGTGTTTCAGCCTGTCTCTATCAGCACCAGCGAGTGCCTCCACCAGGCAATACCCAAGGACATCGTATGAAATATTCGTTAGATACTTCAGAGAGTCGACAACGGGTCCGATAAGATTCTCATACAGTTGGATCTGAATGAGAATGTAATCGAAAAGTACTCCAGGGGATGAGTGTGTGAGTTTGCCAATTGTCCTTCCAACTGGTTTGATGGTCTCCTTGCTCACTCTCTTCATGATCGACTTGATTTTTTTCTGCGCGTCAGCTCGTTTCCGAAGGAGTGCAGCGTGCTGCATTGGTGTATCATTTTTCCACCTGGCGTAGAGACAGTACCGATTCTGATAGGGATAATACTTGAGGATATTCCACATCTCTTCAGCAACACAACAATTGCAATCCATAAAAGACAATGCGGGTAGCAGGGCTACATCCAGAATTGTTAGGATGTCGTAGTAAACGTTATTGCTCTTGTCGATGGGCTTTTTATTAGAATCGAGAGGATATTGCTTGATAGCAGCATGACAGATTCTCATTATTTTGTACATGAGAATGGGATCGTGATGGAGGTTTGGCCCGAGGGCTATCAGCATTGGCAACAGGTGGTCGTGAATGTCATTGAAATCATTCATCGGTTTTGGTGCAAGGGGATTGCTCATGGGAGGTATTTTTCTCCCTGGGAGCTTTGGAGATATAATGCAGTGCTTGCGGTAGACAGGCTCAACGATCGACTGGACCATTCGACAGAGGGCGAGAGCTATTGGCCGCTGATCTGTCAAGCTGTGATCTGGAAGACGACTGAAGAGAGTCTGGGCTACGTCCCAAGCACCAATCTCCAGGAGGGCCTCGCAGAGACCGAACTTCTGGTTTCCTGAGTACTTGTCCTGTACGGGTTCACGCTCCTCTGGAACATCTTCACGATCTTTTGTCGATATTATACTCATCTTTCTTACGTATTCCTTTGCTGAACGCATCGCTTGCTCGTGATCCTTGATTATGATTTTGTCGTCGGGAATTAGCCAAGGCAGAATGTTGTCCAGGTGAACCACTTTGTGCTGGAGCATCAGGGCTGTGAGCTTCTGGAGGGAGAAGGGGGTTGATTCTACGGTTGAGCGATACTTAAAACCTAGGACTTCGCAGAGAACTTGCTCGTCACACATGTAGGATTTTATCAGGGGGATGAAAAGGGCATCATCCTGGGGGCGATTCTCGAACGTCTCCAGGACTATGTCCAGTACCCTATTGGGGTCGAGGTTGAAGTAGCCTGGAAATATTTTTTTAATTTCCTTTATTTCGGTCATTTTTGGTTGGCAGGAAGAGCTAAAATATGATGAGTCATGTGAATTTTTTATATTTTGGAAGACTTGTAATTTTTTTTTTATCAACGCGAATAAAAAAGGTGAATTAAATACCCTCATGAATATTTCACCGGGCTCATCATGTTTTTTTCATATTTTAACAAAGCAATTGTATTTCCTCCAACTTTACCTATGAGAGACTTCACGATTTCTAGAGTATTCGAGACTTCACTCGCCGGTCTTTCCTGATTCAATTCTACTATCAGTTTGGAATAGCCCTCGCTCTCCTCTCGAAATAAATTGAATTTACGCTGTTTGTAACTGAAGAACAAAAGTAAGAGAGGAATGATAAGGTGCACGATTACAAAATTGAAGAAGTAAGAATGTCTACGTACAAAAGTTTTGTCTTCACTTTGACGAACTTTGTGTTAAAGTTTCGATTTTTAAGAATTCCAACGTCCTGCAGAGTGTCAATCTCCAGTCGTTCTTTGAGTATTCGATCTGTTAAAAACTGTCCAAAAGAAATAAAATCATAGAAATGTGAAAATTATAGATAATACAGGCGAGATGTGGAAGCTTGAGAAATATACCTTTTCGCTTTCTTTTACGATGTAATAAAAGTTGTTTCGGTTGTCGTTCACAACCTCGGCATCTATTAGGGTGAATAAATCGACGATTGTAGAGGGTATGGCTGCATCGATGTTCTAGAAAATTTCATAAATACATAAATACCATAATTTATTCATGCAATCGATTGTTTCTATCGATTTCTGGTGCAACTTGAATAGTTAACGCTTACGATCAGTTCTCCCAGGGTTGAGACAACATTGTCTTTCTTTAAATTGCCTTGGACTCCATTTGAGATCAATTCGTACAATCCTCGTCTCCATTCTGAAAGGAACAATTGTATTTTGAGGTAAAAAATGTTATCTTCGTCGCGAGCAATTGTTTTTGCTACTGTTTGGATCACGTTTCTGGGCGGGCTTTTGACAGTGATATTGTACATTGAAGATGATTAATCTTTCTATTCTGTGGACATACCTGTGGTGTCGCCTTCCTTATACTTCTGCTTGATTATCTTGAGGCTGCAAACATTGGTTAATCGACAATTAACTCTTCGGTAGAGCGATATACTCGGAATATTAAAGTTGCAACCATCAATATAGTTTTCCCCATAAATACAGATACTCGGTTTATCCTAATGAATCATTATTTGCCAAGTGAAATTATCATTTATTCTCGGGATGAAATCGAAAGCCTCAAACAATACGCCTGTGCCTATGACCACATTCTCCTCGTCGTTAAATGCCTGGATACTACCACTTACAAATCATTTTTTCCGTATTTGTCCCATGATTTCCATAAATCAGAATTCCACCCTCTATTAATCGCCATATCTCATTTGATATTACACAACTCTTGTGTTTCAATTTGTTAAAAAACACGACCGCATCAACAACGCACGTTACACAGTCGACGCCATTATTTGCAATGGCTCATGGGGCGTATTTTCAATAACAATATGGCGGATTATTCGTTTCACGGTCTTTCCATCGTTTGAAAATGCCGCGATAACTTCAAAAATGAGAACCGAACTAGCATTTGTCGTGGTTCCTGATAATTATTTTGATACTCACCGTTTTATTATTAAATCCTGGGAATTAAAATCGAGGAGGTATTCAATGAAATTGAAAAATTAAAAATTTTCCAAAAAGTATCATGGGAGTATGAAAATGGAGGCGGTATTCACTGAAAATTGAAAATTCGAAATTTTTCGAAAAGTATCAGGAGAGCATGAAAATCGAAGGGGTATTCACTGAAATCGAAAAATTAAAAATTTTCAAAAAAGTAGCAGGAGAGCATGAAAAACTAGGAGGTATTCACTGAAATTTTAAATTTCGAAATTTTTCGAAAAGTATCAGGCGAGCATGAAAATCGAGGAGGTATTCACTGAAATTGAAAAATTTAAAACTTTCAGAAAATAAAACTCACCCAGTCGATTGGTCCTTCTGATAACGGGACGGCTATTGAGGCAGTTACCGCGTCGACTGCCAGCGGTGTTCTGTGCGCATGGACGGTGTGCGTGCGTATGCACGGAGATCGCCTGGCGACCCCCCACTCGAGCGGTCTTCTGTGCGCATGCAGGGTGTTCTGTGCGCATGGGGAGTGTTCTGTGCGCATGCGGGGAGCCTCGCCGGGGGACCCCCCACTCGAGCGCCCCCGTCTCCAACGCCCTGCCATTTTCAGTGGGGAGTCAGTCGTTCCGCGACCGCGCGTCGAACAACTAGT